TCCCACATCCAGTTAATCGACCCGAAAACTTTGGGAAAATTATTGCTTACCCGAAGAGAGAAGATTTCAATTACAGCCTGATGAGCAACAAGGACAGAAAAAAATTTATTAAAGCATTTTATCGAAAAGACCGCCGAAAGAAAAAAGGATTATATAACGTTAATGAAGAATTGGTAAAATATTGTCAGCAGGACGTAAACACACTGCGCGTATGTTCACAAGAATACAGGAAATTGTTCATGGATATTTCCAGTGGGCTGTGCCCGTTCACTTCGGCTCTCACCATCGCAGGAATTTGCCACTACTTTTGGCGGGCGCGGATTTTGGAGAAAGATTTGCTGGCTGTTGTCAAAAGTCCAAATCAGCGCTTGCGCTCTCTCAAATGCAGCAAGTGGCTTAATTACATTGAGAATACTGAGGGGAAGCAGCTGTTGAGAGAGTACAAGATTGGAAAATTTTTTGTCGACGGCTTTGACGAAGAAAATGAACTGATTTACGAATTCTATGGAGATTACTGGCACGGCAATCCGTGCACAACGAAGGCTACTTTCGTAAACCCGACACGAAAAATAACCATGCAAGATTTGTATTCTGCAACTATGGAGCGAGAAGTAGCGTTACGGGAGATGGGCTATTCAGTTATCCGGATGTACGAAAGTGAATATGATAAGCTCATTACAGAGGACGAAGATTTCAAAAACGGTATAAATGAGATTGAAATTATTCCGCCACTGCATCCAAGAGATGCCTTGTACGGTGGCCGGACGAACGGCACTCGCATTCACTACAAATGTGCCCCAGGAGAAGAGATACGGTATTTTTTATATAGAATAAATTTCTGTGTTCAGAACATATTTAACAGTATAATTAATATATATCAACTGTCTTCCAGGTTTGCAGATGTAATTTCCGAATATCCATTTGTGAATTCAAGAAAGCGCTATCCTGTCGGACCGCACGTTCGCATCGTTAAAGATTTTGATCAGAACCTGGAAAACTACTTTGGACTAATGTGCCTCACTATTCTTCCACCGAAACAGCTCTGGCTACCGGTTTTGCCATACAGAACGGGAAAGCTAACCTTTCCTCTCTGCAGAATTTGTGCTGACACGCAGCAGAACGCAACTTGCACACATACGGATGCTGAAAGGTCGTTAACAGGAGTGTGGTGTTCAGTGGAGATTTCTAAAGCTCTCGCCTTAGGATATACTGTCAGAAAAGTCCATGAAATCTGGCATTTTCCTGAATCACGGGAAGGCCTTTTTGCTGAATATATTCAGCATTTTCTTAAGCTCAAAACCGAGGCCAGTGGTTGGCCGTCGAACGTCCAGACCGATGAAGACAAGGAACGTTATGTTCAAGAATTTTTAGTGCGCGAAAGCGTCGCAATAGAACCAGCCAAGGTTATGAAAAATCCTGGCCTCCGTGCCTTAGCTAAACTGTTTTTAAATAAGTAAGTTTAATATATGCAAAACTGACAAAAGTCATTTTTTTATTATTTTATTTAAACATTTTCAGCTTCTGGGGCCGGTTGGGAATGCGTGAAGACCGGCTGACGACTCAATTCATTTCGGAACCGAAAGATTTTTATGAAATCCTCCTTAACGACGCTATGGAAACGCATAACATTGAATTTTTTAGCGATACTATACTACAGGTTACGTACAAATCAAAAGAAGATTTTATCAGCACGAACCCAAAAACTAATGTCATTCTCGCAGCATGAGTTTTACCTCTTTATCCTTTGAGTTATTTTTAACTGCAGTTAAATTCTTTAATTTTTTGTCAGGTTCACAACCGCCCATGCACGGCTCCGTCTGTATTCGTACATGGCCCAGGTGGGTAGGCGGCTTATATACTTTGATACGGATTCCCTAATGTGGATCCATCGACCTGGGGATCCAGAAATTGCATTGGGCAATTATATGGGAGATTTAACGAATGAATTACAGGACGGGAATATATTGAAGAGGTCACCGTATGCGCACCCAAGTCCTATGCATATGTCACCAGCAAGGGTAGACACATTTGCAAGGTCAAAGGATTCACGTTAAACCGCTCTACAAAAAAGACACTAAATTTAAACACTTTCACTTCCCTCTGGACGATGCCAGGCCCTCAAGTGTACCTGCTGCGCTATTCCTCTGTTATTCGCAGGAATAAAAGAACACTGGAAATCGATGCAGTAGATCAAGTCAAGCGTTTTCGACTCACCTATGACAAGCGCAGGATTTTGCCTGACCTTTCAACGCTCCCGTTTGGGTACGTTGAAGAAGATGTGTGATTTAAATTTTGGTGCTGCTGCTGCATGATAGCTACTGCTATAGGCAGAATAACATCTCCTATAAGCACTACTACCACTAAAATTATTACGCAGATAACGGCAAGTGCCTTTAGCGCAGGTTTGGATTTTTTCGGTACCTCCATCTTTGTTTTCAGTTACGCAAATTTTCCATTTCATAAACTTTGTGACTTTTAACTTACTTAAATAGTATTTGTCTCTCTTTGACCTATGATTGTTACAGTGTAATAAATGACTGAAAGGTGTAACGAATCGCTGCGGATATAATTCTAACAATAAAAATATATCACGCTTCCATAAAGAAGCGTATGTTGATTCCGTGTTAATGGTTAGAAAGTTTACCGCAAAATATTTAAATCATTTAGAAAATAATTTTGTTTAACGAAAGAATTATTTTATACTTAACTACAGCTTACCCAGACGGTCCCGCAACTTGTTTTGGCTTTTTGACTTTATCAGCCATTGTTCGACGTTTTGGCATTGCAATAATAATGCTATCCACGCTGTAACGTCCTACCAAATATTCAATATATTATTAAGGAAAAATGAGCAATATATTATTTTTTTGTCTATTTAAATCGTCTTACAGTTTCAGTAAAAGCATATGACAACGTTGTTCTCTGAATTAAAAGCGTATTACCGAGACCCGTATATCCACACTTTTCGGAGGTTCGTACTTGCCCAAATGTAATAGGCCTGCAACAAATATACATATTAATTTAAAATCAGTGCAGCTCACAGAAAAACAAAAAGTGCAAAACTTATAATATGAATGCACATATAAATGCAAAAATATATAACTTGAATATACAATAGAAATGAAATTTATAATAAATTGTTGAAATATTCACAACAGCAATATTAACACTTTCAGAATGAATATTTATAAAAACAATAAACAATATCAAAAGAAATAACAAGTAGTAGTTGTAATCATCTAATATTAATGTAATAATAATAGCAATATAATATTAATAACAGTATTAAATAGTTCATTGAATATTGCTATTATTACTCATGAAATAATAATAATAATAATATTCAGTAACAAATTGTTAATGGAATAATAATAAAATAAACCTTTAGGACTGTAGATCAATGAATCGCAATGGGAGAATGGTAATGGAGCGTGGATGCCTTGGTGCCCTTTCGTACGTTTATAGTAGCATCACAGTAACTGTAAAACAGAAAGTAATAATTAGTCAGTGAGACCAAATAGTTGAGCTGAAGACCGGAAAATAAGTAGATTAATAGCTTCTAGTACCAATAAAAGGTTAGACAACAGAAACAAAACCGTAATTATGGAATAAAATCGAATTTTAGTCAGGTGGAAAAAGTTGGCCAGGATTGGTGAGAAACTTTTTCCACCTACGACCTCTCGTTGCTTTTGAACTTCGAAACTTAAAAGCGTAACGTAAAAGTAGTTCGCATACCACGTAACATTAAAGTGCATATTAAATATTACTTACTTCGAGGGCAACCGCTTGAGGGACAACAAGGAATAGGGAGTAATAGCAGGTTCCAGAAGAACCGGGACGAAGGTGGAAAAAATCTGTCAGGAAACCTGACGGACTTTTTCCACTTGGCGTTAGTGTAGCCAAGCGTCAAGCCATAACCATACGGAGCGCTCGCAAAGGCACTGTATTATCAGCAGGAAACAAGTATGTAACGTAATGATATAATGATGTCATAGTAGTGATAAAAATGTTCTACATACCTTTAGTTGTTGCCAGTTTTTTAAATGAAAATGTTAGTTTTTATGTATTCGAACGCAAATGTGCACGTTAAAGTACAGCATTACAACGCTGATCAGAACCCTGACATGATGGAAGACAACATTCCATCATGTCCGCCTGATTACCACTTGGCATGGATGAAAATGGTAAGTTAAGTCGCACACACCATTTGACTTTCATTTCATACTGTTTCCTTTCACAGACATAACATTAGCAATTTTACAGAATGAAAAACGCTTCTGATAACGAAGTATCTTCCACCGTTCCTGATGAACAGCCAGAACATGTGGAATTGCCAGCAGAAATTCCAGTCCAGGAACAGGAGCAGCTTCCAGCGGAGGAAGAGGTTCATGATGGCCAGGAGGAGTTGCCCGAAGAAATCGTAGCCCTGGGACTGGCGGAGCAAGACATTCAGTTCTTGCGGGAATGTGCCCGCCGCGGAAACTGTAAGTACTTTAATTATCTAGCTTTTTTCATTTTATTATTTATGTATAATTTGTAGTGCCATTGCGCGCCTTTGTGGACGCGATGACAGACGAAATGCACCAAGAGGCTGCCGAAATGGCAGAATTTCTTTACCAGTTTAATAAATAATGTTTTTTTCGTTAGCTGAATTGCGTTCCTTGTGATTTTGCATTTTTTGTTAATTTTTTAGCACATTTAACTAACGCTTTTAAGGCTTAGCTTATTAACCGATTATTCGTGATTAAACTTTACTCTTTTCATTGATATAGATCCGTTCAATTAATCAAAACATATACAGGGGCAGTAGTTACAGCTAGGGGCAGTAGGTACAGGAGGCGGGGGGAAGTTAGGGGACCGGAAGTCAGGATTATGAGGATCAGGAGCAACAGAAGTGGTGGCGGGCGTGGGGGCGACGGCAGAGCGCGGGGGGGCGACGGACGTTGGGGCAGTGGAGGAGGGCGCATTATCGTGGCGGACGCGGGGCTGATGCAGACGCAGAGCTGTGGCGGACGTGGGGCAATGGCGATCGCAGGGGAGAACGATGGAAGCTTGCCTGTGCGGACGCGAGGCTGTGGCAGATGCGGAGCGCACTAGCGGACGCGGGGACGACGGCGAACTAGAGGGGATTCGATTGATGCGTGCGCGAAGGCGGACAAGCAAGCAGAACAGACGAGAGAACGGAGGCTGGCGTTCTTGCAGGTAAGCCTTGCAGATTTCGTATATTTACTTAGTATTCATTCGAAATAATAAAAGAATATGTGATATTAACATAGCAGATTAATTTTTGTTGAAATTGTCACTGATCTGCAGTTGCCAAATTCTCTTAGAAATATTATTTGTGTTGGTTATTTTTCAACTATCAAAGTAGGTGCAATTCTTGTCGTTTTATTTTATTTATTAATTTCAGATGAAACGTACACGCTGCCGTTGTAATAAGCACCGTATCCCTGGCTGCTGAATGTTATGCGGATCCGCTGAAAAATTATATATCTGCAGCGTCGACATTTTGTAAAGATGTGTAAGTGAACCGTGTTTCCGTTACAGAGTGTTTTTTGTTTATATTTCCCATGGATTCCTTCGCTGTTATTCACATTGCCGATGCTTTTCTGCACGTTCGGAATCCTCTTCAGTATGGAACGCACGTGCTTTAATTTTGTGATGTTAATTTACAAAAATAGTCTAAAACACGCGCTGTCACCGTGTAAAATCATGATGGTTAATATTAGTCTTCGTTTTTTGTGCTTAGGCTGATCGCATAATCTGACTGGATAATTATTTTATCCGATAAGCAGTTCCTGACCATGATTTGGTATTCCATTTCCTATATTCCCTAATCTCAGCGCAAGGATGTGTTCCTGCCTGTATCGGATACAATGATCGGTGAGCTGGCTAACGTATTTCTAGCATATTCTTTTCCGTTGCGTTTGTGTCAGAAATATTTTATTTTATTATTATCGTGTATTTTATTATTATCGGTTTGCATATGTAGGTCCGTTCTCCAGTTATTTAATTGACAAGTCCAGCTGGGATATCGTTACGATTGTGTGCGCCTTGATTGCTTCCTTTGGTTGCCAGTGAAGTTCTTTTGCCACTGCAATTAATTTTTATTATTTATTATGGAATTATTATCGGTATGTCAATAGGGTTACTGATGTGGTCTAATGTTTTGTTTTTACTCGAGTGACATGGTGCTGTTTGCCAGGGTTTTGTTTTGGCTGATGTATTTACCCAGAATTATTGTTTTGGCTGAATGGTTCAAAGAATCGCTTTCGAAGCGTTTGTTTTCGATAAATTTGTATTTAAACAATTAGTTCATTAAGTACTATTGGAGTTATGAAAACGTGTGGTTCTGTAGAGATTAAGTATACGGTAATTAGGAATTTTTATTATATATTGTGATTTTTTTGTAATTTATTATGACGTAAACATTTACAGTCCGGAAGTCCAGATGGGACGTGACAAATCGCAGAGCGCGCCGCGGGACGCCAATGCTGCTGATACCGTGTTCCAAACTGAGCAAACGCAACTCTGACAGATAACTGAAAGCGCCGATATGCAGACTGTGGATTGTGGTGTTAGAGAAAATCAGCAGGCGCAACTTTGGGAGCAGCTGAAAGTCGTCTCGCTGGACGTCCAGATCGCTGCAATCCGAAATGCAATAGTCCAACAGACTCGTCAGTTGGAGGTCACTAGCCTTCGTCGTCGACCGGCTGCTGGTGCATCTGAAAAGGTCAAACCGGACGATGGTCCGCCGAATCGGTGCTACGTCGGCTGTTGTGATGGGAACACTGTCTGCGATGGTCCACACTGTCGGACGCGGCGGTTGCTGCGCCAGAGCTTTGGCCAGCTGACGTATTTCGTTAACCTCTTCAGCGTGAGTGCAGTTAGTTCTTGAAGAAAAGGACCCTCGTGGCCACTGCTCCTCGCAGCGCCGGTAACTCCGCAGCAGACAACTGCATTCGATGAGCTCTCGTACGCGGCATTCGTTCTCAGTCATCGGTTCGCTCCAAAATGTGGGAAACATATCGTTGGTGTCCTTATCACAGCGCTCGGGAAACGTTTCGTTATCTGCAAACTTACTTCAGTCAATTATCCCACATTATTATAGAAATTAAAGTTAGAAATAATTTTTCAGACTCACAAAGGTCTTCGTTAACCGAAAACGAATCCAGACTACTCCGAATAAAAAGTGTTTGGTTGGGAAATGCTGCTTCGGTACAGTCGATGGGCAGGACGACATTGTCATACCCCAAATCTTCATTGCGCCACGCGTCGTATTCGATGCGGTAAATCTGTCCTTCGTTCGCATACCGCATCAGTCTGCTGGCGCTAAACCAACGTCGGAAAGATTTGAACTCGCATCCGCAATGCAGTCTTACAATGTAGCTTCGAATGTCTTCCGGGTACTCCATGATTTCGGATAACCCGCGTTCCAACGACAAGAGACGCAAACCAGGCAAATCGGCGAAGGTGCCTTCTTCCAAGAATTCTATCGTGGAATTGTGGAACTGGATGAGTCGGAGTTTGCCGGACTGCCAAAAATCGGCTCGTCTGACATCCAAGGCGCGGCAGTGATGGGCGCTAAATTCCAGCAGATGCGGCAGACGCAGTTGGGCCAGCTTCTTGGTGGCACGCGGTAAACGGCAGTTGTGGAGCTGGAAGACCACCGTCTGTTCGCGCACCGGCGCTAAGTTCTCAAAGGCGATTTGTGGTCCATCGTTGAGACTGATGAAAACCGCCTTGAGTGGTGGTTTAGATAACGCTATCGCCAGATGCCTTACTTCATCGTTGGATGCTTCACTGCTGCAGTTAACAGCCAGTCCTTGATTCTGAGCGCACGCGAAGGAGTTGCCGACGTTAGAGCGCACTCCGCAGTGGGCGGTGAACTGTAGTTCGCACTGGTCGCGGGTCATCAGTTCCGTGTTGAAGGCAGGAAGCGGTGAAAACATCCCGGACTTGTCGTGTATCACTTCGCCGCCTGTCGAATAAACAGTTGCACCAAATGTTTCACAACTGTTCACGTGCAAACTGATACGTACCTTTTCGCTTTCCAACGCTGTGATGCAAAAAATCCAGAAGAACTACGCACTGGACTAATATTTGAAATGGACGCATGGTATAAACTCTGGAAACTGATCACTCGAATAGCTATTCGCCTTTTTTTGGTAAAACGCACAAATGAAACGTTTTAACAAATGCGCAATAATTTAACATGAAACGATACGTTTTGCGAGAGTGTTATGTATTTGGTATCGCCAAACAGGTTTAGAAAGCGGCAGACAAATACAATCCACCGACACAGGCACTGTTTTGTTTCACCGTTTGGTAATATCCGCGTTGGACAGTTATTTTCCTTGCAGCCATGCCGCCACTGGTGTTAATTAGCAGTTATCACGAGACTTACTTTACACTAAAGAAGCAAATTAACAGGCAAAGCGATCTTGCTGCCTTGGGGCGCGATGTTAGTCATCGGATTCTGCACTGACGCGGAACTGCACCGGTTGGAATGTGCGGACACCATGCGGAAGTTGGGCTGATAGACAACACGGCCACCTCAGGGTTTGTCTAAAAAAACAGTATACAGAGAACACCGAGAGACTGCCGCCTTTTAAATTTTAATCTCACTGTACAGTGTCACTGTACAATCTCACTGTACAGTGTCACTGTACAGTGTCTCACTGTACTGTTTTGGACGGTTACAGTCCATGACCGCGGCTATGTATAGCTTTGGCTTTGCATTAATTTCGATCGCAGTTTGCCATCAGATGCAAATATCGCTTTCCATTATCGACTGAACGTTTACACTTTAAATAAAGTTCAGGTTAATTCATCTTGTCATAACTGCAGGCATAGGTAACCGCAGGGGTACGCAGGGCTGGAAACCTTCGTGAGCGGCAATCGGGAGGAGCACCGGTTTATCGAGCTTGAATGACCGGTATTCGGCGATGAAGCCGGCCAGCGGGCCGGTGCGCAGTCCTGGTGCGGTAATATTGGATTATCCGGGAGAAACATTTGAGGTCACGGGGGAAGTAATACTAGGCCGCGGCGGAAACATAGAATTGCGCCAGTGGGAGAGGATCGCCGAGGGGGTGTGCCGTGTGCGGAGGATTATGGAGAACAGCAGCAGGGTTGTCGTACTTTGTGCCGGAGATATCCAGGCGGATGCGATCCGAGCGAATGGGCAGGGTATCCAGGCCGATAATGTGGTTTCCATACTGGAATACATTAAAATTTAAATTTATTCCGACAATAGCAAACCGGGTTTTTTTGTCACTGCCGCTTTGCCAGACTGCTGCGGTATTTTTTTTGCGGTGTCGAATTGCGAGCCTGGCGGCTTCATAATAGACTTGTGGACGATTTGCTTGTCTTACAACCAAAGATTTCCGGAGATTTAGGGAGAATATATCCTTGCAGATTCTTAACGCATACTATTGTAAAGAGAAAAACCAGCTCTACTTCGTAATATTTTTACAATGGATTATGTGTTACCGTTCTTTTGTAATAACTATGTAAGTTTGGTATTGCGAAACGTTCCTGCATCTACTGAGCATCGAACATCTTGTCTCAGCATAATTTTCGTTTTTCTCCATGAGCCAACAAATTACTCTTTGAAGATCTTTCAATCCAAATACACGTAACAATAACAGAGACCAGTCATCGCTTTTATAAATCCGAAAAGAGTAGGAATACTAAAATTATTTAGTGGCTATCGTATTCGCGGTGAAGGCAGATAGCTTTTAAGTCTGAAATTCAGCTAAAACCAGTATCATGGAAGCGCCAATGGGCGGCATCCCTGTGTTTGCGCGCTCACACTTCACGGAACGTTTCGCAATACTAAATTGACATCGTTATTTTAAAAGAATGGGAATATTACCGCACTGTAAAAAATATTACGAAGTAAAGCTGAATTTGCAATGGTATGCGCGAAGTATTCGCAGGAATATATTCTTCGGAAGTCACGGTTTGTCAGTTTTATTTGGTGATTGTTTTGGGGAGTTGAGTCAACATGCGCTGCCATTTTTAAATTGCGCTTCGCAGCATAATTGGTCGGTTTGGTCCTTATCTACGAGTAATTACCGGCGTCCAAGTACTGCCACCGCTCTGGTGAATATACACTTAATTTAAACGGTGGCGATTGATGCATGTCGTATTATGCCGGTAAACATGGATAGATGTTCTTGGCTTAGTATACACAGCCCGCGCAGGTAAAGTACGAAGTACGTACAGACGGTACAGTACTCGTGTATCTATTGACGGCGTCGGCACTCTGTAGATTTATCAAGTCGCTATTAATTAATCAACAGCAAGCAAAAAATTATTATGCACATATTATCATTTATGAACATTCACTGCAAGATCGGCAAGAATTGAACATACCTAGGTAGTCAATGGGTACATTTATACATATTGATTCTGTCAAGCATTTCAAAACCTCTGGAATTTTAATCACACTGAATTAATAATATGCGAGTAATGACGGCTTTACCGAAATCCACACGATCACCGCGAATGAGAAAATCACACTATTACGTGCGACGCTTATTAACCAAAGACTATTAAATAAAATATCAAAAAAAGTTATCTAAAAGACCGAACGATTTCGGCAGTTACAGACTTGTACTCAGAAAAATCACATTCTATCATTACAACAGAAAAGCCGTCTCATGCCTTTCGGGTGCTAGGCGCAGGTCGAGATGTGGTGGTCGGTTGGGCACTGCTTCCCGGGCGTCCGGTGGTGCCGGTACTGCCAGCCGGCCGCGGGGGTGTTCCCGTACTAGCGGGAGCAGCGGATGAGGGCTTTTCGATGGGAGGTCTAGTGGTAGGCGGTTCAGGGCGCCCGCTTGTTGGGCTTGGGCGGCCCGAAGTAGGCGGGGGGCTGCCTGGCCCGGCGGTGCTGCTCGGCGCCGGCGATGGAGCGGGAGGTCGGGTGGTAGGGGCTGGAGGTGTGGCTGGACGAGAGGGTGTCCCGGGGTTGGTACCGGTTGAGGCCGCTGGAGCAGGCGGACCACTAGCCGGGCGGGATGTGCTTCCTGGAGCAGCCGAAGAGCCAAGTGGCCTACCAGTGGATGTTCCCGCTGTGATCGAGGAACCAACGGGACGGATGCTGGTTCCTGGTGGGGAGGTCCCAGTGGTTGCGCTGGGCGAGCCGGAACCCGGTTTGGAAGTTGGACCGAACACTATCACCGGTGGGGGGCTGCTAGGTCGGGGAGTGGTTCCAGGCGGGAAAGTGACCGCAGATGGTTGCGCCGGTGTTCCTGAGAAAGCGCTACCGGGACGGAAGTTTGTCCAAGGCGCCGCCGTGGACCAGCCACCGGTAGTAAATGGTCCATTTGTCCACGCCGGAGCCCCGGTGGCCCACCCTGGTGTCCAGGATGACCCGGTGCCCGGGCGAGGACTGGTCGCCTGGAAAAATGATCCTGTTTGGCTGAATGGCTGGTTCGTGGTCCAACTGGGAAACCCGGAGGTCATGTACCCAGGTCGACCAGTTGTCCACGGTGGGTATGTCCCGGTTGACCATTGGGCATAGCCGGCGGTCGCGTTTCCCGGGCGGGAACTGGTCCAGGGAAGATTGGTTCCAGTAGCCCAGAACGGTTGGGCCGTCGTCCAAAAGTTCGCTCCCGCTGAATAGTTTCCAGGGCGGCTGGTTGTCCAATCGTTCCAGGACGGCGTTGTCCAGTCATTCAACCACCAAGGGCGGGTGCTCCATTGATATCCTGGCGTTGTCCATTGATAGCCATTTGTTCCCCATTGATAGCTATCCGTTGTCCACTGGTAGCCGTTGGTGGTCCACCACGGATACGCGGTATTCCAGCTATCCGTGGTCCAACCACCGTGCGGTCGGGGAGTCGTCCAGCTGTATTGTCCCGTAGCCCAGGGATAACCGCCCGTCGCCCATCCTTCCGGACGGGGCGTTGTCCACTCATAACCCCCCGTGTTCCAGCTTCCAGGACTGTCCGTCCCCCAGTTATAACCTCCCGTATTCCAGGCTCCGGGACGTGGTGTGCTCCAGTCATTCCCGGTTGTCCACTGGTCAGGACGTGCTGTAGTCCAGTCGTAATAATTCCCCGTCGTCCAGTAATTAGGATAATCAGTGGTCCATGGCGGGTAGGTTCCCCAGGAATCCGTGGTCCGGGCGGGATAATTTCCGGGTCCCGGGTGTGGGCTGGTCATCGTTACGGGATGCTCGGACACCGTGAAGGCATCCCAGAATGTAGGGCGCGCCGTTGCCACGGACGCAAAGGTCACGAGGAGGAGTGTTAATACTGTGCTATACATTGCGGCCATGTTTAATGTGGCATTCACTTGTGAGCGATAAATAGTTTTCCGTTTCTGTATAGAAGTTGTCGACTTCGATTTATATGTAGCAACTTTACAACAGCGCTTGGACTTTCAGTTGAGAAATTATAATTCTACTTTTCCGAAAGGGAATTATGCCAACGTGCTCGCTGCGTGTCTGGATATACTTTGCGATGTCGGCGATTATTCTCGAGTGTTTTACTCGGCATGCTAAGCAAGCTGCCATGCTTTCTCACTGCTTGACGTTTGGTGCACTGAAAATAAATAATATCAATGCTGGGTTTGGACCATATTAATAATTCATTCGCTGGGCGCTTCGAGTGTTTTGCCGGGCTAAAGGGATTCGATGAAATCGCTTATTATTTCCAGGTTGGCATCACGGGCACCGCCCACAAAATCAGGCCACACCCTTGGAACAGGCAACATGGTTGTTGCTAAGGCATAAGTTCAGCGGTAGTTAATGAAATTTCGGCAGTTTTGTTAGGACACGGGACACGCATCCCAAGATCACAAATAACGGTTTTGTTTGATTTTTCGGTGTTTAAATTTTAATCATTTTAAATATTGGCTATTGCCGAATAAGGGACATTATTGTATGAGTAACTTTGTTTAGCAAAGGATGTTATCAGCTGCAAGCGAGAACGGCTGTTTACTCAGTGTTGAGAAAATACGTTTGTGACAGGCTCTTATCAGCGGGCATATTTGTAACGTATTTGTACGGCGATTAACCAACGCATTTCCACAATATTCATGATAAGTAGATGTTCCAATGCTAAATAAGAAGCGTGAGATTAATCGCATTTCACAACCAAAGCTCCTGCTAGTTGTGGTCTGCTTTGTACGGTAGGCTTTTGTATGATACTAATTACGCTCTATATGATAAATTCTCAATTTTGCAATGCAGCTGAGACTTTATGATACACTGAATTCTTGTTGAACCACTTATTATGTATTGCTAACAATTTCATAAAGCTCTTACCTGTTATCTTATCACTCGACGCTCGCCACTGCAAAATGCTTACGAAGTGAGTGTTTCTGACTGTACACTTATTGGACAGTCAGAAATAAATCCTACAACGTACAATCTAATAAATCCTACAACGCGAAATTGAGACGATCAGTACTCGTATATAAATTCTACGATCGCTGCAGTTTGCGCAATATACTCGTAATTTCCTTATCCTGGAGCTTATTACGGCTGATTTCAGATTACAACATACTCCTTTAGAAGCTGGATCAGAAGAAGGAAATTCTTATACAAAGAAGTTACTGCACTATATAAAGCAACCCCGTAGTAATTTCTTTACAACAGCGTGCAGTGCACGTTGCTGTAGAGAAATAACTGCGGGACAAGATTTCTGTCGTCTTGTTGAAATGATACACATTTAAAACTAAACTGAAACCCGGCAACAATTTTGTGAAACTTCTGAACGGGATGGAGAAACCCTGATAATCGGCGATTTGGTCCTGATTTGGACTATTTGGATCACTTGCAGGAAAGTATCACTAATTCCGGAGACATCTCGCAGCTGCGTGGAACGCAATATGTATATGTCACCTGTAACGTCGGCTTGAGCAGACTGTCGTGAAAGACAAAACGATATCTGGAGTCTGGGTTGCTTGCGATTGCCGTTATGCAGAAATTGAAAACCATCCCTCCGTTTATTCTCAATAAAATGCCTTTTGACTCTAAAATGTCTAACGGTTTCTAATAATTTATCAATTTATTATTTTTTGCCTGACTCGTATAATTTACAGTGCATATAACGTTAGTCTTTCGCGCATGTCTATATCGGCACAGCCATGAAAATACGAAAAATACAAAAACCACTTGAAAAATTAATATGGTCGTTTAAATTAGGGTTGTCTATTTTCTTTGATGTTTATTTATTTTAGATTAATTAATACAACTGTTTTTCTGTTTAATTTTCATAAAAATAATATGTACATTTAATTATTTATGCTCTAATTAAGGGCTTATTAATGACGGCATAAAAATTAATACTCGTACATCAAAACGAAAATACATAAACGCCCATGTGCTGCAAACGCACAAGCAGTAAGCCAGCACGTTAAATGGAATCTGGATTAACAACCAAGATTTGTGGAATTTCAGCGCCCTCCCTTGGTGAGGTTCACTTTTTGCCGATAGGGTTTCTTATTCAACAATAGCGAAACGAGTAGGTGCGTTGTGCAACCGCTCCTTCCATTGATCGTGATTAATGGAATTTGACAAAGACGCCGGTAATCCATTACAGATGCGGGTGTTGCTGTTTCGCCGAACCGCTTACCATATAAATAAATCCATATCGCCACTCTTCTTCGTTACTAGGCTGACATTTGCGATTATGCACGCTAGACGTTATACAGATTCATAAGCTCCATGCTTGTGATAGCATCAACGACGTGCTGCTGCTTATACCAAAGTAATCATCCTTTGGGACAAGACACCATGGAAAAGCATGAGAATGCATTAGAACATTTTCCGTAAATCAATGAACGATTCCGCAGTTTTTGTTACAGTGCGTATTGCGAGCTAAATAAATTTTTCTAGCAAGACTATTTTTTTCAAATGTCCAGTCAAAACGCGACTAACTTGACATCCGTTATTGTCGCGACACAATGGACGACGCTGCCGATTGTCACGCTGGTCACCTCCATTTTAACCTTTATCAACAACGCCGCTCTGGTTACGGTGTACATCAGCACCCGCAAATTGCGCACACCTTTCGGCGTACTGGTGATGAACCTGTTTATGGCCAACTTGATTTATACGGTACTTCAAAGCCCGCTTGACCTTTACCTGTACGTCACTCCCTCGGGACACACGCAGGCTTTTTGCATCGTGTATCTGTACGTGACTTATACGTTCCCGCCGGTGCTGCCGTTGTGCCATCTGGCCATCACGATCAATCGTTTATGGGCCGTGTCGCGGCCTATGTCCTATCGCCGGGTGCATTCGCATCGGATGGCCGTTGGACAGTCGTTGGGATTGTATGCGCTGTGTCACGTTTTTTACCTACCAGGTAAAATAATTTCTTCAAATTCATCTAAATATTTTCTTTCAACAGCAGTTATACAATATACAGGAAAAATTTACGGTAAGACCTGGATCAAGCAATAAAAGGTCTAGGAGCATGAAGGGATAGTACGTTTGTCTGCATACAGACAGATAGATGGAACATGAGTACAACTTACCGAACTTTTCGTTCCGTACGGCAGTACGTATAATTCGCCACAAAGGTATATATATTTACAGCTCAAAACGTAGCGGAGTGATTCTGCTAATATACCAAGCGTTGACATGCAGAGCAAAAATTACGGTTTTTTTGTGACGACTGGGAGAAACCAAGTCGTATCGTATTTAGTCGTATATTTATCTCAAAACCGCGCGTGCGCTGGTATTGCCATTTAAACTTTGCTCCGTTGGTTTACTGATCGCTCTCTGATGGAGAGAGAACGTTGTCAGAGGCGGTATTTTCGGCACCAACTTTTATTGCACTGGACTCCGCCGCCATTAACGGCACCACCCAAGAGATTTTTTCTCTCATGTTTTCTATGCCCCTTTTTTTACCTATTACAAACCAGGTGGAACGCTTTTGGCAGTTACTCTACAAAGGTTTATATCCAATGCGTAATGATGTATCCACCGTACGTACAAATAGTCGTACACAATTTTTCCAAATTTTAATATTTTATTAGGTATAATTGTCGATGGACTAGTCTACCGCACGCCCAGTAATAATCTCGGCTGCGCGATGAACAATTCTCCATCCCCACAAACGCCATGGAAAGCGTTAACGACACACCTGTTCTACGTCCTTCCCCTAATTATCATGGTCGCCTGTTACCCGTACTTTGCGTACCAGCGCTGGAAACGTCTGCATCAAGTGCGCACCGACCCAGAATCCGGCCCGACCTCCACAAAATCGGACAGCCAGCGCGTCACCGTCAACCGGCGCCGCTCCAGTTCCTTCTGGATCCTGACATTGCTAATTGGCAGCATGGTGGTCTGCTGGACGCCGATGATTGTCTACTTCACGCTGTATAGTTACGTCGGCACGCCGATGTTCTACCAGGTGGGCAAGATCATGAAGCTGTGCCAGACGGTGATTGATCCGCTGCTGTTTGCGGTGTCACTGCGGGATGTCCGTACCGCCTGTCGCGACATGCTGCGGCGGGATCGCTAGACGCTGCTTGTACTGCAAAAACCGAATAAATTCAGAATATGGATGCGTCGCTTGAACGCTTATGCGCAAATAACAGCTGCTATGTTCTCTTTTTTCAGTGACCGTTGTTTACGGGTATCGGATGTGTTCCGGTTGCGCAGTTGCGTTTTTGTTGAATTTTATTAATAAATATTTACTTGAACCACGGACCAACTGGTCGATATCACATGTTGTGGTCCTGCATTGTAAAAAATGCACTTGCACTTTACAGTAAGTAAATGTTTTATTATAATAAAATATTCTGCGGCTAATCCTTCACAAAAGTGTCCTAGTCCCTTCTAGCACCAGCCGGATGTTTTTGAGACAAAATTTAATAGTACTTTAAAAATTTCTAGATGGGACTTTTGCATTTCCATTAATACGAGTAGCTGCGAAGCTAACAGCGGTACTGGAAGCTACGTATTGCTATACTTAAAGTATTCTGTATGATATATAAAATATCCATCTTCTAACCTGCTGTTAAAATGCATTCGTAAAGAAAAGCTAACTTCAAGTTTACGTCACCTTACCTCCATTCATGTATACATAACAACAGTTTTCCATAGTTATAGTTCACGAGAGTGTACGGGTAGCTTTCCAGATTGTGCGGGCCCGCGCTGAAGCGCTGAGTCTGAGTCCGAGAAACGAGAAAACGACAGGAACCATTGTACTAAAATTACCACGTTGACTAATGCGCGAGTCTACCTCTTATCTTTTTTTGATATTCATAATAGCTTACCGATTAAACGTATTTACGTGTGCTGCCGTTTATTCTGCATTTTTTCGGCATTTTCAACTGCCTCGCTTAATGTGCTTTCTTACGGCTGAGGAATTTTGGCGCCATTTACTTGTTTTGGCCCACTAATACACCAAAACAACTGTTTTGGAACGGCGGCAGAAAGCGGTTTGCTGATAAGCCCAGCCGCATGAGATGATTCATTCGCTGCGCTCTCCCCCGAGTACTAAAATTTAGTACCAACCATCATTATTCTATTATTGATCACAGGTTCGCACTTTGCATAGCAATGATGGCTAGACAGGCATATGCCGATACCATATAAGTATACTTTATCTGGAATGCCGATGGTCATAAATTATAATAAATTGCATCTGGGTAATTTTTGAGTGACGGTAACTTCATTACGATTTTGTGGCAACTTCTGAAACTTAGACTGTTCATTGCAGTCTTTACCTAGTTATTTCGGATTAACTTCCAGCTGATCAGCTACGAAGGCGAGTCGGTGGTTTTGTTATGTCTATGTCGTGCAGAACTGAAATTCTAATAGTACTTACTACTTTGGCAGAGTAGGCTAGTATAATCATTAAAGATAGGCTGATAATGTTGCTGAGTTAAAGTCATCGAGATATTACTTTAACACTCTCAGCCTCTTAATAGTCAGACTCAGCCCTTTAGTGCTCAGACTCAGACTTTCAGTAGTCAGACTCAGCCTTTTAGGGGTCAGACTCAGACTCAGCGCTTCAGCGCGGGCCGATTGTGCGTCAGTGAGGAACGGGCGTTCCATCTATATATTTGCGCGAACTTGGCCAATCGAAAGTCGGCTGTTGACAGTCGACTTCGGATTGGCACAGCTCGAGCAACGAGAATGCATTAATAGTAGCCAATATTGTTTTACAACTGTAGCCGCGCGGCTTCGAGAAACGCTCGGTGCTTACATAACCGAACCGGATGCGTCGTCGGTACGAGAAACATAATGGCCGCTGATAAACAATCCTAAAAACATCTTCAACCTTCTAGGACTGGTCACTCAAGGAATGTAGTATATCTTGTATAACCACTCGAAGGAGCTTGACAGTATTCAAATGGCACTCGTCACCCGGAATTCGCCAGAATGCATGCTGGAAGTTGTCGAAAGCCCTGAATCAACAGCGTATGCCGATACACATCTTACACAAGCAATAGGTATACAGCTGTGCAACGCGTATTTCAGCTTGTTGATGCGGGCCGCAGTAAACAGTACAATAATAGCCTTTGGCTTCGCCGTACAATGCTTATATTTTCCGGCGGAACAGCCGCCGTAGACAAAGTGGAAGCATGCTTAAAATAATTATACGATTCATTTATATACCGAGAGACGACAGATATGAGGGCTATTCGACTCACATAAATACTGGTATACTGCAAGTTTTAGCCGACGCATAAATAATAATATAATGATTGTGGTATAAGTTGTTTGACGAGTTAACACGGATGTGACGATACATGTACCGGGTGAGTATAAAGAAAATACGCAAGAGATCAGTGATCATGCCCAAAGACAAGCCTGGAACAGACATAGCTATGCGAAAATACGTAAATAAAACTAATGTTACTGGGGCGGCTATAGAAGGCGCTGATTGGCAGTTGTTTCGTCTGTATAACGGACAAATAAGCAGACAGTTCTATTCCCCCCAATTTCTGACAGAGGCACACCATGCATTGTGCCGTGTGTTTGAATACATATTGAGACAAAAACCATAAACAAAATTTTACAAAAGTGTAACATTGGTGGTATTGAAAAAATTTATACGAGGACGGAGCTAGTATCTTCGATAGCGCAATTACATGTGCGAAACTCTTTGAACACTGGGCGAACGCACAGACTGATTTAACAGTCAACCACGTAAGGTTGCCAATCCATGTTTGAATTAGGCAGTGTCAGTTAGCGCACCCATCCACGGTTGGCGTCTAAGCTAATCGTGATGGGCAACCTTCCCCGTTTGACTGCTAAGGTAATCGTGCGTTCGTACAGTGTTCAAAGTGTCTCGCAAATGTCAACGCGCTACCAATGACACTAGCTCGGTCCTCGTACTTAAAAACGTTATTTGAAAATTACGCAGAGGAGCTGACATTGGAATCTGTTCGCTCGTGTACTACTGTTGTATATGTGGGAATAGTACCGCTTTATTCGTGAATCGTAGCTCGGCAACAAAGCAACTAAACCTGCTGCCGCGTAAAGACAGCCACGTAGCGGCGGTCGTTAAGGACAGCGGACAACGGTCGTTAAGGACAAAATATCCCGCCCTTCATGTGCAACGCCATAATATGTCTCACAATTATAAATATTGTAGATGACAACGAAATCTCCCCGCCGTATACTTTGCGGCTATTTCTTAAAATCTCTTAAAATTTTAAAAAAAAACTTAAATTTTGCGAAGCGCTAATAAGTGAGGAGTGTAACTTTGTTGGAAGCACTGTCAGATGGGTGGCCAGCAAACTATCGGAAAAAAAATCAGGTACGCTCAATCAAAAATCAAGTTGAGCCTACCTGATTTTATATCCCCGATTGTTTTGATAGTCAGTTCCTGGCCTTTGAACGCCGGAATTAGACCTCCTGGGACCGTCAACGCGCATATGGCAAGCTGCTGCGATCGATCGCGCTTTGAGATTTTTCATGCCTGACGGAATTCGCAGTACAACTCCGAATTCGCTAGTGGCGATGTACTAGATAAGTCGATAAAGGCCGGTGTCTTTATCAACCTGTTCTATGCCAGGCCGCCCGCTATTCGACACTCAGATCCAGTAGTATGCGTTTACCGGTAATTTTTGCTCTGAAACGCCACGATGCCGGCGCATGTAGTGAAAGCGCTAAAAATAATCGCGCGTATAAAGAGAAAAATCAAACGATTGCAACTGCTTGGAAGCTTTGCACGTGAGGTATAAGTTTAGAACGTTACACGACATTTCATAACTCGACATTTCACAACGTAACGTTTCACAACGTACATTTCATGACCGTAACGTTTCATGACCGCAACGTTTCACAACTATAACATTTCATGACCGCAACTTTTCATAACCGTAACATTTCATGTCCGCAACTTTTCATAACCATAACATTTCATGACCACAGCGTTCCATAAATAATTTCAACCATTTTTTTCTCATTTCGAATTAGAAAGGCCAACAGTAGAATAGATTTTATCATTGTTTAGCGGTAACTTGTAGCTACGACTTGGCGGTACGGTATTAACACCCCAACTTGCTCAAATAATTTGAATTAACAAAAAAATTGCAATATCTGGTAGTATGAGTCATGATCTGAATTTTTCAACTAGAGTACATAAAAAATTCCGTTAAAACTAAAAAAGGATTACAAGAAAATGTAGCTATATAGTTATAAGCCGCTAATTTGTTTGTTAAAATCCGCCATTACAATGCAAAATCCACATTACCCATACAGCATGCTTTCCCACAACGCTTATCTTCCGAAACATCCGAATCCGATTCGTCCTCATCATCTTTCCAAGACATCTCCAAGTTCCTGCTGATGTTTTCCAAATACTCCAATGGATCCATATCGTTGTACATAACGGCAACCGACATCAACCGCTCAGTCAGTTCTTTGAACTTCCGTCTCTGTGGCTCCGGTTTTTCACCTTTTTTCAACTTGCCAATACGACCTTCTTGTAAATTCTGCTCCAACTGCAATTTGCCGAAAAATGTATAGATATCCGGTTTGACAGATCCGCTTGATGACGCAAAACCGTTGTGCCATCCTTCGGCATTGTTAGTGGTCCTTTGTACTCCACCAAGCAGACGGTCATGACAGTTCCAAAATGCGATTGCAAAACACGGTGGCCTCCGCCCCTGCCCTTTTCTGGTTTTCACTGTCTGACCGATGTAAACCCTCTCGAAATACATGATTAATTTGCTGTCCTTTTCAAGAACGCATTCCGGATGCTGGATGAAAGTTTCGTAAACTTTTACCACGTCGTCCACAGGAACAAATGCCAATGCCAACAACATTTTGCACTGCGTGTTGAACTGCAGATCGGAAATGTATCGTTCGCTAAATCCGTACTTCAAGATACGCTTGCACACATTTTGACCAAAATGGAAAAGGCAACCTAAGTGAAGTACCATGCGGTCAATTTTAGTTGGCTGTAAAAATACTCATTAACTTAAACCAAAATGTGCTTACTCTGCGTAAAATAAGTGTCAAAATTTATATTCAAAATCCTAATCTAAACAGAACAATGTACGTTGTTTTTCACTGCAAATTTATGTTAATGTACTTGAATTCAATTAGTTAGTAAAAAGAAGTTTATGTACACATTTTTTCTTACAGTGCATATCGAATACAGAAACATCAGGAGTTGCGAATAAAAAGTTTGTTTTTGCGCTTACCTTGAACAGTTGTTTTGCGAAAGATTCTCCTGAAGGCTGTCCATGCCGCTTGTTCAAAATCGATAAGCATATAAGCCGGTTCCGATGGGTCTTGACCGTCTTCACACAGTTTTGCTAATGAATCGTATAATGCCTGGAACACCTTCCGGTATAAATCCATACACTTCCCGTCCATTAGCGCATAGACCAACGGAAACATTTTGCCGCACACGGAGCCGTGAATAGTATAAATTTGTCGGAAATGTTTTGGAGAGGTTTTGAAGGTGCCATCGGCGATCCAAACGTCAGAACGGGCAAGTTGCCGGATATTTGCATTGGTGGCAAATATGATAATTCGATGCTTATCTGTGCTACCTGTGTCATGCATCAGAAATTGCTCTTTCCGCAGTGTCAGCTGAAGATGGTCAGTGTCAATGTCGGCTTTTGTGTCCGGTGGTTCAGCACATGCGCCCTTTCTGCGCTCCCTTCGGCACATACGTTGCAGAGCGGCATCTGATGGCATTTTGCAGACAGCTTGTAAGGGCAAATCCTTGTTGACGATTAACGCCAACTGTCGCGGCTTTGATAAGGTTTCGCCCGCGCGCCGGTAGTAGCCAACAGTCTGAGAGTTACTTCAGCAACTGAGTGTTCGCAGATGGCTGTTCTTTGCGAGTTACGCGGAAGCTTTTCCCCCGTTATACGATATTTTGCTTGTGTCATGATCAAATATCGAAGTCAGAAGTTACTGTTTAGTCTCATGAGAAACATGTTTTTTTATTACAGAAAAATATTGCTATTTTCTTTTTTGCAGAACTGTACGTTTTCAGGACCGCAGCAGATGCAGACAACGTTGCCCTTGTGTGCTTTCACAGAAGCTGCGGACTGAATTCTAAAACCTTTTTAAATATTTTTTTCTCGTCAGGGAGTTGGACTTTGATGCGCTGCATCCGATAAAACCCTGGAACGACCCGAATAGCAACAGTAGCTAATATTTTCTAGTAGGTGTTAAAATAATACATCAGCAGAAGCGGTAGAAAGCAATTCAAAGCAAATTCTGCCATTGTACGATAAACTGCGAAAATTAGACTTGGAGTAAGAGCACATTCCTTGTCAACAGTACAATACATCATACATGCATTCTACGTCTCTAGCCACTGCAAGTCCAGATAAAATCGACATACCCACACAATCTACGACAAAATAATGACTCATTTCCTGGTCATGGGGTGCGTGGCGAGCGCCGGTTTTCCCAGCTAATAGTATGATATGATAATACGGGATGGAACTATGTACAGTGTGTCAAAGGTCGACCTGATTTGTCGTCAGTTGCACCGTTATTTTACGCACGAGCTAATTTGAAGCAAAAACGATCGCTCGCTTTCTGCAATGCTTCCAACACGTAAACGCATTCAAGGTCAAATATAGAAGTATAGTTAATCAAGCTGGTCATCGAAATTCCCTGCCGGTTTTAACTAGTGATGTAAATCTCCAAGTTTGAGTTATTTCATCGACGCGTTTCAAGTACAGACGCTCGACAATCCGCGTGCGTTTTAACGTTTGCTCTGTAGTTGCCAGCTTAAGACATTCGCAATTTCCCAAGTGCTTCCAAGTGCTTAGAACGAGCCCAACACGTCGGGGTAGTTTCAAAGTCTAATTTTATAATTATTGTTCACGGAGCAGTTAGTATTCCGCTTACAATGGTGCTAATCATCATCGTTGTTATCACCGCGGTAATAACCAGCGCAACAGGTACACATGAATTTTAATCGATACTACTTTGCATTTTCAAATTTTTAGCCATTAGTCGGCCCATTACTAAAATTGGAAGAACACATTCTGACAATCTGGTCCAGAACTTCAATCCATTATGTTTCTTTTGGGAGAATTCTTCAAAGGTTCTGCACAGTTTTGTCTTAAGCGAAGTTTTCGCTTTTACAAGCAATCATTTCGGGAACCTTCGGAGTATTAATACGTATAACATCATGAGTCACCAAAAACATTATTAAAAAATTTGCAGTAATCTGTAATGACTACTGTAGTGACGTTCACAAGTTAGACCACAGAGTGCGTTTACCGGAATAATGCGCACTTTATATACCCACGCTGCACGGGCAAAATTCACGATAATTTACCTGCAAATTTAAATTGGAGTTCCTTGAGCAGCATTCATGTTTTAACATCTTATTTAATTATTTGATAGTATGTAAAAATAAAACATCAGCTAGAATTGTATTACAGAAGGCTGAAAAGAAATGCATACAAATCAGAGCTCTGAGATCTTCACAATGTTGGTTTGTTGTGGTTTTTGGGGTAACCCTGCGGGGGGGCGGTTTTGTTCAGCACTGGCAGGAACTGACGCTGACTGTGGATATGTTTCCAGGATGGGCGCAGAAAGTGGCGATCATTTTCAGAGCTCTGATTATAAAAAAATATGGGTAAAAATGTAATTAAAATTACGTGGAAATTTGCTATTTGAAACAAGAAAATGTAAAATGGGATTTGGGTCGTGAATTTTGCCCGTGCAGCGTGGGTATATAAAGTGCGCATTTTTCCGGTAAAGGCACTCTGTGGTCTAACTTGTGAACGTCACTACAGTAATTTATTTTAAACCAATTTTTTTGACTCACAGTCTGACACAATAAAGGCAACTGCGAATTTATTTAAATTCACATCATGGTACATCGTTTCTCGATTTTTATTACAGCGCTGCGATCTGATTACTTGTCGACACCCGCTTTTACCATTCCTTACCAGGACCATCAAGTTCCACTATTCCGCGCCGCCGTCGATTTCCTTTCCACTCCGACATTCTACTACGCACCCACTGGTAAAATCCTTCTCAATGCCACGGAAATCCTCCTGAACAACCAGACCGGCGAGCGCACTGTCGTGGCTGTCATCCAACTGTGGGATCACGCGTACACTGACTACTTGCAACAGTGGGCGCAGCGTGAAATGCAGCGCTCAAAGGTCTTACTGTTTCCGGTACCGTTTAAATGATGCGTGTTGCGATGCGGTCAGATCACGGTCGCACAGTGGCCGTCAACGGTCGCTGGCAGCGCATTGCGCACTTCCCACAACTAATCCAAATTTCCATTCCATGCGAGACTGTAGCTGACTGTCGAAACGTGCGAGAGTCTATTCAAGCCGACCGCGAAGCTTTTGCGGCACGTCTGACGTTATCGTTCAGGTTTCAGACACCTCAGAACAGAGAAATTGCCTTCTGCAGTCATCAGCATCATTTTCACCATTCCTCGGTTTTCCACAGTATTGTCGAGCAAAAAGCGGCGTATGAGTATGTTTTCCTCCCGGAAATGGATTATCAAGAGTTGATACAGGAAATTGTTCAAAGCGCCATCGAGGATACTCTACAAACCGGTGAATTCGTCGATGATGCTGAACTAGAATTGGCTAAAAAACAGATGGCTGCACTGTTGCGGTACAATACGACATCGAGTGCGGAATTTACGGAGAACATGTGGAATGCGACGTACTGGCGGGGAGCAGACCGACGCCCAGATGAGCAGTACAAATACTTGACCGCGTCACTGGGTAGTCGCACCCAGCATAAAACAAGGTCCGCGAAGAGTAGTACCCTATCTATTCAGCTCGACGAGAAAGTGGCACATCTTGCCGGTCCGCTAGCAGAACTGGACGAAGGTCGCAGCGGTGTCGAGTGGAACGGCCGGGAGATCTTTATCAGACCCAGGACGATGTACTGCTTAAATCTGAAGAAGCTCCACGAGGAAGTCACCCTAGCGCACAATATTTCGGTACATATCAGCCGCCATGACGCGGACTACACGGCGTCTGTAAGGGTAGGGTCGGGTGTCAGCCAACTCTTGCTCCGCGCGCACTCAATTTACGCGGTGACCACTACCACGGCTGCCACCACTACCACCCCAATCGCCGCTACCACCACTACAGCAACCACCACAATACCAACTACCACCCGTGCGACTACGACGACGGCGCCTTGTCCCATCCAACAACCATGGCTTAACTTGGGTAATATCCCTAAATCGAAAAACGGTAAGTTCGGGTTTTCGTATTATCGTTCAAAGAGCAACTTAAGAAACGAAGTCTCACCTTTTCGCAATAAAAAAACTGAACGAATTAAAAGGTAGAAGTAATGCTACGCTAATCCTTGATTAATGCTCGTATACTTACATTAAAGTTTTAACAAGCATCAAGCAGAGCATTCCATCATGAACTCCACAGAATGTTGTCGGTGAACGATAAACGGAGACAATCATTTCTGCTCAGGCTGCAGTGGTTGGATACACGTGGACACGACCACGCCAGGTTACATAAAATCACCGAATCATCCTAGTATGTATCCCAACTTTGCCAGTTGTGCTTGGATCATTACGGCTCCCAGTGGTCAAAGACTAAAGGTACTTGAAGAGGATGTCATAACCGGTATTCTGTAAGCTCTTTTGACAACTGGACACGAATTATTTACGATTATAATATCGCAAAAGCATAGCATGGCTTACGATTTTTTTATGTACGAAATTGAGCGCCTTGTTTTTCTTCTAAATTTCGAAACTGCTCTGCTGGTTGCACTTAAAAAATTCTCGATACCTGGTATTGTATAAAGTATTTTGCGACAAATTATCCGCGGCCAGTTGTCTTCGCCGCGAAAAGTCGCGCGTCGAATTTGAGTACGGCGAAATATCGCACTCCCATGAGTCCGAGTGCGCTTTTCAGAGTGAGTTGACGGTGCTGACTGCTCACCGGCATTTAAAGCACGACAAATGTAGTCTGTCACGTCTTCATAAAGCCATTTATTCACTCAGCTCTTCACAGTCGTACTGACAGCTTATTACGCTGCTGCTGTTCACGATAATATACGTTGCTATGTCACATCATCACACCTTCCCCAGTGTGTGAAACACACTAAAGAAAATGCACGATAACTGAACATAAAAATTGCAGAAATAACACCAATTAATCAGAAAATAAATCCAAATTAATATCAGCGGTATCTTTCAGTGTTTCCTTCTTTTTCCGTTTCTTCTCCCTCTTCATTTGGCTGCGAGTCATAACCAGTCCACTGCTTGAAGCCGTCTCCATTTCCTTCTCGGGTACGCTTCCGATTGGCGCAAAATTACTGACCCCGTCAGTGTTTCAGCCGTCGCTGACTGCCACCACGCTCTGCTGAAGATCGCAGGCTTCTGCCATTTCGATCGCCACTAGTTCTTCTACGCTCCGGTTCTGCTCCGGGTGATATCGCCGATGCTCCACCGGTCTCCAGTACCGCGGAGTCGCTTCTGTGCTCCGTCGTGCCATTTCGTCCACCTTTATACGCAAGGCAGTCAACTCGCCCAGCACAGAATCCAGAACAGCATCTCCGTCCTTGCTGCATCTCCAGGGGCGGCTGCTCGCTCGCCTGGTATAGCTAGGCCGATGTTTAACCATACAGTCAAAATCATTATTCAAATTGACCTGTAGCACATCAAACTCCTCTTCTATCAGATTGGTGCGCCGTGCACCATCCCTCTGCTGCTCTTTCTCTTTTGGATCGGCGCGACAGGCCCTGGCAATGTGGCCTAACTTACCACAATTGCCGCACCGCAATTCTTTTGCCTAACATTCGGCTTTGCGATGGTCGCGCTCTCCGCATCCGTCACAGCCCCCATCATTATATGGCCATCGCGGCATCTCGCTTCCCCCTTCGCGGTTTCGCTCCCCGCTGCCGCTGCTGCCGCGGCGGTTTTCACCTTGACCTTTTTGCCATTTCGGCCTTTCTCCACGGCCATTAGGTCCATGACCTTTACTCGGGCCAAGCCCTCACGAACTCGAGCCACATCCACCGCCTCCGTGGTCTTCTTCGGCTCCCGGGCGAGCTCATGCAGCTCGCAAATTTCCAAGCACTCCTCCAGCTTGGTGCGGGATTTAGACATAAGGTGCAGTCTTGTGTTCTCGCTTGCGAGTCCGTTTGTGAACGCGGCCATCAAGTTTTGCTTGAGGACTGTCGCAGGGAATCCTACCACGGTGGCATTCCGGCGCAGTCTGTTCGAAAACTCCAGGAGCGTCTCCCAGGTTCCTGCTTTATTCTAAAGTATACCGCCCACTCCGTCTGCTTCAGCGTTTTCTTCACAAACGCTTGCTCCAGTTTATCTGCCAGCTGGCCAGCGGTGAAATCGTCCTGACTGCCAGGCAGGCACATGGAGATAAGAATCTCTAGCGCCTCCACGCCTAATGCGTCCAGCAGCACCGCTTTCTGCTCGGCCAAGTCCGTGACCTTGTGCAGTGCTACATAGTTTTTGTAGCGATACTGCCAGGATCGCCAGGTCATCGCGGCTGGCTCAAATCTCATCAATCCACCAGTGTCCTCCTTTCTTCACCCCGACAGCATGGCTGCACCACTTCCCGAAGGCATAACCACACTGTTCGTAAACACTTTTTCACTCTAAACGGCAATGAGCTCGATTCCTTACGCCAGATTGTCACGTCTCCATAAAGCCATTTATTCACTCAGCTCTTCACAGTCGTACTGACAGCTTATTACGCTGCTGCTGTTCACAATAATATACGTTGCTATGTCACATCATCACGTCATAGTCTTATCTCCAAACCGTGAAATTTTCAGCACATCTTTTGGATGTTCCGAAAATCGCAAACCACAACCGATTGCTGTTGAGAAAAACCAAAACATCAAATTCAGAAAAACCGAACATTAAATTCTGATAAACAGATAGCAAAATTGTTTAGTTTAGGAACTCTGTACACTCTTCATAGTCTCCGAGAACTGCGTCTTGAAGCGATTACGCTTTTTGTGTAGAGAGCGCTGCCGTTGTTGTTGAACGCAACTAACCGGCAGTGTGCAGTTTTTAAGTGCGCAGATCTCCAAGTTTAATATGGACGAATCAGTTTTATTTTGTTGTATTCGGGATAGAATGCGTACGTACTCGTACTAATTTTATTATTGCCTTTCCGCCTTCGTTATTAGATATTTGAAAATTACAAAATCAATAGGCGCTTGTGAACGTAAAATTAAATTTTCTGTATCATTTTTGACCAAGGCAGATCACTGCTGGGGTCTTGATTATATCTGTACTTCAACAAACATTTTTCACGTTATTATCCAAAAACTGTCTTGAACAGAATAGAATCTCTTTCAAAATGCTAACGCAGATGAATGATATTTTTTCCAACGGTGGAAATATTGAACCGGGGAATATCTAGCATAATTTTTACTATGTACAGAGAGACGTAGGCTACTACGTATTTGCTTCGACCACACTGCTGTTTAGCGGTAACAGTTCTGTGCCTTCAGTTGGCAACACATCATCACTTGACACTTCGCCCACATCGCCGAGATACGGGTGCGTCAACTCGGTGGATGCCGTGGAAATCTGCAGACTTGGCCTTGCTACAATGGCGACACTTCCCGCCAGCAGTGGCCCGCTCTCCAGCGTTGTCACATTTCCGGAACGATGATGTGGACAGCCGGTCCGACGCCAAACCAAAATGGCAGCCAGTATTACGCACAGACCAGCAGCTCCTCCCAGACAGCCATAGATCCAGGTGTAAGATGTGGTAGACCCTGGCACCGCATCAGCCGTTTCTGCAAGAATACAACCGAGCGCAAAATTATTATGGTGAAGATGTGCTCTAAAAAATTCGTTCACCATTGTCTGGATGTGGCAGCACAAGTTTATCTGTACGTGGCGTCGATAGCGATGTGACCCGCACTGCATTGCCCACTGATATTACAGGGAACCGCCCCCCTGCAAAACAAATATTTATTTCGTTCCAAGTTATTTCGTACCACGGATGGAGGACACCATACGAAATGGCTACTTAATAAAATTTCTGTGAAATCACAAACGATTAATTCGTTTTTTCTTCAGAGGATTCGGATGCTTGCAGCACGCAGGAAAACGGACGTTAGCGTGCAAGAAAACAATGATGATCCGTAAAATATTAACCATTCCGCAATCGTGCGTTGTTATAGCTATGTTTAATCAATTTCTATAATATAGATACTAAGCGCTTCACTTCAAGTGATCGATAATCCTCCTTTGAAGAATGAAAAACTTATTTTAGTGTCCAAAGAGTAAAGTTCCGCTGGCTTTCAGTTTGGTAACAATTAAACTAAATCCAATATTGTTAAACAATCGAAACAATGCTACGTTGTTAAGCGGAGCGGACTTACAGCATCTGACACGTAAAAGTTGGAATCTGACGCAATATTTTAACATGCATGGGCACAATGGTATCATGGGCGATTCGGCCTACCATTGTTTCCTACCATTGTTCAGGATCCGAGTTGAAGTGCATTGCGTCAGCGTCAACCTGGATCCCATTCAAATGGTGCAGGCGTTTTGGCCTACCGTTTTAACGTTTTCGGCCCACGCAGATTTAGTCGGTGAAATGCAGTTAGGCATACACGTGCTTTTTGTTTTTTTGGACAGCTTTTCATAACTCTTGCAAAAAATAGAATAAGTAAAGGCAAAAAACCATATTTTGTTACATTACAATAGTAAATTGTAATCTACTCATTTTCTTTATATCTTGTTATGTTGCTGGCTAAAGAACTATCATTACGTCGATGTCGCGTCCACGTCGCGAGGTTCAGATAACCCTGACATCCGACTTGTTTGTTAGTGAGGCTTTTTTGGGCTTAAAACATTTTTGCAGTCTTACTGTTTAAACTTAGTGTTAATATGATTAGGCCAAACCGCCAGTCTTCCACCGTAGGCCATGGTCCTTTTATTCTATGTCGCAATAGAGAATAAAGGGGCATTATACGGTTAATACAATGGTAGGCCGAATTGCCCTCTGAACCGGGCACAATATTATACATGCATTAGTGGGAGGAAAAAATACCGGTGCATTGCGTTTTACTCTTTGCATACTTCTAGTCATTTCGCTATTCGAAATCCTCAGCACACCAAGCAAAAATACATGCTTAGTGGATTACACAGCACATGAATTACCAGCGTATAAACTGTCCTGGAATTATTCGAAACATACCCGGTTCCGGTGACTGGTTTACAAATCCAGCTTTGCACTGCTCTTTGTCATAGGCCATTATGGTTGCTGTGCTTCCGGGTTCGCCTAAACGATTATCGCATTCTTGCAAGTAATCGATTATCAGACTGTTCTTTCTCTTACATGCATATAAACAGCATTTATGTTCTTAGTACTTACTGTAACTTTGCATGCACAACCCTTTTCTACACAGCGTGAAATGTTCGCGGAATCATAGATCAAACAGACATGTGGATGTAAAGATATTATACAAATTGTAGCTTGCAGCTTACAAAATTATCAGAATTAGGCTTGCAAGAACACGTCCACATGTGTGACAAGTAAAAATGTCCCCGTGTCCCACGGACATTTTTGCCATGCCCCTCCTGCCTCCATCACCAAACCGGTAACCATTTGGTTGGAATGGTAGCATGGGGGGCCTACACGGGAAAGCTGATTGCAAGTCGGTTCGTGACCTTTCGAAAACTGCCACAGGCGTTACACCAGCGTTCCATGCCAAAAACATTCCGAAATTGGTCATTATGGAGACAGCAGCGTCGCAATGTTTTACTAAGTATCTGGCATGGGTGATGAGGGGACATTATTACCAGTCACACATGCCAACAATAACCAAATACAATCTGCAAGCTCTTGCGCGCAAGATGCTCCAATAAGCGATAACCTAACCAGAATGGAATTGTGAAATATGTACACTTACACAGCGGTTCGTTGATCGAGTATTCCAGTTGAGAAAAATTAAATTTGATGTCCGTAGTGTGTGGTAGGCTGGCAAAACAATCGACGGGATAAAATACGTAATTCTTCTTTATTCTACCATTTCCGGCGACTCCCACAACAAATGTTAGTTCACCTTCCTCTAGTTCCGTTCGCAGCGCTTTGTTTTTTCTTCTCCACATTCGAAAGTCGGCGAAATCGCAGCCGCAGTGCAGTCTGCGTAGGTAATCGATTTGTTGAGATAGACTGACATTAAAAGCAGAACTGACTGGACTAAACAGATTGTGCTCCAGGCTTAGCACTTTCAAATCTAGCAGCGAGCTGAAAGTTCCATTTTCCAGATTAAGTATAGTGCCAGCAGCAAATACTAGAATTTGCAACCTGGGGAAACCGTAGAAATCCTTCTTTCTTATTATCAGCCCGTAACACATCATCAAACGAAGGTGCATCACATTAATGAAACCGAAAACGGGCAGCAGGGATGTGAACCGACAGTTTTGACAATGGAAAAAAGTCGCAAAAATGATTTGTCTGCGAATTGGCCGAAAAGCGTCTGGCGCGTCGTGTATATAACGGTTAACCACTATCTGCAGTATGACGACATGTAGCGGGAGTTTGGCTACTGTTGCAGCAGTTTGATTCCAATCATCTATCGTGGTGCTCGGGCCACATAACAAATCTATGGCTCTACCTCTTGACGTGCAGTTAACGATATTCGAACTCGCACATCTCAATCTGGATAACGTATTGCAGGTTTGCAAAGAAAGCAGTTCTTTAACAAAACTCGGGAGCGGCTCGTAAGCACCACGGTGTTGCGGTTGCATTGTACAGTTGTAGGCAGTGTACAGCTTAACAATGTCCTTGGCGCTCAAAGTTCGCCGCTGCCCAATTTTACTTGGTTTTCCTTTTCGTGCCGTTTTCTTGGGAAGAAACACCGGCAAATCCGATTGTTGGGAGTCGGTCAGGTCGAATGCGCCGTAATGCATGATCGATTCCAGATCGTACTCCGTTCCATACGTTTGCATCTGTGGAAGCTTACGAAGCAGAAAACTGTCTGGTTGAACGTTCGTTCGGTTGAAATATATTCGCAGGTAATCATCCCGATCCGCTCTGTGATGTTCGTGAAAAAGTCCCATTGCGTGAAGAACCAGATGCTGGATAGCTCCGCGAAAGATGCAGGCTTGTGACAGCGTGATGTTTTGCTGTCCACCTTGTCTGCCGACGCTGGACTGGCACCTGTAATAATAATTATTATAGTTTGCTGGTTAGGGTTTTTTCACCACATTTTCGGTCTAAATCTGCTGACTGATGGTTAAAATCAGTAAGGTTGTTAAACTATATAAAGTACTCGTAGCTGATACCTTAGACCGAAACAATCACAGAGTCAGAGGCGGTTGCTTGTTGTATCAGAAAAATCGCAATGCACGGACTCCCCCGCCTACCTTTGTCCCAGCTGAAAGAAAATGTAATCGTCTTCCCGCTCTTTAAGTTTGAACGTTACGCATTGGGACGTGTATGCCGAGATAGTATGCAGTGCATCCTTGATTTCCTCAACGTCGGGCACATCTTCGCAGAACCAAATAAACAGATAATTCGTTTCATTTTATTTAGTGTCCGACGCAAGCATTTTTTATGTGCATTGGTTTTGCGGAATATAAGTGAAAAAAGTAAAAACTTAAGAATGGGCGACTCTACTGTAATACTGGTATTCAGACTGAATTACGTAAAACATTAGATATTGATGTGTTGGTGGTAAGTACCCCATTCAATGATGGTTATCATACCGAACGCTTCGCTGATTTCATAAGGAACATTTTTGCCGTTGTTTGGCCAATAGCGGCTGGCAGTCAGATATCCGGACTCCGCAACTGAACTGCTACTAAGTGCTTGGTCGTCATAATGGAAAGCACTGCCTCCCCCGTCAACTGCCTTTGCGGTTAGTTCCGATCGTCGCTCTTGCAAGATTACTCTATTCAGGCTAGCTGTCCAATCTAAAACATAACAAAGCTACCTAACGTTAGATACTTTGTATCGCGATTTGCTTGCTTCTGTTGTGTTTGTCGCTCCACAATAAATTTTACTGAATTAATAACAACGTAACTCACTTTCATGTTAAAGAAACCTTGAATTACCGAAGCTTTACGCTCCGTTAAAAATGCCGCTGAGCGCGGACCCGTAAACTTGCGCTACACTAAATTCATATCGTCAGATTGGTTTGCTTTACAGAAATACCGGTAACTAAGGTTATCATATCGGTCAAATTGACTGCATACCTTTCTTCGAAGTGCTGCTTTTACTGTCCATCGTCCCGCTTTCGCTCGGGTAAGATTTCTGCAAGCTTGTTATCACTGGCAAGTTCGCAGACGAACTAGCATTTTCGCAGCTTGGAGCATTGAGAGAGTAATTGAACTGGCTAGAATTTTCAGCTAACAGTAAAAGCAGTTGATCGTCGTTAATCTTCCCGATAGCGCAGTCGAAACGCTGATAGAGTTCCGCTTTTCCCCAATACCACCGCTTCACGCCGGTTCCTCCCTCGACCTCGAATTCAAGTATCGTCGTCCAGACGTTCGGCAGGTCAGCTCTATAAATCATTCTTTCATTTCTGTACGTGTCAATTGAGACATTCGAAGAAACAGTTGGTATCTGGTCAATGATACGTTGCTGCAGCCACGCACGAAATGAAGAATATTCGCAATCACAGTGAAGCCTCAGTAGATACCGATAATACGCTGAGTCATCGGTGGGCACTTCTTGTGCTTCGTATTCTAAGGAAAGAATTTCCAAATTCGGAAGAGAGCTAAAGGTGAACTGTGTAACTCCGACCACCGTTGAATGTGCAAACAGTATGATGCGAATATTGGGAGTGGTAGCGAAATCCTCTACCTGCACCATGATGTTGTGGCAGTTAGCAACGGCGAGATACAACAGATTTTCGAAATACAAGGAAGCTAATTTACTAGTTGCCCGCTTTCCCACGCAATCGTAGATTGTCATGTTTAGAATCTGCGTTCGGATTGGGGAAAACGCACGGTAGGTTATGTAATTTCCATCATCCAAGTTTAAGTTCACAACCCGTAATGGTGGTTTGGCAAGTGCAAATGCTATTTCTTGCACGTCTCTAACCGTCGCATTACCCAAACACTGAATATTTAAAAACGGTTGAGAACTGGTGAATAGATTCAGACAATAATCTAATACAGCCAATTCCGTAGCTTGTAGAGGAGAGCGCTTTTCCCATGGTTTGCAAGTTTTCCCAAATTGTAACCGACATTGTCGTAAATCGATGGGAGACAGAGAATATACTCGCTTAAACTTCAAAGATTCATAGGTTGCATTGACCGAGCGTGTTGGACAACGAGGTTCGTTGACGGAAAATTCGTTTTGCGCGAAATTAATCATGCTGAAATCAGAAGGAAATGGCTGCATCGCGCAGTCAATCGGTATGAAAATATCGATCCTGTTGAACTCGCTCCCGGATATGTATCTACTGGCGGAATCAAAAATAACAGATGATTCAGGAACAGGCTGAAGGATACCACTTTGGTCGAGCCACCTTCTCAGCCAGGCAAATTCGCAGTCGCAGTGGATGCGCTTTAAATATTCTAGCATGCTATGGACAAGGTTGCCGTCGAACTTCTCATTATTGTATAACATACGGTCCTGGTCCGTACCAAAGTTCCTGAGCAAATCCTCATGCCAAGATATTATTCGCAGTTTCGGCAAGTTAGTAAAAGTGCCCTCTTCCAAGTACAAAATTGTTGTAAGTTGAAAAACTATAACTCTCAGCGACGGCAAGGATTTAAAGTCAGACTTCTTGATTCGAATGTCAGCACAGCGAAAGATTATCAACTCCTGGAGACTGATGAAAGAAAAACTTGGAAGTTTTGACGTACTATCACTAGCTCGACAGTGACCCATCTGCAAATGCTTCACCAGTTTCTCAACTGGATACAGGGCTTCTGTTGTTATCTGTGAGTCCGTTAATACCAGAAAGATTGGTCGCAAAGGCGGTTTAGCCATGGCTGTTGTCGTTGCTCGCAGAAAAGAATTATCTGCGGATTCATCACAGTATAATAGTAAAAGGCTATCACCCGTGCAATTGTCTACGGTTGAAGTAACACTCCTGCAGTGGTCATTGAACTGTAGAGCACACTGTTCTGCTTCCATAGGCAACCCGGAGAAGCCAGGAAAGGGTCGTTCCTCGGAATCCTGGTCGTTTTTTTCATCCCCCTGGTCAACTTGACACTGGTACGCAGTGCGCAACTTTGCGGCATCGCGCACGCTTAAACCCTCACGTTGTCCCATTCGATAAACACCGTCCTTTCTTGGAATCATGACCGGGCGGAAAGCAGTTTTAGCAAAGTCGTATGGACCGTAGTGCATCAGCGATTCCAGATCGTAATCCGTTCCAAAAGTGGGCATGTTGGGAATGATACCGTACTGCGATTTGTGACTGTCCATTATCTCGTCCTCGTAAATAATCACACTAGCATTCCGGTCACTGCGACTGTGTTCGTGAAACAAACCGACAGCGTGAAGAATTTCATGCTGAACTATTCCTAGCTGCATGCATCTGGCTGGATCCAAAAACACAGGCTGCATGCCGCCTTGAATTCCAACATAGGACGAACAACTGCAATTCCAGAATTTGTTTTTTCAACCTGCAGTGAGACTTTAGCGAACTATGGTAGCCGCACTCCAACTCGAGAGTGTGTTTAACAGATACCGTGCTTATGGCCTAACTGCTGCGTTTCCAATAAGCAAAAAGTTAGTGGGACCCTAGTAACAAGAGTCAATATAATTTTGATTATCACTGCCTTGAACCGGGCGCGGTTCCGTTGCATGATTCAGCACGAACACAATAAATTCTCCATTGTAATATAACACTGCTGCAAATCAAGAAGTCTCTTATATGTAACTACCGGTGCTAGTAATGTCACAGCCCAATACGGTCGAGTTTTTACATGGCGTACTACGACAAAACAAATTAGGCAGCCTACTTTTCTCCGGGCTGGAAGTTGATATAATTTGATTCTTTCCCTTTCTCCGTAAAAGTTACACAACGAAAGGTTTTGCTCTCGATTGCAGCAATGGCTTGCTGAATAACAAAAACATCTTGCGATCCTGCAAATACATGAATACAGTAAATTTGAGGGACATGAGGTGCTTAATGTAAACGTGCCGTAATTGCCAAACTCGGTGCTCTGGGGCACAAGCAGTTGTTAGCTATGGAGAAGAGGCACTTATTTGGGAGACATGCCCTAACCCAGTAAGTGCCTGTTCTGTGGGGTGCCGTTATATTTTAATCAGTGTATAAGCTATTATATAGATGTCCAAACAGCATCACATTGGGGTCTACTGAAACTGAACGCCGTGTTTACCTGATACCAGTATATGGTTTAACGGCAGTCCTGGATTTGCGATTACCGTACCCAGCTTGCATGCACCTCTGCTTGAGCAGCCAAACTGTACAACCTTTTAGTGGCTCTAAGGTCATTACAGTGAAAGCACTTTTGCGTAAACCCTCCGTACAAAAAAATTCGCACGTAATTAATATTTTTGAAGTTAGAATGTTTAAAGTGAATAGTAATTTTGGTACGCGTGGTCGTGTACTTATTTCCAAGGATGTGTATGCCTAAGAGCGTACGTAACACCGGTTTTTCTGAACTTCTTTACAACAACTAGATTGTACTCCTATGTGCAGGCCTATTTAAGGGCTCGTCTTCCCTATTCAGCTGACCGATTAATTCATCTACGTAATTTAGGGCGCAATTATCGTTTTGCGTTTGACAATTATTAACGACCCCCTGAGTGGAAATCTTGGTGAAGCCATATTTTTCAAACCTGATGGCAGAGAGCCACCTATGGCTCGTTTCGTACCGCTCCAAAAATTCGACCCATCATTTTCGGTTACGTATCCCTAGTATTCCCGTGTATTCCACCGGTATTAGTTCGTGTTCTGCCTGTATTCCGCTTTAACCGCCTCGTGTCCGTTAAGGCCATGGCTGGTTCGGCTTTAATCCTAAGGTGCCATTTTGCAAAAAGAAACGGCTATATAGATTGAAGACTGCTCTATTAGATGGCAACATTATCAAAGTGATTAAACTGCAGGGTTATGAAATATGAATTTTTTAAGTTAGCTGCCTAAACTGAATAATGGTGCAAGCAGTGACTGGCCCGGCTCACCATTACAGACGCTTATACAAATTAGCGCACCTGCGATGAAATCAATGGAGAGCGCAGAATTGTGATCCACATCTTTTGTTTTACTGACAGCCATAAAACCGAGCACTGGTCAGTAGAATGAGAGCGAACACCGAAAGACAATAGATTTCGATCACACCGAAGTGTGAAAGGAAGCGAGCAATCGGCTGTCTGGACAGTAGAGATGGGCATCGGATCCAAATTTTAAATCCGAATCCGATCCGCGAATTTTTTAAAAAAATCCAAATCCGATCCGTATCCGAGTTTTTATGGATTACAATTTCCGAATCCGATCCGTATCCGACCATCGGATATCCGAATCCGATCAGATTTAAATCCGACTTAGTTACAAAAAAAATTAGTTTTTGATAATAAGCACTATACCCGTCACAGAAATTTTCGCAGTAGCTAATACTAGTTGGAAAAACCGTTTGCGCTAACTGTTGGTAAAAAAAACCTGAATTTGTGACATATAATACTGAGAAAAAGCGAATGCACTAACTTTCAGTAAAATCCTTGGTGGAACACTAGTGCAAAACAGACAAATCACATTCGGTTCAGCTGTAACGTGTAACAGGAATCTTGATTTCCCACCACATAATACATTCTTGAACTTCTTCCGCATACGGCGAATGCGGATTTTTTTATTTCTTAAAGACGAAAAATGTTTTATTTGTCGTTGCGCAAGCCGGTCGGATTTTCTCGGATATTAGAAAGCAATCTGAACACTACGAATACAGTTCCGAATACGAATCCCCGCCTATTTTGTTGACGTCATAGCCCTATTCGTTTCGTAAACCTTCCGTAAAGCACGAAATTTAAGCTTTGAATCGTAACGTGTCTCCGGATAGCTGTCGATTCTGCCTGTGTTGATGGAATTCCGTTTGCTCTGGATTTTAAGTAGAGAAAACATTCCTCTTTTTTATGAGTTTAAGAAGTTTTTGAAAACCCTTTTCACAAGTTAAGAACAAATTTTTGATTGACATGAGGTATCACAACTGAAATTACGTTAAAAAATTAAACTTGTACGAGTCGTACAGCCGTACGCATCGAGCTCAACCGACCAATAGGAAAATTCTAAAAGCAGTTGGATCGAGTGCAGCTAGTTAACTTGCAGTCGCCGACTCGGGCGGTTGAGCGCTTCCGGTCTGAGGCAGTTTTTGCTTGAACACTTCGGCCGCGCTACGTTTCGGCCACATGTTATCAGTTCGGCAACATACAGTTAGCCTTACTCACTTCGGTCCGCACTCTATTCGGCCACCGTTACATGTCATTTCGGCTTTTATTTTTGTTGTGTCAAGTTGTTACTTAATATTTGTTGTTGTTAGCACTTTCGTTTTTTTAAAAGAGAAACTATTTGTTTTTGTCAGTTTTTTTAGGTTTCTTTGGTATCTTTGGTTTTTTAGAATTTATTATACGTTTTGGTTTTCTTCTGTGACGAGAATTTTTGAATTATGAGAGGCTGGTGGTGAACTGAAACTGCAGGTGAACGTGGTGTAATGTCACTGTAATCTGTGTTCTGTTCCAACAAAATAGTTTGCTTCTTTTTCTGTGTATCAAGTGATCTGTTGTCAAGTAACAAAAAATTTATATCACACACATTATAATTGTTCGTCATTACGCAACCATAAACATGCTCAGGTTATCGATATTAGCTGTATTTATGGGCTTTTTTCCTAATAAAAGTAAGTATTAATGAAATTTCGTAAACAGATAAAAGTTGGCAACAATGCATCGACGCATTCTTGTAATCTTCTTACTAGGCTGCAAGTTTGCAAAGTTTTCGATTATCAATAATTTACATTGGTGGACTACAGCCTGAATGTGATGTGGTCGAATGTGAGTGGTGGCCGAAATTACCGTAACCGAAGTGTAAATAGCCAAAATCATCGGTACCAACCGTGTCGGCATTTGGTTCGGTCCGAATGCATAGTCAGATCTCGGTTGCGCTTACGAACACGATTTCAATCCGTGTTCGTATTCGGTTCCGTATTCGTAGTGTTCAGATTGCTTTCTATTGTTTCACAATCCGATCCGATCCGAAACTTAAATTTTAAAATCCGACCCGTATCCGAATCCGAACTCACTCGGATTTCTATCCGAAAATCCGAACCGAATTTCGGATCGGATCGGATTGGATCGGATATTCCGACCCGATGCCCATCTCTACTGGACAGTCACTATGGTTTGGTTTGTGTGGTGGGCTGAAACAGTCAACGTGCCTTTGACTCATGTAAACTTGTCTGAACTGTCAAAAGCTACCGTTCAAAATGCACCAAATGAAGTCTGAAAACTAACTCCTAATTCTGGCGATATAAGAAAATTTTCAAACTTGATGCATTCAATTAAGAAAAACCATGGAAGTTTAATTGCGAGAGCGATTTTGAAAAAAATCGTTTTTACTCAAGTTATTTACGAAAATCGAAACCACAAAAGTGTTTTTTTTTAAGTTTGTGAAGTTTAAAATTTTTTTAACCAAAAAAGCCCTCGCAAGGTGCAGAAGAACTACGTTCACGATTTTCTTGGTGGTCTATCTAAAACTCTGTGTGGTTCTCTACAGACTAGTTAGTTTTTTAGCGTGATTTTTTCGATTCAAACTTTAAACTGTGTGTTGTAAACCGATCTTACCAGTTTTAAGTTGTGAATTTTTCTCGATTTAAACTGGACAGACAGGTGTATTGAGAGAAAGATACGATTTTAAGAAACTTGAGAAACCGGCCTTTTTCGTCTGAATTAAGCCGAACTAGCCATGGCCTTAAGTTTTTCTTTGCAGCGGGCCCTGTATTCCCGCATATTCCACCGGTATTCGTTCGTCGTCTGCTTGTATATTTATGTTTTCTTATGCTTCTCAGTCTGACTACAGGCGGAATACAGGTAGAACACGCGAGAATACGTGGAATACACTCAATACCGGGCCTACCACAGTGTCACTTAATGGATACGAAGCAAATAAGGCGGAATACAAACAGAACCCGAACGAATACCGGTGGAATACGGGGGATACAATGTGCGCTGCAGAGAGGCACTTAATGGATACGGAGCAGATTAGACGAAATATAGGCCGAACAGGTATTAAGTGTCGCTCTGCAGTGAGTCCTGTATTCCCCGTATTCCACCGGTATTCTTGTGTGTTCTCCTTGTATTCTTCTGTATTCCTCCAAGTTTTTCTTCGTTTTCTATGTTTTCCTATGTTTTCTTATTTATTCCTAATTAAATTACAGGCAGAACTCGCGAGAATACTAGCTGAATACGGGGAATACAGGGCCCGCTGCAGAGAGACACTTAATGGATAGGGAGCGGATAAGGCGGAATACAGGGAAAACACGAACGAATACCGGTGGAATACGCGAGAATACTAGGAATACGTATCGAAAAATAATGGGTTGAATTTCTGGAGTGGTACGATATCGTCCATATATCGAGAGAGGCGCCTACTGCAAGACTGGGGGTAGGATCAAGGAAGCTCTTATTTCTGATATGCGCCGCCACGCAGCCCGAGGGCGGTTGGAAGTCAGTAGCCTTCGAGTAGCCGGGAAGTGTAACATTGTTAATTTTGATCAGGAATCAGAGACGTTCCCGTTAGTCCTGCGCGAACATTCAGGCCATTTGATGTACAGAAATTTGTGCAAGGAAAAATCCAAAATGGCGACGTCTCAGGAGCGGTGCGCATTCTTTGTTCCGAAGACGCTCTTGCACCCTGCACAGAAGCTACTTTCACTGAACTGCAGAACAAACATCCGGGTGTCAACCCGGATGCTTGTTACCCAGTATTGTCACCAGCCCAAAGCGATAAAATTAGCCGAGTTACACAGAAAGAAATTATCGAAGCAATCAGGAGTTTTCCAAACGATTCAGCTGGCGGTCTTGACGGTTTACGACCGCAGCATCTTAAGGATATGATAAGTGATACTGCAGATGACACTCCCAACATAGTGTGCGAACAGTTAGCGCTTTTAGGAGATATCATGCTCTCCGGTCGCGTTCCTACGGAAATCGTGCCTATTCTGTACGGCGCAAATCTGACTGCTTTAAATAAAAAGGGGGGTGGGATAAGACCGATAGCGGTCGGCAGCACTGTACGTCGCATAGTGGCGAAAATTGTGGTTAAGCGAGTGCAACAGCAGATGGGTGAAAAGCTTAGACCGAAACAGCTGGGATTTGGCACTCCCGGTGGCTGTGAGGCCGTTGTGCATGCTGCCAGGCGATTTCTTACGACCCCTTCAGAAGAAGTACGAGTCCTTGTAAAGTTCGACTTTCGAAACGCATTTAACACGATCCATCGCGATAAAATGTTACAAATCGTCCATTCTGAGTTGCCAGAGTACGTTCATTTCATTAGCCAGTGTTATCAAAACCCATCCAGTTTAGCTTTTGGCGAATGGGATATTCTGTCACAGGCTGGCGTGCAACAGGGAGATCCTTTAGGCCCTTTACTTTTTTCCCTCCTCATATTACTACTGATATTATCTTTGGTGTCACCGCTTAACGCATGGTACTTGGATGATGGTGTCATAGGTGGCAGTTTGAACGACGTACTGGACGATGTAGCTAAGGTCATTGCTACCGCCAGTGAGTACGGTTTGGAATTAAATCTCCTAAAATGCGAATTCTATATTTTCGGTGGTACTGTAGAAGACCGTGAAATTGCGCGACAAACATTTGTCAATCGTTACCCAGAGTTCCTGCAACCTACTGAAAGTGAATTGGTATTGCTCGGTGCTCCTCTTTTACAGGCCGCCATTCCGAATGCAATCGTTAAAAGGACACAAGATCTTCAGAGACTATCCTCGAAGCTAAGTATTCTGCCTGCACACCAGGCTTATTTTCTTTTGCGCACCTGTATTTGTATTCCCAAAATGAATTATTTACTACGATCAAGCCCAACTTGGCTGTGCAGTAACGAACTGGATATCTTCGATAATACAGCGAAATCGGCACTAGAAACAATAGTGAACGTTAAAATGGATGGCGTTACATGGGCACAGGCTTCGCTTCCTGTTTTCAGTGGCGGGCTGGGAATTAGGCGTGTGGCAGAACTAGCGACTTCAGCCTATTTGGCTTCGGTTTATGCCACATCGTCCCTAATTTCAAGCATCGCCCCTGGAACGGAGAGCCTTGACTTTGTGCACCAGTTGTGGCAAGCAGCATCAGGTGCTGAATTACCGTCAGAAAATCAACGAAAGACGCAGAAAGTGTGGGACGCCGCTGTGGTCAAAAAAGCTTGCGAAGATATTACAAGCTTGTATGTAAATGATGTTACACATTGTGCGCGTTTGCTTGCAGTTGCGCGGCCGGAATCGGGCAAATGGCTGAACGCCCTCCCTGTACCTTCACTTGGAACGTTGATGTCAGACGAGAGTTTCCGTGTAGCAGTTGGACTACGTGTCGGCGCGCCAATTTGCAGTCCCCACTTTTGCGCTGACTGCCGTCTGCCTGTCGACCAATACGGCCACCATGGACTTTCGTGTAAGAAGAGCGCTGGACGTTTTCTTCGTCACTCCTCATTGAACGAAATAATTCGGAGAAGCCTAGTTACCGCCAATATACCGGCCGTACTGGAACCGAGAGGGACCAACGACGAGGATGATCGCCGGCCGGATGGTGGGTCGCAGCTGCCTTGGAGAAACGGACTACGACTCGCCTGGGACGTGACATGTGTTGACACCGTGGCCTTGTCTAACGTCATCAGCAGCAGCATCAAAGCCGGAGAAGCTGCCAGGAAAGCGGAAGAAGAAAAGTGCCGAAAGTACGAATATCTGGCGCCGGAGTACGACTTCGTCCCTTTAGCTTTCGAGACTTTTGGCGTCGGCGGCCCAGCTTGTTTGAAATTTTTACGTGAGCTAGGAAAACGCTTGAAGAATGCTTCTGGAGAAAAACGATCATACGAGTTTTTGTTGCAACGTCTTAGTATTGAAATACAGCGCTGGAATGCGCTGTCTGTGACGTCCACTGTTCCATGTTCTGATGGTTTTAATGCTGTTTAGTTTGTGTTATAATGTTTTTTGTAAGTGATGTGTAAATTACTGTCTAATAACTAAACCAATAAAATTCTGGGGACACAGTCGTGGCTGCTCCATAGCAACGCGTGCTCCTACTGTAATTTTTAATTAGGGCGCGTTTGCAAACCGTGCTGTCTGCAAATACGGGTGGCACATGAAAATTAACAGAAAACCAAGGTCTACAAAGCGAAAGACACATGCATGATAAAAATGAGTAGTGTGCTCGGTAAAATCTGCGGTCAGTCAGTGGCCCCGGTATGACAGTGCGGTGCGCCTAACATGCGCCAATCTGTACGTGATAAGTAGCGTATGCGTAGTTCCCATTTTGGCGCACTGTCCATTCCGGCGAAGATCAGAAATTGTAGGCGCACACCAAGCCCGATAATTACGGTCCAACGTACATGTATTATTCTGAACACATACTTTTTTTCGCCTTACCAAATAGATCGCTTATCCGATAGGGCACTTTTCCGTTCGGCCAGAGCGAAACCGTTTGTCTCCCTAAACATTGCTGATTTATTCCGCAGAAACAGTGTAGGTTATTGTGTATTCTGCATTTCTATCAAGCACCTGGGTTTGGAATATTCGCAGGAATTTATGATATGTCAGTCTTAGGTAACGGCATAATATTCCGCATATTCAGGTACTCCAAAAGAGTAGATTACTCAGTTAGCCATACAGAGTTGTACCAGCAGCTTTTGATTTTCATTGCATTCTCGGGGGTTCCTATTTCGTTTTGCTGCTATCCAACCCGCAAAATAACATACATTAGTGCCACAAAGTCAAGACTTTCGCTACAAAAAATTTGGATGTTCTCATTAACCTTTCCGGACTTTGGCCATGTAAAGAATTTTTCAAAGCAGTTTTCTCTTTTCTTTAACTCGTTATGCCAAAATTTTGGAATGAAGAAAATTACCACGCTTATACAAAAACGTTACTAGTTTTTGGAAATTTATTTCTGGGTCTTGCACTACCTTTCATTCCGTGCACTGCACTATCTTTTATTCGGTACATCATCTTTTCGAGCAGTACGTTTGACTCCGTACTGACCAGTAACCATACAGTATCATTCGTCATTTGCGCTTATGTATATCTTAAATTTTTTTACATTAAAGTTATTTCCAGAACTAACGTTCTTTGTTTAACAGCTGTTTTTGGTTAAGATTCAACGCATCACTAGCAAAATTCTCGTGAGCAGAAAATTCGGCCTTCATGAGCCGGTTTTTTCTTTGCAAAGGTTTACATTGTGCCGTTATTAAACGAATTTCGACCCAGTGTCGCAGCTTTTTGTGTGTAGGAACTAGGAAGTTGACGCTGGGTCTCTATATAATATCAATTAAGTATTATAAAGTATAAGTATATATTTGTGATAATATTATGGAAATTAGTATGGTAGTTTGGTAATTGAAAAAGTATGGTAGTGCACCGAGTGAAATGTAGCGTGGATTGTTAGTGTCCGAATGAATGGTAGTGTCCAAGGTAGTTACCGAACAAGATGACCCACCATTTCGCCGACGAAATATCGGTGAGCCACCGAGCGAAAGTTAGCTCCCGAAAAGGTAGTGTACAGAGCAAAAGGTACCCATAGGGAAAGATAGTGTACGCAATAGTTACCTTTATTTTGACATCAGCAAATGGAATTCTGGCCTACCTGCCGTGCCTTGCGGGCCGATGCCAGCACCAGCATCAGCAAACATTATATCATCTTCCAAGGATCCACGGATGCTCAGATTGGTCCAGTGGGCTTTCATGACAGCGGGATCAATACGCGTTTCCCAATCTGTAAATACAATACTAACCGTTACTTCCGAAAAGGGGTGACCCGTCATTTCGTCGACCGTCACTTCGTCGAACAGACACAACGTCGACCCGTCACGACGTCGAGCTAACGTCTAGCTAAACCGTCATAGTTTTCTTATGTTATTTCTTGTTTTCTAATGTTTTCTTAATAGTCGCTTTCGTGACGGTCGATGTAGTGCGGTCGACGAAGTGTCGGTGAGCCCCGAAAGGTACCTCTTATCTCAAGATTTCTATGGAATAATTGTTATTTTTGATTAAAAATGATTCCGGGATACAGTTCCATGGGATAAAAAGAATACAGAGAGTCCATGTTTTGTGTGAAAAAAGTGTTTGGCCGGCAAAAAACCAGACAACATTATCGAAATTTAAGAAGCATACGACAGAGCACAAACTTTGCTAGAGGGCAAGACAGAAAACTTGATTTTTGTATTCCTGGCGTGTGAAACATCCCAGACATTATTGTGTAATAATGTAACATCAAGATACTTATTTCCGTATGTAAAATGTGTTTACGATTTGTAATTCCGATCCAATATTATTTCAATTTTGTTATAACAAATCAATTAAGTACTGTACTTAAATAATCAATAAAATTTGTAACGTAAACCGTTTTCTCATAACGAAGTTACTACATAGTTACCGTCGGGCAGCTCATCCGGGTCGTCGTCGAAATTGTCATGGTAATCCCTGTCATCCCAAAAACCGTCTACGCACTGAATAAAAACGCAAATAATTAACCGGTAAACAAGCATCTTGAATGCACCCACAACGGGAAACGGTTTGCCATTCCACCGAACGCTATGCACGCAGTTTTTGTAGTAGCCGTGTTTGCATTCATGCTTTTATTATTTCATATGGTATTTCGACTGGATGAAGCCGGTAGGTTTTGCTCCGAGCAAACTTTTGAACACGCCAAACCAGCAAAGCTTTGAGCACACGATCTCGTCTTTATAATTAATAGGTTTTTCACATGCGGCTAATACGGCTCGTATTACCCGCATGTGAAATGTATTAAACAAATGCGCGCACATACCGCAAATAGCGCTAACAGTAGAATCCACCAATACCATTGATTAATAACGCTCCAAATCGTGACAGACCGCATCGAAGCCGATAAAACTAGTACAAAGCAACGCGTCTTAGATTTCACAAGGATTTGAGTATCACAGTTATTTCAATAACCCATCTGAGCCTAATTTTCTGCAATTAAGTTTGTAATTTGAAAAGAGCTAATTTTGTGTGGCTAACGGCATCCTAAACGAAATTCATATACCATTGTTGCAATACAGATTATGGTTTATTATACTTGTGTATTATTGCTTGCTCATCCGGAAAGAGGCGCTACCGCCTCCTTGTCACTTTATTATGAACGATATACCGTATCTCGATAAATATACAATAATATTATGTATCAACTTTTTTTGAGTTCCGTAGGCTGTTATGCGGCAGAACGGCCCTGTAGAAATCAGGGGAAGAGTCACATGTTCTTTTTCAGAAGTATTGTCAACAAGACTCGTGCACTGGAAGCAACAATTAAGTAAAAGATGGTTTCCTCTCCACTACTTTACACACAAATTTTTTTTTTGGTTTGTTTTAGAAAAACTTAAAAAAACGTAGAAATTATAGCGGTTACGAGTAGGAAAGGACAATTACAATACAAATTATGCGGGATGCCCCCAATAATGCAACAAACACACACCGACCGCATAAAAGATGAACATAATCAATAAATATAAAGAAGCATGCACATGCTTGAGGCAGGCAGGCACGGCGTTTTGGTTGGATTGCAAATGGCGATTGCGTTGACTACACACGCTCGATGGGAGAGAGAAGAGAAATAAGACTCGAAGCGAGTCAACATGCGTGTGCGACCCACACCTAACTTCAGCAGGAACGAATACGACTTGCCTTACGCAAACCCTTTAAAACAGCTATAGAGCTATTTATGCAGAAACAAAATCAATAAAATTTTGTTAAAAAGTTATGAAGACCTAAAATTTTTTCAAATTTGTCCATTAGCCTTTCATTAATTTTTACAATAAAAATATTACTTCCATGAAGTTTTGAAAAAATCGAAATTTCCAAAAGTTATGAATTATTGCTTATGAAAATCATTATGCATTAGTTAAACAGTGAAAAGCTTAGTTGGGCCAGGGCCGCCAAGCGCAAACCACTGTTTAACTGACCGTTTATGAAAGATTGACATCCAACTACTTAAATGTTTTCGTTGTACTCGTACTTATAAACTGATGATCCCTATAATTATTTATTTGCTGAATACACTGTTTTCATTGCAATGGCAAGTTGCCCTCCGAGAGTCCGAATGACATCGCCCCTTACTGCACCGACTTTTATTTAGCCGCCATCCACCATGCCAATATGGTTATCGTTATCCTAATATCTGGCGACCGCCAGCGAGCAGCCGTCCCAAATGCAAGTTACGTATTGAAACTATCTGTGTGGCGCGCCATATTATGGCGTTTGGCGTAAGCCGTATGTAAATTTCGATGCGTTATGTATCTTCGAATTTCTCGCCCAGCTTGTAAAATCTGTCCAGGCGTAATAGTTTATGCACACTGTACCGGCTCGGCTGCTGTTGCCGAATAAAAGCAATCATTAGAAGTTTTATTGCCATCGCACGTTGCACGACTGCAATTTACCGTCATTTTCCTGGATAGTCCCTATCTGAGGTTGTTTTATACCACATGTTTTATAGCCACCAATAATCAGAAACGAGTTTTATGAAATTCCAAACTGCTAAGTGGTTTACCTTGCTCAATGACACCGAGGAAGTTATGGTAAAGGTAACCACAAAGAAGTAACAGGGCTCGGATATTACGTATACGGTATACCAATTATAGTCGTTATTTACCGGTATCGACTTTTCTGATACAGTAATACCACGCAATGTTATGCAAAATGGTGGCAGCATAATTCAAAACAACATGACGAAATAAAAACCACCAATTATTTGAAAAAAGTGTACTGCTGCAGTACTCCGCAGCGTCGTCTCCTTGAGTCCAGTTTGTGGGCAGGACGAACGGCGCCCCGGAAGTCCATATGGTTTCCACAAATAGTCCTCCGCGTAAATCTTGCAGTTCAACTGTCCCAGTTGCCAGGCATAACGCACGAAGCCCGCGTGTTGTCCGCATGTTATACTGCCGACCAAGACTATGTTCTGCATGGCTGCGTTCTGCATGATCGAATCCACCGAGCCGTTACATAGTGCCAAACTTTCCACTCTCGGAAGTTACCCAGTTAGATCGTCGGCAAAATGACGGCAGACCTATGCGGCTCCGGTAACAGGAAGTTTAGCAGCAATATATTTAGAATTGACCCACAGACTGACCTAGACTTTCAGTAGTTTTTACGGTTAATAACATCTTTATTGTATTCGATAACGATTTAGTTTCCATCTGGATCTGTTTCGGAAAGAGTTCTCGCCCGGTAGGTGGATGTAATAGAACTGCGACATCATCCCGGCGAACAGGCGGTCCGCAATTTCGTCCTTTTGGCGTGTGTACCGTCTGCTCATAAAAACCGTACGCTTCGGGATTCATCGCGGCGTCCGACTCGCCTGGGTGCCACAGCACCCGCTCAAGCAGAATCTGACCGCCGAACCGGTACTATTAGGGCGTTAACATTCTGTTCATCTGCCTAATCTTGGAAAGGCCAAGCCTAAAATTATTGACAATAAAAACCTCTGGATTTGTAACTACTGTGTTGACGTTTCAACTGAAGACGCTCGGCAAACGGCAGTTAGTAGCCAGCTAGCTAAGGACGTTTGTAGCTTTTCAAGTGACCTAAACAAGCCTGATTGCCTGAAGCCTGCCACGCCCGTTTACAGTGGAACGCAAATTTTGCATTTGTTGCACTAATTTTCCATTCACAACACGATCATTCAACATCGCGGTTTTCACCGCAGTAAAAATCACCATGACAGGTAAAAGTTTTAATCACAAAAAACTTTTATAACTTCAGATTTCTCTCAATCTTCGATCATTTGAAAGGTATGCTCTTATTCAACCGTCTAGAATTTCAGGTATTATTTGTTTTTTGAATAAATCTAATATCTTAACTGTTTATTCTACTTTTTCTTTGATATTGATGAACGAAAAGTTGATTATTAACAGACCGTCATTCTCAAGAATTCGCATTAAAAAACGTAGAAGAACCCAGATTACAGTACATCTATACTAGAAAATTCAAAAGACGCACGCCTCACTAATTTTAGTCAGGGTCGCTATTTTACGTAAATCCAGTAATACTCGTATAAAACAGCAATCTGCATCGTAATAGTTCATACACCTCGAATCCCGCTATATCGTTCATCAGTATTGATTACAGCGCTACGATCGGACTACCTGTCGAGACCAGCTTTCAGCGTTCCTTACCATGACCAAGAGGTCCCGTTGTTCCGTGCCGTTTCAGACTTCCTGTCCACCCCGACATTCTATTACGCCCCGGCTGGCATCTTCCAGCCTAACTCCACGGAAATCGTCTTAAACAACCAGACAGGCAAGCACTCTGTCGTGGCCACCATTCAGTTATGGGATCCGACCTCCAGCAGTTTGTTTAACGGGAGACACACCACTCTAAGCGTGTCTAAGGTGTTGCTGTTGCCTGTTCCGTTTAAATGGATGCGTGTCACGATGGGGTCGGACAATGGTCGCTCATGGACCACAAACGGTCGCTGGCAGCGTATCTCCCACTTCCCACATCACATCCGAATTGCACTTCCTTGTCAGAATACTACCGACTGCCGAAACACGCGGGAATCCAATTAAACTGATAGAGAAGCATTTACAGCGCGTCTGGCCATATCGTTCGGATTTCATATTCCGCATAACAGGAAAGCAGCCGTTTGCAGAGGTCCGCATCATTTGCACCATTCCTCAAATTTTCATAGTCTTATCGAGTAAAAAACCGGGTATGAGTATGTTTTCCTGTCGGAAACGGATTACATTGATTTCGTAGTCGAAGTGGTGGAAAGCGGTATCGAAGACACCGTACATGTTGGTGAATTCGTCGACGACGGACAACTGAAAATCGCCATCAAGCAGATGGCGTCGCTGCTGCGCCATAACATGACATCGAGTGCGGATTTCACGGAGAATATGTGGAATGCGACGTACCGCCGTGGGAATGACCTGCGTCGTGAAGAAAATACTGCTAGACCGGTGGCGATGCATTGCGTTAATCTGAAGAAACTGTCCGAGGGAAGGCCCTCGCACAATATTTCCGTGCGGGTCAGCAGCGGGGACGCGGACTACACGGCAACTGTACGGCCCATTACCGATAGCAACCATCGGGTGCAACGCGCGCCGACGACTCCCGAGCTAATCGGTCCATGGTCTGCCCAAGGGCTTGTCATAGACTACTTAAGCCCTCGGAGGTCGACGACACGACGTCCCATCCAAGAGTCCACAACAGGGCGTACCATGGCTACCACTACCAGTCCGCTACCGGAAAGGGGTAATTTTACTGTTTTCTTTGCTTCGGTCTTTTGATTGCCAATGATTGGTAACCATTAATGAAGTAACTGCAAGTTGCGCTGCAATTTTTTATTGATAGAATTTCGACTACAGTAATTATAATTTTACTCCAAATTTAATTTAGTGCACTGTGCACTCCTTTTAATTTCGGTTCAAGTTACCTCAAAATTTAATTATCTGCACCCACAGCAGAGCGAAACGCTTCATTTAATGTGACAGTCAAACTTTTCCAAATCCATATCTCCAGCACAATTTCCCAGTTCCCAGTATGTAGTACCAAAAACTAGCTTAGTGCAATGATTAGCCTCCCTCGAATAATATTCTGAGTCATCAGCCGTGATTTCTGCATTAAACGTTTTGCTGACGCTTGAATCCATGCAGCTTTTATAAATCCGACTAAAATTAAGCATTATAGCTGGAGAAGAGCATTGCGTGATAATTCTTGCAGGCTCGGCAATGTACAGTAAGTGATAAGTGATTAAAACCATTTTCGTTTGGCTCAGGTTGCGGTGGGCGGGTACACGTGGACACGACCATGCCCGGTTACATCAAATCACCGAATTATCCCGAAGATTATCCCGACCAAGCCTCGTGCACTTGGACCATCACCGCTCCTAGGGGTCAGAGAATCAAGGTACAGTATAAAATATTGGCACTAGACCAAGTATATACGTAACTGAAAGGTGGACTGCAAGTATGACCTCAATAAGCGGTGGGTATTTACGTTAATTATTTTCGATGCACTCAAATCTGATGTTCCCGTATCCAGCAGTTCTTTTTAACTGACATGATTGTGTTCTCTTTGCAGTTTACGTTGGAAGGCGAATTTGAAGTAACGTCATCGGCTTTTGTTATACTGCTATTCTTATACTGTTACTGCCAATACCAGCATACAGGTGGTCTGCAGTCGCTAGAAACAACCCTTATATCCTTGCAGGTCGAGGGCGGCTTCCAATCTAGTGCAACACTCTGTCCGTATGACCACTTAAGAATTGACGGAACCAGATACTGCGCGAATAATCCCTTCACCAGCAAAATCCTGTCAACAGACACAACGGTACGATGCATTCTCCGTTCGAAAAATTAACCGGTATTCACCAGGGCTGTAAACACCTTGATTTTGCTTTAGGTGGCCACATTTACTACCGACAATTCGAATACCGAGACGGGATTCTCCATTATAGTGGAAGCAGTCTCGTAGTTTCAGTACAGGAGTTTAATAAAATCAGTATAGCAGACATAAGGAGTATGTAATTTCCATTAGCTTATGCTGATTTGAGGATGTTTCACCTTTTGAATTTTTATCTTTTCCGAATCTATCTAAAAATCTAACAGAGCATTGCTGCCGGAGAAGTTTTCCTTGCATTTTGATCGCTGAGCTTGTCCAAGTGGTTCCCAGTTTTGCTAAATAAAGGTTTACATGCAGAATCTTCCCGCTAATAATTGCACACTTTCGCCATATGTGTGCAGCCATAAGCACATTAGTCAGCAGCTGAACTGCACCAATAAACACGCAGTCGGTCACATTCACAAAGCTATTTACAAAATGCAAGTTCCAGTGCTGCTTTTTGTATGCCCGTAGGCGTAATTCACCAGTTAGTACCCCGGGTCATTAGTTAATAAATTAGGTAAGTCTCAGTAGTCTGTGTTTTCGAACATACAGTAGTGCCGACGCTTTCGCTGCAATTGGTGCGAACTCATTGAATCCAGTCCGTTAAATTAGCGGTAAATCCAAATGATAATAACAAGACCGCAATTGTTCGGCAACACTTGCGACCGAGTGGATATGGTTTCCTGCAAAAAGTTATGCGCACACCAGTCAGCGATCACACATACAAGCAAAACAAACAAACAGTTTGAAGCGCCTGTTTCCCACCAGATGCTGCAACGAGTTCAGGCAAAACTTCCGTTCCGAGTTCAGGCAAAACTTCCGTTCCGAGTTCAGGCAAAACTTTCACATCAACAATATATATTGGCAACACGGCAAAATGGCATACTACTACCGATGTTTCCATAGGAAATTTCGGTAGCAGCTTGGCAAATTGACATGTCGTCTTCAACAACAGTATCCACATGAGCAATCGCCACTATTCTCATGATAACACTTCGAACCAAATTTACCACTCGGCCCAATATTGTCCGGCATATTCTGCAGCTGAATATCCATTAGCAAAACGTTTATAAAGACATCCGCAGCGGCGACGACGACCTACTGTACCATATTACGCACCATATTATTATTTAGTACATAGTGCGTGCGGTAGCAGCGCATCGCTCGGTAAATATGTTTACTCAGCGCACACTGTGGTCTCAAACTCTCAGCATTTAATGCATTTTGCCAGTCGCATTTAAAGTGCAATTCAGAAAGAGCATAATAAACTGCACCGCACCAGCTACTGTGTGCAGAGTATGCTTGCACAATAGCGCTTTGCCGGTAATCAAACAGCCTTCTGTAGACACAGCTATTACGTAACCGATGTTATTACCAAACAAAGCTGAGAGAAACAGCGTACTATAACCGAAGACTAGAACGTGTTTCTATTAAAAGCCGCGACATATTTTTTTAAAAAAGCCCAAATACGAAGAAGGTGACCAACATGGAAACACAGTTATCCGAGGTGTTTGCGTTTGCTCATACTGATATTGACCTTTTACGGGGACACAAATGACATGCGGTAGCCGGAAGGTATGTGCAAAATAGTACGGACGCAGCCGAAGTGATAACGATATGACAAAGAGAGAACAAATAATATGCCGAAGAAAGGAGCACTGTCCTAATGCAGCCCATTGGGATAATAATTTTTTCGTCCGAACTGACCGTAGCGGTTTTTATGCGTGCTGTAATACCGTCACATACTGATTTTTAAAACTTCAGTAAGGGACGCCAGTTTCTGCGCAGAGCCGTAGAAAAGTTGCAAGGTAGTATTCTTCTCCATTCGTGAACTTCGTGTTCCAACATCAAAATCAAAATTTTCAACAAGACATAACGGCTGCAAAACTACAAGCCAAAATGTGCTGTAGCCGTGCTAAATGAAATTGCACCACTTTCAGATCCGGCCGTTGCCTATCGCACACGTTTCTCAGAACAACTTGTGCGTCATTTTCCGTATACCAGACTCTGCAGTACAATTTCATCTTGCGGCTACTATAACCGCGCACCTAAAACTGGAGGCAATGGTAATTGTATTCCCATATCGTAAACGATCTTTTGGTCATATTCGAAATGCACTTGAACCTTTTCATCTGGATCTGCTGGTTAGAGGATATATGAAATGGCAGGCGGAGGTGGTGCATCCGGGCTTCTATCCCCACGGAAAGCGCTCATGAACTGTTTCTTGTGACGTATAATACATTTTTGCCCCAAGAAAACTTTGCACGATATTCTGACACCAATTTTACGAACGTTCAAGCTGCTAGCAGATTTTACCTTGCTTACTAAAACCGGGGAAGTTATGACAAAGGCATGTACAACGTAGTATGACGACTGGTGCGACAACAGATTTTACCCGGGAATAATGATGATCGTCATTTACCGATACCGATACAGGCCTTTCTAATACAGTAATAACACATGGCAACTGTGCAATATCGTTGCAGCAAAATTTGAACGACTAGACAAAATTAGTGGCACCATTGACGAAAAAAGTGTACGGTTTTAATATACCGTTGCTTCCTCTCCCTGGGTCCAGTTTGTGGGCAAGACGAACGGCGCCCCCGGCAAACCATATGAACTCCACAAATAATCCGAAATGTAAACCTTGCATTTTAAATTTCCCAGCTGCCACGCATACCGCACGAAGCCCGCGTGTTTTCCGCATGTTGCACTGCCGACGAAGACTTTATTGGGTTCTGATCGTATCCAGTTGGTCGTTACGTTGTGCCAGACTTTGCATTCATGCCAACTACTCAACTGGATTGTCGGTGAATGACAGCAGACCTACACAGCGCCTGTTACAGCAAGCTTAACGGGAAGGTACACAGAATAACCCGCAGAGTCGCAGACTGACCTGAAAGCATTCTTTAGGATGGTCTTTACGATAAATGACGTTTGTATCATATTCGATGATGATTTGATCGCTGTCCGTCTGGATCTGTTTCGGGAAGGGTCCTTGGAACGGTAGGTGGATGTAGTAGATCTGCGACATAATTCCGGCGAACAGGCGCTCCGCAATTTCTTCCTTGTGGCGTGTGTAGCGGCTGCTCATAAAAAGCGATATTACCATTTGGGGTGAGATTGAAACTTTCTTAAAGTTATTAAGTTATACCTTGATAATTCCTAATTCAAAATTACTATTACCAATAGTTATTATTACTATTACCAAAAAGCAAAAAAAAACATGTTTAACCGAAAAACCAAATTTAAATGTCTAACCAGTTCCACGAAAAATAATAATTTTTCCTTATGGCGACAACTTTCGAGTAATGTTACATCAGTTTTCCTTCTTCTTTATTCGTTTTAAAGAAGGACAAAATACTGGTTGAGTTCACTTACGACCCGAACGGTGAACCGGGATCGTCCAAGTCAAATGCCGATGCCATGAAAACCCGTGGCAGCGCTTTATTCGGCAGCTGGCCGTAATGCGCGGTCTGCTGCCAGCGAACCAACGCAGTTCCGCCGGGGATCTTCTCCGTGCTCTGCGTGCCCAACTGGACAATACCGAAAGGCAGGCCCTCTGCCCAAGGATAGCGTCCTTGCCAGGCATTGATCAGCGCTTTGAACCGGCATCCGTACACCTCAGGATTCGTCGCGGCGTCCGATTCGCCTTGGTACCACAGCACCCCGCTCAAACGGAATTTCGTTAGCGGCGCAATCATTCCGTTAAACACCGCCGAATCTTTTCCAGGCTCGACCGACATATTTCGTTTATTATTGCACTGCTTGATCGCTTCCGGTGGCGTCCAGGTTCGGATTGTGGTGTTGTCATAGTAAGCGCCGATCAAACCAATCGGAATTTGTTCATCTACAATTTAGAACAGTAATCTGTTACTGCCCGTCCGCCGGCTCCGTAGACCAACAGATCGAAATGGTTATGGTGGGGTCGACGTTCACTTTAACAGCAAGATAAACTCGGTTTTTTCAGACTCGCACGGAGTTCAACTTATGAGGCAGATTGTGACATTACAGTACTGCTACTGACTTTTATTTGCGCACTCTATACAAACCGAAGCAATTGCAAAAGTGTGATCAAGTGGTGGAATGGGTGAAATTTTAAAAATTATCGCATATATCGGGAAAAAATCAAGCAGCATATCTTCTCGAAATAAAGTACAGTGCAATAATCAGATCAGCTTCTGTTTGGCTGCTCAAAGCGATTAATTAGTGCGTTTAAACAGTGCAGCTCTGGATTTGTACGAGGCGTGGGATATACATGTTGCGCCCAGCTGTCTGGAGTAATGGAAAACGGTCGGTTGGGAACGTTACGTGAAAAAAAACGTTCGCACAAACGTACACAGGCCCCGTGTAACGTGTTCCAGCAAGCGGAGCGGAAGCAAGAGAGAAGTGGAGGTTACGGAAATAAGATGCCCTTGCGGACTTATGTGTTGCGCAACCGGTGCCTTTCAAACCTGGCCGAACCATTCCGCTAGACTGATACATGTATTTACTCATAGAACTTATAGTCGAATTTTGAAATGCCTCAGTAAATTACGGGATACTTGGAAATTGGAGTAGAATCCAGTTGCTGCTCAGTCTACTTATCTCATGCATTTTCCGTAAGAGCGTACCTGGCTTGCGCTTGTGGTTAAGCCTGGCATATACGCGGCGCATTGTTGTCCAGCATATAGCCGAGAAGTAGCGCAGCGTGTCGGGGGTGACTTTTGTCCAGTTTTGCAGAATGTGCGGCTCAGTGAGTGGCACCGGCGATGTCGACGGGTATATTGTCATAATACGCATAAAAGGAAAATCTGACGATGCAAGAAGTTCCGCTGTTCCGTTTCGCATCTAGAAATATACACATACATTTATGATTCATTATTACAGCAATAGGCATGCTTTTGATTTTCGGCAACCATGTCAGCGGTCAATTTAAAATATTATAGTCACTGCGCATCACAGTAAATAAAGGAATTATGCTATCTTTACATGCAGTACAAGCGATGGTTATTACTGTATTTGGAACTAATCAAGTAAAAAATCAAATTTATATTAGCATGTTTGAAACCCTGTATGATATTCACGGCTTGTGGGTTAGATAAGTGTCTAGGCTACAAAACACCTCTACCAAATGATGGGAGACCGATGAAATATAAACGAATTAAATATTAATGCATTTTTCTTCTTAATAAAACAGCCAAAACCATAAATTTCTGGTCCACATCGCATAAAGATCTGATTGCGTCGCAGCGGAAAAATGGCTGTTCTTCTGTGAGACGTATCCGAGAACTGATGTTGCTAATTTACTTATAGTTCTCAAAAACCGATCGTGTATAATAATGCGTCGGCGAAACATTTTAGGGTTAAGAATTAATTCGGAAATACACTTACATGTTTGACCGGAAAGGCCATATTCCCTTCGCCGGCACACAAATAAACCTCCCCAAAATAAACGCCGCGAACCATAGCGTGTCCGGCGTGCTTTCTCTTGATCTGTTGTATCACTTCAATGTCCAATGGTCCGCCAGGAGAATCCACACATAAATAGGTTTCCCATTTGCCATTACCTGTGAAATTACGAGTAAGTAGCAATTTAGCAGAAAGGTTACAAGGGCGTAAAAAATGGATCAAATACCATTGACTCTAGTATCATAGACGTCAACACGCAAATCAATGATGATATGAGCGCCGGGTTCTCCATAGCCCCACAACCGGGAACCGGGACAGGTGGCGCTGAGAATCATCCCATCGTGAAAGATGTTAGCTATGCGCAGTTTCTTCCAAGGGCCGTTAGGTTCGGGCGCGTCGGAGCGGTTGGCCTGAACTGGTATATCTAAAATGCGCAAACGACAATTCAACTAGATGGTTCCTGGGAGCGATGAATTTAAACTGTACCTCGGTTGCGCAGAAGAACCGCGTCGTTCCCGCTACAACACAGTAAAAGTGCGGCCCAAACGAAATTAACTGCCGTCATCATCAAGTAATTTTCAAACTGTTTTTTTTAGAACTGAACAGTTTTATCCTAGAAATTCAGCATCCGCTACACTGCAAATGCAAATATACCTCCACAACGGTCCTAATGGCACACATCGTCGGCTACCCCACTGCCTTGACTGGGCCAGAAGTAAACGCAACAGCGGCGTGTGTGTATCTGTCTCTGCGCAGTGAGTTATGATAAATTTGTGGATCGATCGTTCGAAGGAAAAGCTGAACGCTGTGGCTACTCATGACTGTCCTATTTGTGGGCTGATCATTACGGTGGCTGCGCGAGGGAGAGAGTGGTCGGTTCAGACCCAGCATGCAATCCCTACTCTTTTCGCCAACGTATGCGCTCGTGGCTAAAATTAATCGATAGTAATAACTGTATTGCAGCGCCAGACTGCGAATAAAATATCATACAGCTTCGACTGCAACATCGATTCGATTGAATGACCAGCGCATTTGTCCGATGCGGTGGCACTTTACACTGATGAGCGTGAGCCATCATTAGGAGAAAGTAAAAATAAAATTTTACACATGTAATACTTAGAACATGCACACTTTTTGATTTCTTGTAACATTTTTAAAAGAGATTTTAGGTTTAAAGTGAAAAACTGCAGAAAAATGAAAGGCGTCTTAGAAAATGTTGAGAAGCAGCATAAACATGATGGTATATTTTCAGTCTTTGCACAGTTTGTCACAGCGTACAGATGCACCGTGGGCCTACGGTCATTTGCTTTGTGAAATATAATGAATTTAAAATTATTTTTAATTGAATAAAACCCATCCGATGTAGATAATAATTTCCGGTGTTTTTTTTCCTCAGATGGTTATGAAGACTCACAGTTCACTGCCGACTCACTGCACATAATTCTGAGAATGGTGACTGTAACCACCCGCATTGCGCAAGATACGAGTACTTACATTTAATGCTGCGCATCTAATGAGCAAAAAAATTAATGATTACAGTATTTCATAAGGTGTCGTTCGATAACGTGGTGTAACGCATAGCAGTGTACTCGTAGAACGATGCTATTACAGCGCTTCGTGGGGCAAACGACTAAAAGAATGCGCAGTATACAGTAGATTTCAGATTTTTACTGCGCACCGTAATTTCTGGCCTCACTACGACACAAAGTGCAATTTCCCAATGAAGGCTGCCCACGCGTATAGACAGAACTTATTCAGTTTTCTCACGTCCAAACTGTCCAGGTCGGACAACGACCAGTACTGACGGAAGTGGTGCCTGCTCGCCCGCGGATCCGGGCTTTGGTACGTGTCCAAGACCTGCAACAAATAATATAATTTCCCTTGCTTACTTTATCAACTGCCATAGCAGAAGAAGTATGCGGAATGCATGTCACTTACAAAAATTGCCCCGACGAGGGACTTTTCAAGATCCTTGACGTTCCTGGCAATTAGTTCACCGGTCCAATGCTCCAGGATTTCCATGTCCAATGATTCGCTGCTGACCAGCCGTTCTTCAAACAGGTCCCAAATTTGCGCCGCATCCACATTGCTTAGTCCGAAGCGAGCGTAGGGAATGCGGAACTCCATCGGAGGCGAATTGAAACGTAACGAATAATCCTTCCAAATCACACGGTTACAACAGGTCTTCAAGCTGGAGTACAGCTCCGCGATACTGTCGAAATACGCTAGCGAGGCTTTATCGAAGGGTATGACGGATATCGACTGCTGGTAGACGATTAACCGTTCCAGACGGGCACCGGCATCTTCCAGCGCTTCCTGGATGCCGAGCATAATTTTTCCGGCGGGCATACAGCGCTCCAGCTCCATGGTATTCTTAAAGCCAGGAAAGTTCCTCCAACGCTGCATCACATGCGAATTCGCGGCATGATAAATAGTTTGCCGGTCACGCAGACAGATAGTCCGCGTGGCGGCCGTTATGTGCTTGAAGATGCAAGTGTACACAACGTATTCCGCGCTCCAGTCGTTCGGCACGTGGGCGAAAAAACTGGGCAGCTGGAGTGATATGCGCAGATCTTGGGATAGTACGGCGGACGTGAGAATCTCCTCCCAGAGATGACAGGTACGTCGGCAGCGTTGCCGGTCAACGGTTTCCAGCGATTGAAAAATTTCGGTCAGCAATTCCGGCAGCTCTAGAAAAGCGCACTGGTCGATCATGTGGTATTCGGTTTCGCTTGTAACAGCTTCCGAGGCTTCGACTCTCAGTGAACCCATTCTACTGTCATTGTCGAGCTTGAGGCTGCTCCGTAACCTCGCCTGTAGAAAGAAAGCGGCGTCAAATAAAACCTTCATGCTATCGCATATAGCATAACTTTATGCAATAATGAGCTTTTTCAGTGTCACATATTAACGGTTAAAAAGCTAGTAAACAATTCTGGGTACAAACTTCAAAGCATGCGAAGATCAGTGACACATCTGATGCAAAAGCCGATTTACTGTGGCTAAATTGGCATTATTGTTTCCGCTTTGTCATTGGCAGTTACAAAACCTTTAACGAGTACAAACTATGTGCCAGTTCGATCAGCAGACCACCTATTGGCAGTTCGATCAACAGACCTGATGGTCTCTAGATCGGAAGGATATTACGTCTTAAATTGCATTTGCTTTTAAATAATGCTACATAGAATACTCATGAAACCAGTGGCGATTCAGGCGACTAACAAAGCGATCAGTGGTCCGTTGGAAGTAAAACGTCTTTGCATCGGAGTTGGGTGTCCACTGAAGCTCCCTACGGGACATGGCAGACAGTATGGAGTCCACTGGATGCCGGGCGCTACCACTTCCGGGCTGGAAATGGTCCGGCCGCAGAATTCTGCACGCAAGAGCCTCGGGCGACGATAGCTGTCGAACTTGAATGGAGGGCAGCACCACGCGGACGCGATTCCCTTCCAGCAATGCATCCACGAAGATGTTCGCCCCCTCCGCAATCTGATGCTTTAAGGCAGTGGCGGGGTACCATTTCCATGGTTGATCGGGGCGGGTTCGTAGCAGTGCCTCTACGGTCACCTGACGCTTCTCATTACGTCTGTCTCCCCATCTCTGTGAGCAGTCGAAAGCCTTATCGAAATCAACCAATACGGACCGCTGCGATGGACATCCGAAGTCGACGATAAGACGCGGTGAGTCATCTTGGACGTTTTCCAGGTCAATGACATGGCCCTGCTGCAGTACTCCGTCCACTTCGACATTCACCGCATTCCAGACCTATACTAATCGAAATCCATTTTCATATAGATACATTTTTCCCTTCTCCAAGAGCCAGCAAAGCAACAAGTCCCTAAACTTCCCACGTGGCAGGGTAAATAAAATTCAGCTAAAATCAAGTGTAGTTTAAGGTTTCGCCCCTTTGTAACTCAAACAAGGGCTGCTTTGGCTTGCTTTGGCTTCTAGGCAAGCAAGACAAGCAAGCAAAGCAAGAAACGTTTGCAGTTGTTAGCGTTCTGAGTGTAAATAGTGACTAAACACACGCTCGAAACTACAATTTAATCTCGTTCAGCGCTGCTAATCAGTTGGTGGAGTTACACAGCCGTGCTTGAACGGTACTTTGCACTTATAGTCCAAAGGTAACCGGAAACGTTAACAGAATAAATCTGTAAAACAAAATTAACAAATATCGCTATAAAACTGTATAAATTAACAGCGTTTCAGTTTTGAACTTCGAATGTCTGCACTTTGGCTAATTCAAAAGCCGTCGCTGTTTTATACACTTTGCCATTGAAAACAAATTAGCTGTTGGCGATATCGCCAACAGTTTACACGTCATCGCGCGATAACGTTGGCAGTCTTGTTTATTCTTGAAGGAGTCCGGATTGCGTTGCTACTTGTAAACCACGCAAACATCTGTAATTCTGTACACCAGAGACGCTTTCTTGGTTGTCACTGGTTGGGCAGCGCTAGTTGCATTTAAGTATTCGTAACGTGTAACACCATATATTAAAAAGAGTGCCATAAATCCTTTGTTTTTCGCCCGTGTTTATTTTTTTGCTCTTAAGACTGACAAATGTTGTGGTCCAAAAAATTGGCCCAACATTAGATTGACCGTTTTCTTCTAAGAATTCCTAAATCGAATACTTCTTAATTCGAAATGCATGTCATTTTCACCGGGTTTTCACAATGGTTTGTATTCGCCCGTGCAGTTTTCTTACCAAATGTGAACTGTGGAGAATTTGTGCGAGTTATACAACTGTGTGGAAGTTGATTAAAAAGCTGGTTTGTGCGCGTGACCTTGGCACACTAAGGGCCATTACGATAGATCGGCGCAAAACTTTTCTTCGTTCCGATATCCGTATTATTGAAATTTCTGCCAGCTCCGACAAGCGACCACAACGGCAAACTCCAGTGGGGCGAGCACACGCACAAACTATCGGAGAACAAGAAATTCTACCGTAAACCCTGACAGAGGGATTGCCTCTTTAATGCCATCCAAATTTTCGGAACTTGGTCGATGTGTTGGTAGCACGAATATAGAATACAACGGAGAAAAATCCCGCTCCACCCCTTTCAGACATAAAACTCTTGCAAGTTTGACTATCGTTGAAGGTCATAAGGCTGTTGTTGAGGCGGCTGTTGCACCATAAATGCGAAGCGCCAAAATTAATGTACTTAATCACGCAGTTACTTCTTTGTAGCCTAAATTTCCCCAATAACTTTCCGCGGTATCGTATTCATGCATGATACAAAAAATACTTGTACATGTGCGACGATGTTACGCCGGTATACGCATAGCGGTCATTTGAAAGGCGACTCTGTTTATGAGCTTTATTGCTAAACTTGTGTTTGTGCATGATGCGTTTTATTACAGCTTGTTTAAGTGCGTGTGTGTTTGCATGGATGAGCACGTTATGGTTTTGGCCATAACGCTTGACAATCTAAGAGATTGTTCTCATGTTTATTGTCCTCATGAAAGTTACCGAACTTTCTAGAATCGTTGCAACACGGTTGCACTAAGATATAAGGTTTTGCTTTGCTGTGAATGATATCGATCATTCCAGCGATCGGTCTACCATTTCCTGTTGCTTTCCATCTCATTGTTATTCTTGCTTGTTGTGTGATTAAAGTTATAGTTAAGAACTATTACTTTCACTTTCCGTCAGCACAGTATACGAGTATATTGCGCAGTCATATACGGCACTGGCCCCTATTATTGGTGCCGAAACCGTGGACGGAAGCGTTCACAGTGTGAGTTCGTTTAGCGGTGCTTTTACCAGCTATTTATTCCGTCACGACGCGTGACCTTTATCGAACTGATACCAGTGCTTTATACTGACTGTGTTTATATTGCCTGCGTTTATCTGTGTGATCCGAGTCGTTGATTGCTGCTACGGAATTTTTATTTTTTGACACGTCGTCGACAATAATGCCCACCACAGAGTCAGGGACGACGAAAGTCGGTGAAACGCAAGACAGCTCGAGCCGGAATATTGTGCTGGATTCACGAGCGCTGGCCACACAATTTTCTGACCTTTGTATCGGTACGGATATGAGGCCACCCCTTTACAGCGCACGTGCTGGTGAAGACGTCGAGCAGTGGGTGCGCCGATACAAAGTCATCGTTGCTGCCCTGGAGTGGAACGATGCCAAGGCGCTACGTCAGCTCCCGGCTTACCTGGATGGATTTGCCGCAACATGGCGGTACAAGGTGAGCGAAGACGGAGAAAAGAAGCCGTTCGCTACAACGAAGTTGTTTCTGGAAGCCTTAGTCAAGCGCTTCCAGTCCAAAGATTACTGCACCCGTCTCAAACGACAGTTACGTGACCGAAAACAGGACCCCGACGAGCCACTCAAAGATTACTATAACGATGTTCTGACAATGTGTGACCGCATCGACCGCGACATGGACGATGATGCCGTCATCAATCGGCTCCGCAATGGTCTCCTTCCAGTATTTTGTCAGCGCTTTGCCATGAGCACAGCTAACACGCCTATGGAGTTCCTTACGGATATGCAGCGAGTTTCGCACGTACTGTATTTGGAGGCCAAAAACAGTGCGTACGATGACTAGCGTTACGTCATGGCAAGCGACCACACAAGGTGTGGGTCGCAGAATACGGCCGGGATTACGGATCCTGACTGGTACGATGTGTCGTGGCTGGAAGCGATACAGTTGTACGCAGTACCGCCGGTATACGAGAAGGAGCAGTGTGAATGTCACGTTTGGTGCAGCTGGCATCGTCAAGGACGATGTTGCAGAATCGGCCAGCATGCTGATGGCCGAGAAGGACAACGATGGCTGCCTGTGTGGTGATGCCTTTTGGTGCGTATTGAATGCGTTGTCCATTGTACAAGTTATCTGCAGGGATTAACTGGACCTACGACAGCCACGGAGCGTGTCGGGAAGTGTCCGAATCAATGCCGGCTTAACGAGATGCAGGATAGTTCCATATCCCGAGAAACCCCATGCAGAGTTTACCAAAGTGGGACATGGATCCCCTTGGCTCCGCCGGGAATGGAGTGCGGAACGGCGACAGTCTGATCAGCTGAAACCGTGGCCGAAGATACTCAGATGTCCCGAAGACGAAACGCTTTTGGAACAAAGCGGTGTACTGTAGTGAGTCACGCGCGCGTAGCGGTACAGTGGAGGAGCCAATGGTCGGTTGTGGTTGCCGACCGGTAACCGATTACGCACCCGGTTACACGCTGAATGTCCGTTCGACATCCAGTTGCGGGACGTTGGACGCAACGGTGCCCAAATGCGATGCCAGTTTTACTGGCCCAGTGATGGCGACATCCTCCCCCGCCATACTTCCTCTCCAGCCAGTGCGGAGAAGCAGAGAGAAGCCTCATCTCTCTTGTCATGGAAACGTTCCATATGGTTATTTGCAAACGTTGCAAGCGGGCTTGCGTTCGTGAATGCATCGCCTACGATCACCTGGATGGACCTGATGCCCCCGGCAGTTGGCGTTTCCGGTTGCGAGGACGCAACCGTTAAGGAGGGGAGAATGTTACGCCGGTATACGCATAGCGGTCATTTGAAAGGCGACTCTGTTTATGAGCTTTATTGCTAAACTTGTGTTTGTGCATGATGCGTTTTATTACAGCTTGTTTAAGTGCGTGTGTGTTTGCATGGATGAGCACGTTATGGTTTTGGCCATAACGCTTGACAATCTAAGAGATTGTTCTCATGTTTATTGTCCTCATGAAAGTTACCGAACTTTCTAGAATCGTTGCAACACGGTTGCACTAAGATATAAGGTTTTGCTTTGCTGTGAATGATATCGATCATTCCAGCGATCGGTCTACCATTTCCTGTTGCTTTCCATCTCATTGTTATTCTTGCTTGTTGTGTGATTAAAGTTATAGTTAAGAACTATTACTTTCGCCTTCCGTCAGCACAGTACGGGTAAATAACGCAGTCATATACGGCACTGGCCCCGTATTAACGACAAGAGTGCGACTGCAATAACATGTTTCGATTTTGTTATTTTTTGGGATGTTGCCTAAGGGATTAACGGTAAGCGTGAACTATGCGGCAAAAATATAACCAAACGCTTCCCATTGATGTATACGCATTTGAGTTACTGTTTTATTAGAAATTAGCATTACATATTACGATCAATAAATTTTTATTTCCTTGGGATAAGCAACAGATAACACCTACAACGCATGATATGCAGCGCTCCATACGTTTTGTACAACATTGTTCATGGTGTAATTACCCGATACAAGCAAACTGATCATGTGCTGTTATTCGGTTGTGAATCCGTACTATTTTTACACATTGTCGTTTGCTTAACATTAGATTGGCTAAGTCACGGGTTTAAATTATATGGCGCATCTAAATAATGTGAATGGAGCTGCACTAGACAGTATTTTTATACGGATAAATTTAGGCAGTGGGGAATTTCCGCCAGAAAACCGTACGATCTTCGTGATCTTCTTATGATGGCAGTCGGATCAGCAACGGCTTCGCGCACCTGATAACGTTGGACGGTGGGACGTTGGCGAAGCGCCGGATGCCCACTGCGATACTAAGCTCTCGCTCTGGGATAGCAATGCCCCTATTAGCAAGTCCATCATTTTTCTGTACATTCTTATATAATCACTTCGCCAGTGCTGCTTTAAAGCGGCATGCTCCAATAACGACAATCCGCGTGTGCGTCATTGTTCAACAGACAGAAGACAACTGAGGCATAAGCGTTGTGAGTACTGTATTACGGCGCATTTTTAAGTCCGGGATATAATCAGTGATTCCGCTCACTGATCAGAAACGTACTGCCGCTCGACGGGGTGCAGTGAGGATGTTAGGATACAGGTTAAGACGGTTAAGTAAGCGCTGTGCGGGAGCGGAACAAGATGTAGTCGTCAGATGCCGACGACTCAGTTAACGCACGCATGACTGGTTTGGACTGTGAACACTGAGCATTAAGTGTGAGACGCGACGTGCACCTGTGATTGTAGAAAGTAGGGCGGTGATGATTGTGCGGATGATTCAACGTATGCCGTAGACTGAACCGATAATCCGCTGTTCCTTTGTGACGAAAAATCAACCAACTGGATTTGTAAATGACCAGCTGATAACGATCGCATTCAAGGTCGCAAATTTTTATCAGGCGCGACAACCTTAGGCTTGTTTACGGGAACCAGCTAGTCTGCATACATGTGCCTATTTTTAGCATCCAATAATAAAATGGTGAATTGATTCGTGATTCATGCGTTTTCATGGTGCATACCGACGATACCGTACATGACTCACAAGACGCACTTGCGCTGCATACTCCCGTATCATAATACAGTCAACTGAAAAAAAGTTTTAATGAATTAAGTACTCGTTATCACGGTGAACATACAAATAGCTTTTTCTAAAAAATTAACACTGTGTACAAAAAAAAATTTCATTTTTGAAAAAAAAACACTTTTTTGAAAAAATTAGCACTGTAAATCAAACGACGCACCAGCTACACTGTATTGGAATCAGCCCGGTGATTTTGTTCAGCCAGCTGTTATTTAATGTAACGTTGAACTTTGAAATTATTTACATGATTTGTAAATACCTTCGCTTTTTATTTCACAGCAGTTAGCGGTAACCGTTAACACTTAACAGCAAGTCGTTTATCAGTCAGCAGACGATACTCGTGGATGCAAAGTGTGAGCCAGTTTTGTTAGTGTTTGTGCGAATATTCAGAGCAGACAAATAACACAAAACCATGAAGAGATGAAATTATTAAAATTTATATTAATTTAAAATTTGTTAATTGCATAAACAGTGTTATCTCGAGCTTTATACCAGCACCGGTACTGTGGGACTGTTACACCAGAGAATGATGCGACAATCTGATACCGCCACGTTTAATCGCACTGCTGATCAATAACCTCATGGACCCGTCGGAATGATTTCGTCATTCCGTGGCGTTTTCCGCCCATCTTGCACGTGCTGCGGTTTCACTGGACTACGCCGGCAACTTGCCAGGTTTCCCTTCGCACAAATAGCCCTGATGTTTTTGCTGGCTCACCAATGTGATACTTCTTAGATCAAATAATTTCAGAACGAATCGGCTGACTAGAAACATTCTCCAAACCTGACATTGATGGTATTGACATTGCTATTCCCAAATTTTCAATTCCAGCTTTGTAACGGTTTTGGATCTACACGCATTTCTATTGGTACTTTATTTTCACCAGTTAAGAATCCCTTCTTCTACAATGTGCAGGACGGCCGTCTTCGTCATATACATCGCCTTTGTGCTTACGGCTTTCGCTGCTGCGAAGAAAATCGGAGAAGATGCCAAAAATGTCGGTACCATGATTGGCATTGATCTCGGAACAACTTACTCATGCCCCGGAGTTTACAAGTGAGTAAGCGGTTTATCTGTGTTGGACATCGGAAACACTGTAATGCTATTACATTTTGCCCCGAAAACTTTTTTTTGCTTGACCTTGGTTTTCGCATCGCTTATGAGAACAGAGTGTTCTGTTCTAATCGTCGCCGCACTTTACCATGATTTAGCCATATCCTTTCTAATTTAACTGAACGGTCATATTTAAGTCATATTTACAAAGTAATGAGTTACTTTAAATCATATTTAACTTTTGACTGTACGAGCTTAATCAGTAAAAAGAGAAATTTATAAACAGATTTCCTACAGCCTGTCAAGTGTATTTGACGTGGCGCAATTTGGGTGGCGCGCGGTAGCTAGAATTGTTAGCCGATTAGAATTAAATGTATACTGTTCATTGGGCTAAAGTGGTGTGCAGTTAACTACGAAGGACTTTATAATCAGTGAACATGTTTGGCATGATCGTTCTTTAAACTTAAAATTAGAAGCGCATAGTAATACTGATACAGGTATACATATGTTGTATATAGTGCATACAGTAGTTATACAAATTATTTCACCTCACTGTTATTAGGTACAAGATCTGCGGCGCCCCATAGTCTTTAAGATCTCAATAACCAAACCATTTTTTTGAAAGCTGATACTACCAATTGATCGGCCTCAGTCCAGAACTGGTTCACAGGGTTTTCGTTTTTAAATTCGTTCGGCCGGAGCCATGTCGACACGATTCCGCAAACGATCCACCCACTTTAAGGTCACCTTGAAATTCAGAAAAATTCTGCCTGAATATGATACATAACGTAGAGTATTAGGCTCACGCAGTAAACTAAAACATTTAATTATATTCAATTGCACAAATTATCGCAGGTCAAACTCCCGGGTTTCGATGTCGGCACGTTTGACAATAATTTCGCGGAGGGGAAGCCGCCGCTGTTTCTTGTATATAGATATGTATATAACAAGTCAAGTTAATTTTCATTAGCAAAACCGTAAACCGTTTTTTCAAAACATATTGATTTATCAGCATTTAATTTTTTGGTTTTGCTGCTTGTTAACACGTATTTTATTTGATAACTTTCAAATGCGAAGTTTTACTTTTATGGAAAGTAACGGATCATGCTAAAGTTCGTACATGTACAGATGTTGTGTATGTACGAGTGCATGCAATAAGAGATAAAACTAGGATCACCTTGGTGGTGTAGTATCTATATATCAACAGATTGTCACACTGTACGGTAAATCGCATATTACTCGTATAATTGCGTAATTACAGCGTGAACTACTGTAGTCAAACAATTGCAACTCATATACGGATATTGAAAACCGGTTCTCACGTACGTTGTTTGGCCAGTTTTCATGCATTCAGAATTTCTCGCGGCAAATATTGCGCTTTGTCCAGGCATGCTATCAAAACAACAAAACATGAATTTTAGATGATGGTTTGCGCTACACAAACTGTTTGCTGAGCCTTAAAGAAGCTGCAGCCTACAATGTTTTTCTGGGCTGAAATAAGATGCATGCTTATCAGGCTGATTCTCTGGGTTAGGGTAATTCAGTCCATAGATGCCTTCTGGGACGACAGGGATTATCATGACGATTTTGACGACGACTCACCGTCAGATGAGTTGCCAGACGGTAACTAATGAACAAAACAGGACCCTGAATAGTTATGAGCACCTGACTTAATAATAACGAAGTGAACGAAGTACTGTACTGTTACCCTGCACTTGCCGAAAGTTTCAGTGGTTCAACGTGACGTACATTGTATGAGCGCGTTCAGTCGCCATTCACGATTCACATACTAGGCCTGTAACTGCGTGCAGGGGGCTGTCTGCTGACTGAACCCAAGAGGCTTTAGCTCACACACAGCTACAGTATCGTACAGCTTATACTGTACAAAATTTCGGCAAGTGCAAGGTAACAGCAAGGTAACAGCATAAAGGACCAAATTTACAAACACCTGATCATCAGGTGTTCTCTGTTCTTAGACCTCCCGCGCGCGGCTGTTTTCTGCTGATTGAGTGTACTGCGTTGTGATGTTAATTGTTTTCTATAAGCTGAAAGGGTATAACAAATAAAAGTATGCACAGCCGGGGATTCGGAGCCAAAGACAGCTTTAGCTTTGTATGGATTAATTATGGAGGCACAACATTTCGCCTTTTTTTAGTTTTTTATGCTTGAGAAATTTGATGAACTGTTTTCATTTTAAAATTTTTGGTTCTTCGACAAAACACGTTCCAAAGGGTAAAACAACTAAAAATTGTTTTGTGTTACATTGTAACGAAATTTCGTTAATACGTACGTATTCGCTGACCGAGATGTGTGTGCCCTACTAGTTACTAAATAGTTAGCTTTCATAATTACTGGATTAAGAAAAATATACTACATGCAGAGTGTAGACGCAGTTGCGCAGGTGATAGCCTTCGCTTTGCAGATTGGGTAACGCGCATTGATCCCGCTATTATGAAAGCCCACTGGTCCAATATAAGCCGCCGCGGATCGCTGCAAGATGATATTCTGTTTTCTGATGCTGGTGTGGGCGAAGGATCGAAAAGATTTGCAGGTATTAAGGCACAGTCAATATAAGTCATATAACGACCAATTGTTGCTAACGAATTTTCGAAATGATGAAGAGCCATTACCACGTTTTGGCCTCTTAAGCTTAGATATTCAAAAGATGGATGTCATAAGCAGAATTCCACGCTGGCGCTTCTTGACTTGTTGCTTTTCAGCACGCTAAGAGTGACACACCAGAGCAAAAGAAAGTAAAGCGTGCATTATATATAACACTCATTCTTTAGGAAAGAAAAAATTTCCGTTGTGGCCGAAAGGAATGGTTCCCTATCGTATAAGCGAGCTATTTGGTAAGCAGCAGATAATTGATACAAATTTTATTTAGTTCAAAATAACATAAGGCCAGAATCGTTTAAACGGATAGACCGTGTGTCGGATACCTTAACGGCCGTAAATATTGCGTAGCCGGCTTCTTCAGTGCCTTGTAACTAGATTTAAATGTGTTGGTGAACAATTTGGATCAGAAATTCCAAACGTAAATTTTAGGTGAAGTGCCATTTTGCTTCCGTGCGTTTCCTTTTTTTGAAGCCCTCATTTGAATCCGGAAGCTTCTGTGTATAAATTCGTTATCTGAGCGTTATTTTTGGGATTGTGTATTTGTTTCGGGATCGATTTGCTAATGTGTCGATTCATTCCCGGACGTAACGCATATGCTATCTAATGGTAACTTCCTCCCCGATAAAAATTTTTACTCCGTTATAAGCGTGCGGAAACTCTACCAAAAACGTTCTCCGCCGAATTTATACTTCACCCATAATGTCGAGGTACTTATTACTGTTGCCGCGTGACGTGATTCCGCAACAGAATCAGGTGTACGGAATCCGTTTAACTGGTTGCTCGATGTTCGCCATCAAGTGTGCGAGGCCGGCAGGGGTAAGCCAACGACCGGGCATGACAGTGGTGCAATCGCATCGTGCGGCTACAGTATGGTACCTTTGTGTATCGATTTAAAAATGTACGAAAAAACGTAGAAAACCCGGGAGTGGTGAGTTTGCGGTGGAAGTTTAACTGGTCTGGTATACATACGGTTCATCCGTCGAACGGTTTTTCGCGCTAGATATGTTCGTTATCAGATGCGGTAAGCTAGCCGGCAGAGTTAAGCACTTCGTTTTGCCTCTTTTCCGACCTCCTACCGCCTAAAGGACTATGACATAAACTAAATCAGACGACGTACACTGTTGTCACCGGCGTTGCCGTAAAAGATGTCAAGACGATAGGCGGTGACAACAGTCAAAGTTGGAGTCAGGTTACTGAACAGATAAAAGCAAATATTGACTGAATATTTACGTATATTTTGCAGGGTCTCAGGATGCTTTCGTTATCCAGCAAGCGATGTCCACTATACATAGCAAAGTCCGTTGCGTGACATTCCCGGCGAGAAAGCAGGAGAAAAACTATATCAGTTTCGAGCTTGCTAAAAAGTAGGCCTTTGATCTAGAGACGGCAGACGTTTTAAGATAATCCTCATGATATTCGAGTTGGGCACATGTGGCACGCTTCGTACCAAAGAAAAAAAGTGAATCGTTTTTTCTCTCCTTGTAGTCACAGTAGACATATGTATACAGGCTGTAGACTCCCTGTAGAACTATCAGTAGTCACCTAGGTTTTCTTAGGATGTATACAGGTTCTCTACAGATGTCTACCGCTGTATACAGGTAGCCATTCTTAGGTTCAGCTCGATAGTCTGCCTGTATACACCGGTAGTCACCCGTAGACAGCCCGTAGACACCACTGTAGACATACTGTAGTCTCGTTGTTTCTTAGGTTTTCTTAGGATGTACATACAGGTTGTATACAGGGTGTCTACTGGTTGTCTACAGATAACTACAGTGACTACAAGAAGGAAAAAAACGTTCCAGTTTTTTTCATTGGTACGAAACGTTTCATATATAAGTTAGGAAGCCAACCTAATGGTCGCTAATAACTTGCTTTGACCATATACCGCATATAGTGTGTTCGCGGAAACAACTAACCAGTCGACCGCTGCCGAATAATACCATGGCGTAGGAGCATTGAATATCGACTAGCGTGCGCAGTAACTTTCGTCAACCAGGCTCTGTCTTACAATTATTTTGGGGGCCACAGTAACTCGCAGTCTAGGAGTCGCGGACGACCAGAGCAAAAGTCTTGCAGCGGAGTTTTTTTGAATGTGTGGGTATGGCTGGGACACCGTTTATCTGATTGTCAAAATGTCTTTCGGCGCACCGTCCTTGCGGCGAAATGTCTCGCGGCGTGTTGTCCTTCCGACTAAATGTTTATGAGACTAGTATCCTGCAACATTCATGGACTAGGTAGGCGCAGGCCGTGCAGTACAGGTGTTTCCATTAGCCTGTAGATTAGAAAAATCAGTTGTAGGTTGACCTGGTTTGTTTGATAACAGATTTTCATTTTCTTGATGACAGAATAATTTCGTCGACACAGTTGTGGATCAGTCGTCCACCGTTCTGCCGAACCAAGTCAACCAACCAGTCGGCGTGGCTTGAACTAATAATGTCGCCATTGAGTGCATTCGGTTCTATGGTCGGATCAATGCATGCCGTCACTGCTCCGGCAGAAAAGTTGAAGCAGTTATGCAGATATGTTTTTCAATCTGTGTGCAATGCATATTTCATCCCACTCTTTTTTCGTCTGCAGATTGAATTTCTCATTTTAAAAATTTTGATTGAACCCGATAGGTAATCGAGGAGAACGGTAGTCACGCCACTGATAAACTAGTCAGTTGGTTGTCTCCTTAGACTAATAATTCTCTGACTTTCGGTTTGCTGCCCGACATTTTGCTAACTGGCATATTGCTAATTCTCACAGCCTGCAGCCTGCTGCTCGACAGGTTGCTGACCGACAAATTGCTTTTCGATAATTTTGCTGCACGTCGTGCTGCTGAAACTATTTTGTTGACCGATATCCCGCTCACTGTTCTTTTTTCAGGTTTCGTAGCTTTTTTTGTTTATGCTACAGTTTATTAGCTTAGCTTGGTTTCTTATCATGATTTAGATCCCTATGTTCTCTTTGGTTTTCTTGTGTTTGTTATGCTGGCTTTTGTCTTGTTTTCTTATGTTTTCTAATGTTCTTATATTTGTTTCTTTTGATATCTTATGTTTGGTTCTGATTGCCCTATGACTTTTTCTGTTAACTTGTACAGAATAATCTCATGTTTTTCTATGTGATGTTTTTCCGCTTTTGCTTTATTATGTTTGGCTTCGATTTCTTATGTTTAGTAATGTTTTATTCAGCCACCTGATTTTCATCAGCAAAATATTGGGGTTCGGCAAACTGTCGTTCGGCAACTTGCCGATCATCGAGTTGTCGTTTCATTGATTGTCGGCTAAGCATTTTGTCGGTGACCAAGCTGTCGGTGCACTGAAAAAGAGTGGAATGATATATGCAGCTGGAGCAATGGACATATCTGCTTGATTGCATCCACCTTTGCAACGGTTGCAACGCAGACGCTTTGGCTGCACATTAGCAGGGCTATCGGTATACATTCTTCGCCAGTATTTGATTTATGAAGATGTCCATGACGAGGGTGGACGGAGTTTCGTAGAAACAGCTACCATCAACTATTTAGCAGCGAAAGACAGGGCAAGACAAAGCAGTATGCACAAAGTGAAAAAGTCGAAGGACCCTCGATCTGAGGCAGTCGAATATCCGCAGTCATTGACGTGTGTCTTTAATTGGTGATACTGCAAATGAGATTTTCAGTTGCTCATCCTACGTCGGAGTCAAAGGTGGCATACAACCAATATTTTTGGACCCAGTCCAGTGCATGCGTCCGGGAATCGTTCAGCATGAAATTCTGCACGCTCTTGGTCTGTTTCATGAACACAGCCGGAGTGACCGGAATACTAGTGTAAAAATTTTTGTTGACGAAATAATGGACAGTCACAAATCACAATATGATATTATTCCTGACATGGATACATTTGGAACGGATTACGATCTGGAATCACTGATGCACTACGGACCATATGACTTTGCTAAAACCATATACCGTCCGGTGATCATTCCCCGAATGGAGCATGTTTACCGAATGGGACAACGGGAAGCACTAAGCGTGCGCGATGTCGCCAAGTTGCGCAATGCTTACCACTGCCAAGCTGACCAGAGATTCGAGATAGACGAGCATGACTATGAGGAACGTTCGTTTCCTGGGTTTTCTGGATTAGAGATGCAAGCAGAGCAGTGTGCCTGGCAGTTCAATCAGTACTGCAGCGTCCCGGAACTAAATAGCGAGAACTGCACAACAACTAGGTGGCTGAATATTTGGTTCAACGCATCGGCCGATACAACGCTTTTACGATCAATGGCTATGGCCATGGCCAAGGCGCCATTACGGCCGATCGGTATATTGTTAAAGGACCAACAAATAACCGGTGAATTGCTATCTCCAATTGAGAAACAAGTTCTGATTTTGTGGATGCTCGACTGTCAAGCTCACGACGCAACAGTGAAGCTTTCCAGCTTCAATTTGATTAATCTCCAGCATTTTGAAGTGCGCAGATGTATCGACATGCGCATCAGAATGTCCGATTTCCGATTTTTGTCGGCGCTGAAAATTATAGTCTTCGAGAAGTCGACGATCTTATACTTGGAAAAAGGAGCCTTCACCAACTTGCCGCAACTGCAGATGCTTGTTTGGCATCGATCGATTTCGTCAAAATTTGGTGTGGTGATCGGCGACAAATTGCAGAAGAATCTTGCCCGAAGCATGCCCGGCTACTTAAAGCGAATGCACTGCGATTGCGAATTTGCTTGGCTACGGAAGTGGCTTCCGGAACGCGGTCTGCTCCGGGCGACATTTGAACCATCTGCAATATTTTACTTCGCCAATGGGAAATTCATTGATCAACCAGAGATCACGATAAACGATGTGTATATTCCAATTGACTGCGCCGTGCAGCCATTTCCTTCCGATTTCGACGCAATAAATTTTAACCAGAGCGAATTCTCAGTTAACGCACCGCAGTGTCCAAACAGCACGTTCAATGCGACATATGAATCTCTCAAGGTTAAACGAACCTTTACTTTTTCTCCCATCGACATCAGCCAGTGTCAGATGCAGTTTGGAAAATCTTGCCGACCGTGGGAGAGGCATTCTTCATTGCCAGCTACGGAAACGACAATTCTGATTTATTGCCAGCAAGTGCACAAGAGTTCCAAGACCGCTTTGGCCATTGGATGTTGGAGCAACGCGACGGTGCGAGACGTACAAGACATTGCCTTCGCGCTGGCCAAACCACCATTACGAATGGTGAAATTAAATGTCAGCGACGGAAGTTATCTGTGTTACCGTGCGTTTGCTCCGGTAAAAACGCAAATTCTAGTGATGCAGCTCTACGATTGCTTGCAACGACGGACAACAGGCAAATTACCTTCCTTGGCTTTCGAAAATCTGCTATACCTCGAAGTAAACAACTGTCACAATATTACTGTTCGGACCGAGGATTTTGCTGACTTTCCTAATATTCGCGTAATACTGTTCGCACAGTCGACGGTGGACGGAGTGACCCAGTTTACGTTCAGTTCGCTTCCGAATCTTGAAGCTCTGTCCATGGAAATCGGAGCGCGCGAAGCGCTGACGGGTGACTCAAATTATTATCAATATTTACGTAGACTCCACTGTGATTGCCAGTACAATCACTTCCGATCATGGCTACAGCAACGTATTATAGACCGCATTCCAACAACTGCGGTAGACTCGAATGACAAAGGAAATAACGCTTCGCGCAGCTGGACGGCGCTAGCGCAATTGGACTACGATGTGGAGGGCGAAACATACCGCTATCAGTGGTGGACAAAAGAAATGTATCAGTCTCTGGATTGCGCTACTGGGCAAGCTAGCAACGATTTTTGGCTGACGGTTAACAATAATCACCGGTTTATTTACTCTGTGAACGCTCCAAGTTGCCCGCATGCTTATGCACCGACCCATGCACCAACAACAAGAGGTTCTAGACCTTACCTGACAGGAAATAAGACGCTGGAACGCTCCAGTACCGGCAATAAAGAAGGTGAGCGTTTATTCACTAGCATGGCAATTACGCTCCCCAGAGTACTATTAATGCGGCAGATTCCAGTTTTGTTCTTAGACAGTAACATTACTGTCTTTTGATGTTTATTAAACTAAAAATGCATAATGCAATTTCCCATAACAGAGCCGTATATAAGCCCAGGTGAAAACAAGGCAACACGACCTGCATTGCAACACGAGCCCAGGAGCGCAGTCAGCAACTTTCTGGTTTGATTTGATTTGATTTATTTTTCAGTAGCCGAGCTCGTAAACGGGCACTCTCACAAATGCGTACGGCAGTCATATTGCCATTCAGCTAATCAGTTGGCTTTCTCCATGGACTTATAGTTATCACCAATTTCTCTCGTTCAGTTCTGAGTATAAAGCACCCTGATCAACATTCTAGAAGGCACAGAAACCTGCAAAGCTGTTGGTACCAAAAACGGTGCTATCGGTGGGCTATAACGAATAACGCAAGCTGAAGCCATACTGTTTTGAATTTTGATTGAGTTAAGATAGGTCCTCTGCATATAACCACAGTAGCGCTTCCTATGATAAGTTGTATGAAAAACTAGAAACTTTCCTTAGTCGCCACAAATAGCCATTTCTTTGGCACAAAAAACTTTTGAATATTTTTACTTCCTTTAGTTATGTTTATCGCATGATTCAGTCCCGAACGGAACGAAAGAAATATGTGTGAGTTTTCTGCACCTGAGGCGCAGAAAACAGCAACAAAACCTATTTCACTGGTTGCTGGGTTCGGAAAAATGGAAAACGAATCGTGCAAGCGCTACTTCTACTACTGCTAATTCTCGTTTAAGCAGCGCTCACAACAGGCGAACAAACTTTCTAGTAGAAACTCTAGAATGAAGGGAATGCAAATCTATCTTGGACACCGGCAGTTTCAAGTGCTAAAGTTAGATGACTTTACTGTGTTCCAGACTGGACCGCCAGCTTGAGTAAACCGATTTTGCAAGAACGACGATCCGAGCTAACAGCGCAGGCGATTGATGAGGCAGGCCGTATATACCATTACGATGACCAAGCGCTCAGCAGTGACCCCGCTGCAGAGTCCGGACTTTTGTCTAGCAGCCGATTCTGGCTCAACAATGGCAAAGATATTGCTTATTTATTCAGCGAAGCGCTCGGTACGATAAACCGTAAAAATGAAATAGGTCGAGAAATGCAAGAATTCTGACTGAAGTTGTTACAATATCTGGTGTCATCTAACTGTTCGTATTCTTTGGGTGAAGACATCGCAGATCGAGAAGAAATCAAGGAGGCATTACATTCCATCTCGATCTACACTGCACAATGTGTGACGTTTAAAGCCAGGGAACTCGAGAATGACTACATCTTTTTTCGGTTGGGACAGAGGTGAGCCATCTGACAGATTCGGTGCCAAACGTAGTACGTACTAGAAAACACGGCTGTAACCGGCAAAACCGTCCGAACGAATGAACCGTCCGCCAGACGCTTTTTTATCTGTACGCCGGCAAAACCGGACGGTTTTACCAGCTCACAGGCAAAAACGCCCGGCAGACGATTCATTCATCCGGACGGTTTTGCCGGTTATACACGGCCTCGGCTGCGGCAAGTTTTATTCAATGCTATGTGAGTGGAGCCCTGTGCAAATACGGTGGTGAATAATAAAAATTTTTTGAACTTGTTTTAGTGAAACTGAATATCAGTACAGTACTTTTCTAATCTGAATGTAGTCAATAGCGGCAGGTGTTTTCACTGGTCACTGGTTAATTCATTTTTGAGCAATCTCTGCATAGCTCAAGCTACGATACGCTAAGCGCAATGCAGATCAAATATGTCGATTCTTGAAGGCCCGCGCTCAAGTTTGGACTTTGTCCGCTGAAAATATGTCTGTGGCCATTAGAACTCTTCCCAATGAAAGTCTAAATTTGAAAATTCCCCCCGGATATGTGAGAGTGCCCGATTACGGGCTTGGCCCCTCGAAAATAAATAAATCAATCAATGGAGGTTCCAGCTTTTGCGGGTATTTCAGCCGAAAGGCATGCCCGGCAGATGATGTTGTTCATACTAGTATATCCAATCCGCTGTGTCGCTCTTGTCTTTCGGCTGAATTACTACACGAATGCTCGTGATGTCCAAGTTTGCCAACTCGCTTCGCACGTTTAGTGCAACTATGGGGGCCGCTTAAATCGGCTCCATGGCGCAAACCAATAGAGATTTTTGCCGTCTCATACTTAACGTGCTTCAATACAGTGTACATCATAAAGATGTTACATCCACAGTCGTATAGTGCTATGCATGTGTGCGGGTCGAGTGCGGATATTGTGTAACACCGTTTCGAAGTCCAGTGATGTGTACATGTAGTTCTTTAAGGATGAAATTTCAGCCAGCATTCATTCTAACAACGTTGCTGCAGATGCCAGTCAAGTGTTGGCAGACAAGGTGGTCAGCAAAACATCACTCTAACGCAAGCATGTATTTTTCGCGGGGCCCTCCAGCATCTGGTTCTTCACGCGTTCGGTCTATTTCACGAACATCACAGAGCTGATCGTAGCGAGTACTTGAGCATATATCTCAATCGAACAGAACTCCCGCCAAACAGCGTTCTGATTCGCCAGCTACCGCAGATGGCCACTTACGGGACCGAATACGATCTGGAATCCATTATGCATTACGGCGCATTCGACCTAGCCGATCCCGAACATCCCGATCTGCCTGTCTTCCTCCCTAAAACAACACAACCAGGGAAACGCTTTAAAATGGGTCAACGCCGGACTCTGAGCGCCAAAGACATTGTCAAATTGTACACAGCCTACAACTGCACGATACAAGTCGGAGACGGTGGTGTTCGCGAACCGATTCCCAATTTTGTTATTAGCAATCTTCCTCCGTCGGAGTGTGATAAGTTAGCTACGCTGAAATGTGCTAGTGAACGTATCCATGACTGCTCATTACGGGGGTTCATACCGCTGTCCTGCGACTCCACGACCACATTGGATGACTGGCACCAAACGGGTGTTACAGTGGCGAACCTGACAATGCGCGTGGTCGAACTGAAAATGCTTGATAGCGATGAGATGAACGGAGCCCCCGCTGCTTTCATGCCGATTCGAAACCAAATACTTTTTACGTCATTTAGTATGTGCCAGAACTCCCGTTTTTCATCCAGGCTCGCCGTTTTCCGTTTCATCAATTTAATGCAGCTGCATTTACGGTTTTGTTATGGGCTGATAGTGCGGAAAAAGGACTTTTGCGGATTCCCGCGCCTGCTCATTCTCCTTTTTGTCCACAGCACGATACTCCACCTCGATGCGGGGACCTTCAGCGCCTTGCGGGAGCTAACGGTGCTGAGCTTGGAGTCCGATTTGCTCAATCCAACCAGCTCCCAGTCCAATGTCAGCCGGTCGCAGCTGATGGATTACCTACGCCGACTGCACTGTAGCTGTGATTTCGCTCATTTTCGACGATGGAGGGAAAGCAATAAGGTGTTGCGACTGGAACTAGGGTCAGGCGAAATAACCTATGTTGTCGGCATCGCCCGCAGTCGACGAATAAAGAGAGACCAGATATTTTATCCTGTAGACTGTCTCGCCGATCCGCACGCATCAAACACTACGGAACTGAAAATCAATTCGGACCAACGTGAATATTCCATTAACGAACCAGTGTGTAAGAACACTCTAGTCGCCTCTTGCTGCCGGAACCAGTTACGCTTCCATGCATTGGTGAGAATCCGTTGAATAATAATTGTTTTAACCTTAGGCGACTTAGACACCATCAAAGCTACAATTACGCCGTCCTACAGCAGCCTTTGCGGAAATACAGAAGTTAACAATTCATCTATACCTGGTACGTTGCTCTTAACCTCTTTATACACCATCGACCGAAGCGCAGCAAAAGTTATTCAAGTGCACGTAGTGCGAAAAACGCGTTATCAGTACTTTTGTCACCGCAAGCGTTGCAACTCCTTATAAAAGCGCTCGGTGGCCGTACATATTCACCTAAACTATTGCCAAAATTTGCTTTCCTAGTTACAAATTGACTTATTTCTTTTACGATTTATGCAACCGTACGAAATATTGGTCATGTCGAAGTGATTATTAATCGAATAAATCGTTTGTTGTAACAGAACCAGCGGGCAACAGATCGTTGGACAAAACACAAAATGTTGATGCAGGAAAATTTCATAAATTGTTCAACGAGTCAAAACAGGAAGCGCCGTTGCATTCCGACTTTGTCGAGCCATATCGGAAAGGTAGTAAGCCAATTATCCACAGCATTTTGCTACCCGACCTTTCTTCAATAGATTGTGTTAACCGTCACCCTTCACAGACAGCGCGGTACACGAAGACGCCAAATCGTACAGCTGGATATACGGCTGTGTAGGTGGAGTTTTTGGCCTGTGCATCATATTGGCTGTCTATGTGACATGTCGCTGTGTTTGTCGCTCGTTGCAACGTGCCAAGAATGCCGTAAGTCTGGAGAATGGTCCACTGCTGGGGAGACAGGTTGCTACAGTATCCAGGCCGAGTGTACAGATCTCCACGGCGTCCACTGAATTGACGCACACATTTGGCGGCGAAGTGGACGAAATGCCGAGTCTGGATTTGACAACAGAAGGCAGTGGCACTGAATTGTTGCCGCTAAACAGCGCTACACTCGACGCACATATTGAGCAGTCTGTGTAGTCAGAAAATTAATCCCGTTACGCGGTTACAGTACCCGAGGGGCCGCGCTGACGCTTGGAATAGGATTCGGATTGCTCAAACTTGGACTTGGATTACTCATCCAGAGAAGTTAGAGAACCACACTTGCTTATGTAAAAATAAGCGTTCTTTAAAATTCTATAACGTGTAACCACCATCGGGTGGAAGTCTCCTCTAGGAATTCCCGATTAACTGCCTTTTGTTGATGTTTGTTTGTTTGTGTGTTTAAGCAACTGCACAGCTTCAACAAACAGGTGAAAACCTGTGTGTAATTTGCCCATATGTAGCACAGTCTGACATACTTTAAGGTTGTTAACCGTTTGCTACATGAGCAGACAAGTAACTAAAGTAGCAAAATCAAAATCACAATTATCAAGACTTCTATTTTTTCCCGGTAAAGTTCCTAAAATCGCGGCCGCATTGCCTTTATTAATTGCAAGGCTAATGCGCTGCTTTAAAAAAGCCATAGATCTGCCTTATCCGGAACTCCCTTTGATTTTCCGTCCAAAGAAGCTGACCATTTCTCTGGCACTCCAAAGGTTTCCCCGGCAAAAGGGTAAAACCAGTACTATCCCGATAATTGCATCGTTTCCGGCTTATATCAAGACAACAAAGTCGACGGCCTAACATCAAGAGGTCTACGGAGGTGTAACAAAGTCTACGGAGCTGCTCAAAACGTTTCTTCAGGACGCTGTCGTCTGCAGGGGTTAGATAGTTTTTGAAGGTTGCCGCGCTTCCACGGGCGGGTACGGTCCTTATTAAAATTAAAACATTCATTTTCTGTTGTGTCTAGAGTTTGTGATAGAAGTGGGAGCTGTAGGCGACGCCCAGCTGCGAAGTTCGCGAAGTAAACAGACGACAAATCAGTATTTGTTATTAAGTAATATTTTTTTCAATTTAGCAATTTTTAGTGTCCGCCCAGGAAGGAATATTAGTACAAGCATCCCTCGAATGTTTATTTGTATGTCCTACACTGGAACATAGTTCCGCGTCACTTCCGCGTATTTACACGATATTAAGGGACAGAGAAATCCCCAGGACCGCCCGCACTAGGCAGCTCCAGTGATGTCAAAGGAACCGACAACTAATGCGGGCGGTCCTGTGGATTTCTCGGTCCCTTAATATAGTGTAAATACAGTACATTTTTTTAACGATTGCCACTTGTTATGAAATTGACTTCGTATATACATACCAGTATACCACTGAAAACTAAGCACGAAAATAATAATACGAGTAACTCAATATGCAAATTTAAACTGGAATTGGCTATAGGCACCCCTCTCGCACCCACTTAGACTATGGGCACCCTTTTTCGATTAAATAATCCTTGCACTCCGTAGCGCGCGAAAGCTATAGGCAGCCCTTTTTGCCGTCGCTTATTCTTTACCTAAGAGAATACTATGATTGTGTAATATGTGTTTTCTCACATAGTACACATATTACAAGAGAATATCTTTTCTCTTGTAATAATTATGTGAGTTCTGCAGTAGAAACGTCTCTGTAATAATAAGGTCTGACAGTTCTGGAATAAATATCCCATCCGGAGATAACCCACGATCTGACAAGTGACTTCGTTTACGCAAACGCTACCCAAGAAATGACCTTAAGGAAGGACAGTTACCCGGCCTTTTCCGCATCGAAGCTACTTGCAAGCAGTGTCAAAGAGATGCGCTCCAAACATTCGTAGTAAGACGATCTGAACGCGGCCCACTGTCTCTATACCTAGACGGACTGCCTATTACTTATACCTTTTTACGTAAATGCCTTTTTAGCGTATTTCTTTTTTTATAACCAAAGTCGTATCAGATCGTCGAAAAATCTTTGTAAATAAAAAAATCTGTCAAAAATTCATTGTCTGTCCAGTGGGGGAAAAAATACAAATGGGTGCCTATAGTCCGCGGCAGTGCCTGCTGACTGGAGTGACAAATTTATGTGCATAACCGGAAACGCTAAATTAGCATTAATCCGTTAAACAAATCTCGCTAAGAAACCATAAAAATCATAAGCATTTCATCATCAGCTTATAAATCAACATTTGAACTGCGATTGTCTGCACTCTGGCGTATTCAAAGGCTGTTGTCGCTGTTTTATGTATTTTGCCAGTGAAAACAGTTGCTATTGGCAATGACGTTAGCTGTACTTTGTATACTTTTTTTATTTTCGAAAGAGAAAGAAAACATCTACAGAATATACAACAAAGACGCATTCGCAGTTGTCATTGAACGGACAGCACTGATTCTACGTAATTATGTATTCGTAACTTGTAACACCATAACTATAATAAAAAATGTGCCAGAAAATCAGTGTTTTTCGCTCGTGCTTATTTTTGCTCTTTCACTGAGGAAGTGTTTGCCCCAGAAAATTGGCTATACATTGTGGTGCGAGAAGGGCTGTTTGCCTATAAGTATTCGTGACTCGAATTATGCCTCACTCGAATAAATCCTCACTCAAAACGCATTTCCTTTAACCGGGTTTTTACAACGAGTTTTGTCCGCCCGTGCAGTTTTTTTACTATTTTGAATTGCGGAGAATTGGTGCGCACTGTACCCTGTACCGTACAAGTGGGGAAGTTGAACTAAAAGCTTGTTTGTGCACGTGTCCTGGTTCTGTTTAGGTCGCTGCAAAGTCATCCTTCGTTCTGTATTACGGGTATTTTTCCGCCAGCCTTGACAAGCGTGAAGTGACCACAAGGGCAAAATCCCGAGAGGGAAGCAGACACACAAACAATCGGAGAACGGGAAACTCAACCGTGGCGTCGCCCTTAAAATTGGATTACCTCTTTAGTGCCCTACGAACTTTCGGAACTGATTCGATCCGTTGCTACTGACACTAGCTGGGATAAAGAACGTGACAGTGAAAGGTCCCGCTCTGCTGCTTTTCCAGATAACGATCATGCAAGTCTAAATATTGATAAAGGTCATAAGGCTGCTGTTGAGGCTGCTGTTGCACCGCGAATGTGAAGAAGAAAAGGTCCTTAATCATAAAGTTGCTTCTGTAACGTCTAAAGTTTTACCAACAATTTTCCGCTGAATCGTATATGTCCTATGTAAACATACATACACGGCGACAGCAGTATGACTGCATCGACATGCCTTTATGTTGTGGTTTTGTTAGCTATTGCCAAAAGGATTAGCGGCCAACATGCACTGTGCGGCGAAATTATGGCCACGCGCTACTCATGGACATGGATTTAATTTATTGTTTTCTTGGAAACTATAGTAACATCACAGAATACGGCCATTTTATTTTCTTGGAATAAGCCATAGATAAAAGCTGCAGCGCTTCATACGTTTTGTACAACAGTCTTCATGGCGAAACTACTCGATAGAAACAAACGGATCATTTGTTGTCATTCGGCTGCGAATCCGTACTATTTTTACACATTGTCTTCCCTCCAATAGTTAAACATGCCTGCCCATCAGAGGATGCAGAGATGGAGAAGCGAGGGTGACAGGTGAATTCACCGGCTGACGTACGTTCACACGCCATTTCTCCAATCTCCGTCATGCACATCATCCTGGATCCATCCATCCGGCAGTTCTTCGGCATGTCAGCATCGCCGGATTGTGTTCCTGACGGAAAAAAAGTAAACCAGCTACCTTTCGCATAATTCTTAGAACTTCTTGCATCACCGTACTGATTGTAGTATAATATTTGTACTATAACGTACTGGGTGAACTTAATATTAAGTGTGACTTTCTGGCTTTTCAAATTCATTAAGGCTCTGTGACTGTGGTGTGTAAAATTCTTACCGTTTGACGAAACTCCTGTGGAATTAGCGGAAGAAGACCCAGTGTTTTCTACTGGGATACCTACAAAACCCAACCATGTCAACTGAGCGCCATAACGGTGCTAGGTATATCGACCCATATTCCACCAGTTTCCGCAAAAGGTATTACGTACCCTGTACCGCTATCCAGAGACAACCGCACGCAATCGTAATCCACATGTATCTGCGCAGCATTGTAGGATAAAAGGCAGAATCGCCAGAAAACCGTACCGAATACTTGGATAATTTCGAATTAATCTGTTAATCATCGTTATACACCGCTCGCCGAAGTCGGCTTCTGCAACGGTAACGGACTGATAATAATCGTATTGCAGCCTACAGAGTAGACAAAGTTGGTGAAAACAGCATATTATACGGTCGGTGTGAAAATAACAAGCGGTGTAAAGCAGTACAACAGCATGGTTGTTTTCATCCGCCATTCCGGCTAAGTGGGTATGACTGCACGATGCCTGTAAGCAGGGAAAACGTAACAGCTTAGCTATAAAATAATATTTACTTGTTTTTGCTGATACAGAGTATATGCAGTTTACCTACACAAGTAACACAGGCGAAAACAGTTCAGACGATCCGAATACAACGCTGCAAAGCAGACGCGAACGGGCCAGTGCAAAAGAATAACGAAAACTGCCAGCAAAGATGAGACGGTGCTCTACTATTCCCGCGTATTTTTTTGTGGTGAAAATTTAGTTTGTTCTTCCGTAGTGACAAACAGGTGCAGTTCGCAGCACTAACTGAATCTGCTACAACAGCCGTAAGCGTTTGCGTATGAACAACGATACATTCGGAAAAACGTTAACGATTTTATGAATAACCGATCTAACAAATTTGAAATTTTGCTGGACTAGGTAGAACAGTATGTCCTGCTTCTGGCAGAAAGCCACCGGCGCCGACTGGTGATGCTGGTGCGGGACTGTTCCGCCATCATATGACACGGGCACGGTTGCACGCAGTTTAGACTATTTCTAAAACCAATTAAAATCTTTATTCTGCCGTGGGTCAAATGGTACTCAATGAAGCCGAAGCACTTTCCTTAACGGCAGCTAAGTTAAAAATGTTGCTCATGAAAAACAGTAGAACTCTGCGATTGTCAAGTTATAATCCGAAACGTGGATTTTACCGATTTGCACCACTGTACTGGCCTGATTGATATCTGCGATGATTGTTTTTCGGTGACCGACATTAAACTACGAGCCGAAGTACGGTAAGGTGCTTTTTATTGTTTGCAAATCGATTATACCGGACCCGCTTATACTCGTACTGTGTCGCATCGTTCCGAAAGGCTCTTATCAAAAAAAGGAAAACAACGTATGTCATATACTAAACATTTGTCTATGATTGTAGAAGCAGGTTAAACGATTTTGATAGGTTGTAAAAATAATCGGTAATATTCACGGCGCAATCGCTTCCACTTTTACAGAGAATCCTTCGTGCTGGTGGTATCTGGAGGTGAAGGAGGCAACCTAAAGCAGAGTTTATGGTAGTTGCCAGTAAACGTATGATTTTAAAGTGCCTCCTGCGCAGAAAGCACAACAACTTTTCCAACCACCATACCCACCGCTGTGCTTGCTGATACGTTGACGCGAAGTGCTTTGATAATGCCACAGTACGCATGCCCATCAATTACCAGACGCTCGCCGGAACAATCAGTTCAGTCAGTCGACTTGAAAGAAAAGTTTTGTCGCACGCACATTTCAATACAAACATCTCGAGTACAAGTACTGTAATTCTAATTAACAGTTAAACGGTCTATTATGCCTGCTAAATTTCGAGATGCATTTTATTATTTATTGTTATGGTGCGAAATATTACTGTAACTGTTACTGTAAGTGGAACCTTTAAAAATAAATAATTATTAAGTGACAAATGTGTAAATGTAATAATCAACAAATTAGATTGAAACTAGGTATAAATTTCGGTATGCCAGTACTGATGCTATTATCTGATTGTCAAGATATCACAGCAAACCAGCATAGGAAAAACGAAACTTTTTTACCCGGATAAAACCTTCCGCGGAGAAGTAGAAAAAGCAGCAACAATAATTTTGCGTTAACCACAAACTTTATCGGCGGTAGTACAGATAGCATAGTTTAATACGGTGCACTAATGCGTAGGTCTATTCTACACTGGAGAAAACCATTATGTCCCCATTACAATAATGGGAGAACTACAAACCCTAAGTGTCGTTCCGCTCGCAGCAGTGTCATTCCACAAGCAAAAGACATTTTGTGGGATATTGCGACGGATACCCTGGTGTTCGTATGTAGCTGGGATTACCCACGGTCACTCGAATTGAACTATCGCAATCTGCAAGTCAGGTCAGGTCAGTAAATATATATTCTTGCTTTTGATGCAGCGCGGGAAATTGTGAGTTATTGGAAAGAAATCCAGAAATCTTTGGCTGGAGAAATAATTACCAACGACCATGAAAAACTGCAGACCATGCAGTATCACCAAACTGACCAAAGGTGAATGGAAATGTACCTGGAGGGACGATGATGATGGGAGAACGCGTTTGCGTAACAACATCAAGTTCGCTCCATTTTATCGGTGGAAAGCTATTCTGATCACCTGAACGAAAATTTAGCACGGGTAAAAACAAAGAAGCTCTTTTAATGAGCTAATGCTGGCAAATAAAACCAAATATGATTAAATATAATTATTTTTGTCGACCCTAATGTGGCAAAATAGCCACTATGCATGTTTTTCGCATATCCGTAGCAAACCCACCTTGTACAGCACTGGTTGTGCAATTAGTCAACGCATTAACAGCTTTCAAAATGGCGTTCATCGTGACGTCCGCGGCATCCAGTCGTTCGTTCACCGTGCGTTGCATCGCGCTGGTCAGGTTCGTGAATTCTGTCCGTGCCGGTTGTGCCTCGACATCACTTCGCAGTGCATCGATTCGGTGAATAGTTTCCGCTGAGGCATTCAAAACCATATTCAGCGTTTTGATATGTTCCTGGAGGCGTCTATCATAGGCACGTTCAGCCAACAGGACTCTCGTCCGGTTCATCACGAACAGATTTGCAACAAAGTCAGCAGTCTTTTTACTAATTCGAACAGCAAAATTACGGAAGGTTTCCTGTCGATTCAGCTTTTCTAAATCCAAACATTACAGCTTTGTCGTTTTGATCACTGTCTTTTCGCCATCCCAGCCGACCGTACTGCTTCCGGATTTCAGTTCGTTGACCGCTTCGATCACGGATATTAAACGGCCAAATTCACTCGATTCATCGGCGGCGTTCTGTCCCAGAAGTGCCTGTTTGAGCCAAGGCATGTGATCCGCAAAAATGGTCTGAAAGTTGTGCACTTTCTCATCGGGACGTTGATCATTTTCCGGCCAGTATGTTGCCGCCCATATGGCGTCCGTAAAGTTTACGGTCGACGTGACATTTCGCCGGAATACTAGCAGCATCTTGTTCAGCAGACTGACCACCTGCTGGTCATCGAGGAATTCCTCGGGTTCCAAGATCCCGCCGACGCTGTCCATGAGCACTTCATAGATGAGATTATAATAATCCCTGCGCTGAACGAAAACGTACTGATATCCGGAAAACTGCTCCGTCAGCAGGTTAAACTTACGCGACCCGAGGAGATGCCCGCTGTCCAGAGTAATGGTAACTTATCTCGATTTCGGCAGCTCGTACGCGAGGGTCAGCTGGATGTTTGGTTCGCCTCCCTGGGTAGCGCAACGCAACCGAAAGGTCACCATTTGCGGCCGACTGGCAATGGGCTGCCATTTGCTGGCCATCTGGTGTCCCGTTTCGTGTTCGCTGGCGTTTCGTATGTGCATCCATTTGAAGGGAACCGGAAGAACCCGGCCACTGCGATTCCCGGTTAACGGCGCCAAGAAATTATGCATAGTTTCAATATAATCACGATTCCACAGTTGGATCTGCATGGTAGTCGACTGCCACTCGGGTAGGTTGTTGGTCGACCACGGGCTCGAATCCAGCTGGACACCGGTTGGCAAATAGTTAAACACTGCATTGGCTGGCGATAAGGAGGCGTTGAAAATCTGAATGTGGAAGTCTTTGTATGGAATCGCAATGGTGGGCGTTGAAAGGTTAGGCGTTCCTGTACATTCACGTTTCAACGGCATTAGGTCACATGCGTCAACAGTTTAAAGATATTACATATCATGCATTATGGCGCACGAGCTAATTTTGTACTCAAACCCAAAGCTCGTATAATTACTATACTAAGATTTATGCACGCATTCATGTGCCCAACGGCCAGCTAATACTATATGACCGAGGGTACCGTACATAGATTCTGTTTTTATTGTCTCTTGTTGCTTATTACTTTGCACAATCTATTTCAGAAATTAGTCGCCATCGTATCTGCATCTCTAGGCACAATAAAGCATTTAAAAGAATAGATGTTTTAATTATAAAAAGCTTGGCCGGTTCGTCTATGAATTCAACTCGTAAACTGTGCAGAAAACAACTAGGGAAGGTGTCCATCAGTCCATGAATTATTAACTGAAGCTAAAAACCTCGATGCCGGATACACAATCGTATGCAAACAGCAGTGACTTGAAAAGGGCGCCACGCAAATGGAGGCCGGTGATCGATTTAAAAAAAAAATATCCCGCAAACAAATCAATACGCTAAGGACTGATACAGGATAAATCAATACTGTACTAACAATATAGGCAAATTCAAAAATAATCGAAGTCAGGCCTTTGAATTTTATCCAATTAGTCAAAACTCAAATGTAATAATCGGACGTTCACGAAAGATTTACGAGATTCGAAAACCAATTTGCTTTGTACAATTGTTTTTATATCCAAAAATACTGTACCTTTCCTGTCTGTATCCAAATTCATTTTCCGCATTAACGGTACCAGAAGCCGACATCGTCTTAGTCCTTACCTGATGCGCCGATACCAGCCAACACAAAGGAAAAAAGGAACACATAGAGCCGAGTGGCAGTTCCCATTTCACTTAGCAGTTCGATCAAGTACGAGTATCAATGTACACAAATCCACTTAAACTTGCTTTGTAACTTAAATAATGAAGCTGTAAAACTGCCTTTAGGAGTTCCAATTTACGGTAAATGATTTGCATCACAGATGTGGCCACCACTGTCCATTGACAATGTGATTAGCAACATGGTGGAAAACTGCAACACAGAGAATGACATCTCCAAATCGCGGCAACGCCGACGTCGAAGGCGCGGTAGGTCGATGAAGCAGAGATATAGGGTAAGTTCTATAAATACACAACAGTAATATTCTATCAGAGTGTCTTATCTGCAAAATAATTGTTTCGCGTTGACGAAGATAAAGTACATCGAGAGAATAATGCGGCCGGATATCCTGTTGACCGGATGCGCACCATTAGTTTTTTACGTTTTTCTCAATTAGGTTCAAACGCTTTAACGGCCAAACAATTGGCCATGATATCTGAATTTTATCACACCACAGTTTTCTTTTATTTATGCAAGACCGAAGGCTGCTCATGGCAGCAAAAAATTCGGGAGCACAACAAAGTCATCAACCAGCTTTCACTTCTGGTGCGGATTTAGGTTTAAAAAACCGAAGCAAGTCTTCCGCAGTTGGATGTGAACAGCGGCGGCGTTTCAGAACAGAACAGCACCGATGCAGACTTCCACGATTTTTTTCAGATTTTGAAATAAGTTTTCAATTTTATAAATTTCATTTCAAAATTAGAAAAACATGCTGGAACAGTGGATCGGTGTAAAGGATTTTTGGTTATGTGCATTTACATGCCAGTTTGAGGGACATCGGTCCATAATGAGACTTTTGGTACACCTGAATGTATTTAAACTTTTTGGAATTTTCTAACAGCCATAACTTCTAAACCGGATGTTACGCGCACAAACGGTTTTCACTCGAATGTATACAATTCTTCGGGCCACAGAATGTTATAAACCGGAACGCGAATGTGTTTGGAAGTGCGCGAAAATGAAAGCTTTCATGCATGTACACGAATTTGGTACCATGCACCCGGCCACTTCTCCCTTAAATATACGCATACCGTAAAGGGCGTGAACTTCTGAGTTTCAACCAGGCCGAGCTACCCTGGGTTCTGCTTTTGCCTCTCAAGCCAAATAAAAAGCGTACACGAAATTTAGAAAAAGAAAGTCCGTTTGCTTAGATAAATCTCAACCACAGTGCTTCGGATATTAACAACTGTTTCTGGCAACTTGTTCTAGTTAAAAAAAACTGCTCAACAGCAACTTTTGTCGCTTAACAATCCCATGTTCAAAGGCTTCTAGTACTTTGATCCGTAGTAGTATCGTTACGCTTTTGCATTCTTTAAATGGTGACATTACTTTGTAAAAGTGCCCGGTATTATGTAATTAGACAGGTTTTGCATAACTGAAGATAAGAAGAAACTAGCGCCGATAACGGGCAAGCGCGCTCAACTGAAAAGTATACAGCTGGCGCATTGTTCTCGGCACTAGTAAATGCCAACGGAATCAAAGGAGATAAAAATAAAACGCAGCTTTGCGTGGACGGAAAGCCAACAGATTGCACATAGACAGCGTAAAACTATCACCTATAAGGTAGTGGTTATCAGCTAAATTTGACGCAACGATGCGATTGCAAAATTATTTTACCGTGTAGAACCATGTAACTTGTTTGCAACATTCCCTTTGAGAAAACCACAATCACTGCGACACATGTACTGGTCCGCATCTGGAAGGCCCTTTCTTATAACCGACTTGACAGAAGGATGGATTCGCCCATGAAAATTACTTCAAAGAGTCACAGTGAATTACGGACAGTAATAACGCTTTTACTGCTTGGTAAGATGCCTTTGCATTAGGGACGTCGTCAAGGAGATTCTTTATTTTCTTCAAAAATTACATGTGATTTCCCGTATTGTTGTTTTGTTTCCAGTTACATACAGAACAACTGCTAAAAGGGGCATATTCTTCATTGTAAATACACAGCCGCATAGCAAACAACCTCATGACAAAAGACAGCAAACAAAAAACAAAATAATTGCAGCAACGAATGGTACATCAATGCCGAATGTGGCTAGGTACACTGAACGCGCCCTTTTTATACTCCAGGCTGCCAACTGGCCACAAGGGGCGATGGTGCACAGTGCTCTAGTACTCAGATTAATACGCATATTCTTGCCCTACATTTTCGTTAACTACTTACTGCAGCCTGTAAAACAAATAGATGCTAGATTGTCAGATTCTGAGTAACAGTAATAAGAAAAATAGTAACTTGATGACTACATTTGTATTATAACTATGAGTAATAAGTGTTAATGCGAGCAACTATCAGTAACATTACAAAGTAATAAGCCAGCGCCGAGATATTCTACGGAAATTCTTTGATCTCACGCGCCCAACCAGCTGCACCAAACTTTTTTCCATTTTCAGGGGCAACTTCAATAAAGCGCTTTGGCGCACTTTGTGAGAAAAGTGAGCGGGCTGTTTGCCCTCTACCAACGCCATGTTACAGGTGGGCAAATTTGAACGGAGGCAGTTGTGATTTTGGAACGGAAATCCAGCTGGACAACACAGCCACAGGCATTGACATCTGCCCCAATTGGTTCCGCGGCTATAGATACTTTCCGTATCAATTTGATTTGGTGGAAAATTATCCGAATTTTGATGAGAAAATTCGTAAGTATGAATCAAGGATTGCTAGAAGTTGTGGGCCATGACTGTGGGTTATTTAAGCCTTTTTTTAATTGTCGCGTCATGTTTTTTTTCACTGTAATTTTTCCCTCGATATGTATTTCTTGCAGTTGATGTGATAGCTTTATCACGTTGCACCAGGCGACCTTTCGGTGCTGCGCCCGAAAGTCAAGATGCCGTGGCCGTCCTGAAGAGCCCCAACATCGGTGTGACATCATGTACTGTGTGGCGCGTGACATTTTGGTATCGATTGTCCGATTATCCGGTTTTTGATTCTGTTAATCCACAAAACCAGTTTCATCTCCAAGTATTTGTTGAGGATTATGGGCACACATTTCCCATTGAGCTGATCTGGGGCAGAGAAGAAGACTACGATGGAGTTCTTCCTAACGTTTGGAAATCTGTCGAAGCAGTCTTTCACCGTGACCAAAGCGAACCGTACGTATTATACTGGTTCGCGTACCACAATGATAACTGTGAAGTCAGTCTTAAAGAGATCGCTGTGGACAGTATCAGGATCCAATACGGTCAGTAAGCGCTTTGTCGTTGTTTAATTAGCTGGAAATTGAGCAGGAAGCGTTCGTTAGCTGATAAGCTGCGCCGTTTAAAGTTCAACAGGTTGTGCGGAAGAGCTGCCCACTTAAATGAAACAGTGTTTGGTGTTATTTCTAACATATAATTCGGTTTAATTTAACAACTTTTGTGACAACTTATTATTGTTATTGAAAGTGATCGGCTCAACTGAAGAAAATATAATTATACTACACGTACCTGTACAGAGTACGACTGAAAAACTGGGGATAGGGTAGTCTGGGTAACAGGATCAAATCCAATGCGCGCAAATCGTCCGCATTGGACCGCTATGTTGGAACTGAAATGCGTGCGTTTGCGGCAGGAGATAAAAGGTGGCAGTGGCACCTGCCACTGGCAACTGCCAGCGGCAGTGGCAGTTGCCACTACGCGTTGTGGCAAGCGATAAAACGTGGTAACTGCCAAAAACTAAGCATCAGCAAGAGACGAATCTGCCAACCAACGACAAGTTTTAAAGGGAGAGTCTTTGTATTTTTCCAAATCGACTCTATAGAACACTGAACACCCATGGACACGTAAGCCGGGGTCTTGTGACCGAGCGCTGCACCGCGGTTCAGCAGGTTCAGCGCTGTCACAGTTACAGAGCACTCACAGTCTGTGCCTCTCACGATTGAAGCACGGTATTTCGGTAAATGGGACGGTATTTTACTAGGGTTACTCAGTAAGCTGTTGAAATCGGTACGCACACCTCCACTGCATCAGTTTTTCTTCTTCGTTTCCATAAACTGTATTTCTTTTTTCTGCCTGTATATAATACAAGTAAACAGTGCAAACGTGTTCCCTAATTTTAGAAACGTATTCGTAGAAAAATCGTACGGCAGAGAAGAGATCGCCCCTTGAAAGTTTCCTGTCGGTTTCTCAACTGTTGTTATTTTTTCTTACGCAATAATTGCTTCAGAGTCAAAGATATTTTAACAATGTAACGGACTAAGGTATGTGAATAAAATAAATGTATAAGGATGTGCCGCTTGCGGCATATCCTTTTACAAGTAAACACCGCGACCAGAAATCGCGACCTGCATGAGACCGTTTTCGTGATTCTGCACCGTACGGGGTGATGCCGTGTCGAAACATATAAGTTTCTTCAGCGTTATCACAGAGGACCTGCGGCCCTGCAGCACAAGCTCAACACTGTTTCTTCCAGAATAGTTAGTCCCTGTGCTATTGCTCCAGGTAGGCCCGTTCATATCGGGATCATGGCTGTTGTCACGAAACTTTCTCGAGGTTGAAGCTAAATGTCGATTCCAAAAATTCGAGCACCTCGATGTAAACGGAATGCTCATTCCGAGATCGTAGAAACCCAGCGAGCAAAAGTAGTACCACAGAATGGCAGTCATTTAAAAAAGTGGGCAAGATATCCAGTATACAAGAAACCTACACTGTTCTCTGTGAATATTTTTTTCAAAATATTATTATTGTCCTGAAAATCGCGTCATATCAAAATAGACGCTTTCAGTGATACTTACTGCAGTGATTAACTATACTTCAGTTAAAATGCCAGCGCGGTTGACCCTGGCAGACAAACAGCTCGTCTGCTTATTATCCTTTATGTGAAAGTGCAGTATGGTCGCTGTACAAACGAATTTTTTATTCTGGTTGCTTTCGATTTTTCTTTTAATGTTTTGGATAAGCAACGGGCGAATACTCGATATGCAATCGGTTCGCGTCCCTCCTATAAAAAAGGCTTTTCGTAATTACGGTTCAAGATACCGTTTAATTACGGTATCTTACTTGACGTGGTCCATGCGTATATAAGTACGCATTTAAAAGTATTAAGTGTTTTTGAGTTCCGTAACGAGAAAATTAGCGTCCTCCGCACCTCGAAGTTCGCAGTTTTAAAGTGTGTTTGAGTGCTTTTAAAACTGACATGTACAGGGAATAGGACGATATTCTGGCAGTTGCCACGTTTCATCGCTTGCCATAACGCGTAGTGGCAACTGCCACTGCCGGTGGCAATTGCCAGTGGCAGGTGCCACTGCCACCTTTTATCCCCTGCCTGCGTTGGCGCATTTATCGTAGTAATGGTACCCTTTCACTTTTACGTTATTGTGATATGAAGCCGATTAAAAAGCTCCAGGCGAACGTCCGCTTTACAGAAGTAGTCAGCCCTATTCAGTGCCGTTTGGCCTTAAAAATTCAGCAGTGTTAAAGTAAAAAGCAAGCCGACCTTGCGTGCCGTGTTTCAGCCACAACGGCTACGCCCGCGTCCGGCATCTGTCCAACAACCACCGAAGCTTCCCCTGAAACGACTCCACCATCAACACCGACACCAGTCGTACCCGACACAACACCTCCCACAACTCCCTTCATAACCACTGCAGAGCCGTCTCCGACCACCTCAGTATCGTCATCTCCGACAGATATTGCAGACACTGCCACAACGTCCGGCACAACCACAGTGTATCCTGAACAACATTCGAGCACCCCCTCCACTGACACCACAATATCCACATCGACGCCACTCGTTGAAACCGACACCACTACATCGGAGACAACGCCCAGTACTGCAACGGGCACTTCAGATACTGGTTTAACAACAACAAGTACAACGACTGTCCCTGTCAAACCAGGCACGGAAGCACATGAACCAAATGAAACTACGTCTGTATCAGAAGAAACCATATCCATCCCAGAGGAAACCACACCTGGACCAGAGGAGACCACTCCTATACCGGAAGACACAACACCCTCGCTAACGGAAATCACTCAAGAGCCAAGCTCCACCACGCCCAAACCGACTGAAACTGTGCCTACACCATCGGAGGAAACTACATCGGAGGAAACTATATCTGAGTCAGATGAAAGCACACCTACATCGGCCATTGAGTCAACTACGCCGATGACAGCCGATACGACCACAACGAAAGAAACCACGACAGATGGTGTTAGTGGAACGAGTCTCGATTCAACTGAAACCAGTGTGACCTTAGATACAACGTTAGAGGAGACAACTTCCAACTCTACAGCCATTTCATACGATTACTCTTCATCGACGGATTCTGCTGTTACCGCTTGCCCAATTCAAAATTCTCCCTGTGTGGATTGGATGCCGCTTGGTTCGAGTACCGTAAATAAATTAAACTGCGGTTTCGGGATTCGGCAGCAGAGGCCTGACGAGCTGAATATCGTGATGTGCCGCAGTTGGAACAGGACGATTCCCTGGTTGAACTTCGTATTTGATATTGTCACATCGCCCACAGGTATACAGAGCGCCAACACACCACGATATTGATCCATCAGTTAATTTTTTTACGGTTTTGTTTTTTCAGAGACTAAAAATTTTGCTGTCTCACGGTGCTCCCGAAGAAGTGGCGTATCTGTAGTAAGGCCAGAAGCCGTTGCAGCAATTATCACACCGCCTGTACAAGTCAGCGAAAGTGTGATGTATAACATCAGCTTCCGCTACATGCTTTCCGCACCGCCTGATTTCGACAGCAAGTATTTTTTCGACGTAAGAATTGGCAGGCCAAACGAAGCAGCGATTCCATCAGAAAGCAGCATCATCTGGGGGAAGCCAACAGATTATCCGACAGACTTCGCAAATTTGACCAATCAGTTTCTCTATAACTCGACCACTTACACAGTCGGAGCAAACGGGTCCTTCAATGTTCATTTTATTGCACACCACAATGACGGCTGCCGGATAAACCGAGCGACAATTTCCATCGATGACATTGTAACCAAGCAAGGTACATACATTGTAATTGAATTATCGACCGGAGCGTAGCGAAGGTCCTCTATATTCAAGACTAATACTTTCGTTGATTTCTGTCCGTTACGAAAGGTTATTACGAAATCCATTTCCAAAAAGTAATTGGAAGTGCATGCTTATGTTGCTAAGTTGTTTTGAAAAATGATATAAAAATTTATTATTCTACATATGCATATAGTAAAGTGCTCTGACAGATCAAATTATTAAGTGCTTCAAACTAAAGTTTGTAGTATTAAAATGTATTATACAAATACTTACTCAAAGGAGATGCTGCGCTCCGGTCTGACAAATGCACGCCAACGTGCATTTTTCCTAGTAATATTGTTTCTTCCAGAAATGTGTTAACAGCAGAGTCCGCCCAACTTAAAGACTTGGGCTACTCTAACTTGAGCTTTCTAAACGGTAGTTCTAGACTTACATTTGGTCTCTTTAACCCGGACGCTTTCATCCCTTCTTAAACATGACAGCGAAAGAAAAGGCGTGCCCAACCACCCCGCCGCCTACAACACCCTGGACCACAACACCGTCCCCAAAATTATGTGCCGACCTAATGTGCGCGTCCTGGATTGCGTTGCCACAATCGGAGAGTTCAAAATTGGTATGTAGTTTTGGTCCGTACCAGGGAGTTTGGTATTGCCGAAACTGGGATCCAAAGTTCACTTGGCTTCGTCACCGCTTTGATGTGGCCCAACGAGGTAAATGTAAACAAAATTCTGAATGAGAAGACTTTCCGTTTGCTGTGAATTTTGGCCATCTGCAAAAATGATTGTATCTGTTTGCAGCGTCCAAAAATATGCAAGCAGTGTCCCAGTGCTCGGTGGGGACTTCTTCTGCCCGTGTTGTGGGGAAAGCTGTGTTGCGCACTCCAGTTGTTACCGTCGCTGCATGTGTGCATTATAACCTCACATTCATTATACAGTTCTCACACGCGCCGGTCATTAGCGACAACGAATTAGAGAGCTATTTTTTGGATGTCCGTATCGGGAACGGCAGTGAATCTCGAATTCCGGATCGCGTAATCTGGGGCAGCACAGCGGATTACGCAAAAGACAATATTAACATGGGAAATTACACCTACACTGTTACGACCGCGTTTGCCATTGCGGAGAACGATAGTTTCACTATCAACTTTGTCGCACATCACAGCAACCAGTGTACGACCAGAGGTCAATCTATTGCAATCGACGATATCGTAACGCGGAAAGGTAAGAATTATTCTATTTACGCGTCCAGCGGAACGTAATTATGGTACATTCACTATGTTGCCACGACATCGGTTGCAGGTGCTGAGACGGACATTTGCGAGACTACAACCACGGCTGGACCGAGAGACACGACGTCCGTTGATGGGTCGGGTAAAAGGGACGACAACAGTGAAAGCGACAGGAGATTTGATAACGGGTCCGGAGGGCGTTGAAGCGACCGAAAGTGCTAAAATATCTCTGCAAAAGGAAACCACGGTTTTAGATAAGGAAGAAACTTAAAGACCATCGTTGTTAGCCCTCCTCGGCTGTTAGACTGCTAGTACCTGTTAGTACCTCAGCGTTCTGCTTGTGTTTATGGTTATACGTGTGACGACTCATATATTATCCGGAACAGCAGGTACCGGCATTGTGCGTACTCGTAGTGACTGCGTCCGACGAGTATCATAGCTATTACCTGCTAGGTTGTTTGCCGCTTAGTAAAGATTGTACGAGTAATTAAGACTGATCATCGTCATAATGTCGTTCATATTGGGTACACATTGACATTACTGTTACAGTGTTACGTAGTAAAACTTGAAAACGATGTAACTTAAATTTCCGATTGGGCGAATCAAATCGTTTTCTAAGGATATGCGGATCATCTTTAATAACCGGCCACCGTTCTTGGCGTTCCTGAGCTCGTGAGCAGTGTGCGAACAGACGACGCAAAAGTAGATGACTTCCACCGTTCCCAGGTATTGATGCCGTCGCCCGGCTGGAGTGTGACGTTATGGCTGAACATGGAGCTACGTAACGCGTCAGAATTAACCATATGTGATGCCGTTAGGTTACACTCCAGGCGGATGACGGCAGCAATGCAGAGAAACGGTGGCAAGCATCTGGTTTTACTCCTTCTGTTCTTTTCCACTTGTGCAAAAAACTCAAGCATAAAAAAGATAAATATTAAAGTTCTTTAGCGGCTTTTTGCACGGTTTCCAACCGCTGTGACGGCGTCAGTACTTCATTGATGGCTTCGGTCACCAATAATAACGGCTAAAGGGAAAACGCTCACAAGTCAGGGACTTTTTGCGAGTACTTTCCATAACAAGCAAGCAACCTTTACCGACTGCGTTAACCTACAGTCCGCTTCAGTAGTGTTTGGTTCAGGCGCACCGCGGTGAGTGGGGTTGCATGCGCACTGTGCTTGCTGCACTACCGCGGCACACTGATTTTGAATCTGAATGGATGTCGGTGAACGCAAAGAGCCGACGCATTGTCCTTCTCTCTAACGCTGTGTTTTAGCCGCACCTCTTCTTTTAAACCTCTGGACCAACAAATACAAAACGGACTGTACACGGACATGGTCACACTGCGTTTGATAACATGCCAGACGTCCTTTATTGAGAAATGCTAATAAAGTGCTAACACACACATATTAAATGCCAGAAACATGAAAATTGTATTAGTCCATTTTGTTTTTGTGTCCATTTAACGCTCATCTCCTGCCGCAATACTACTCTATCGGCTTGATTTTTGAGTGTTTTCTAACGGTTTAAAAGTTAATACTAACGTAACATCGCGAATGGATCATTTTCAGGCCTTGGTAGCTGGTACTATCCGGAAGATGACCGGATAGTGCAATGGGTCTTGTGTCCCTGAGAGTAGCAATGACGCACGTTAGCGCCCTGTGGTCTTCGGGCTCCACCGGGCGACGGGATACCGGATCTTAACCGACAGATGGGTCTATTTCCGGAGACTGTACACGGCAGTTCACCGTGTTTCGTCTTGCACCACAATGTTGCTCCCACCGTGCGACAGTTATAATTAGGCAGCAGTCGGGTTGCGTCACATCCTCTTGTCCCTGCGCCTCCGCAACCTCCTGGTTGCAAGACACCATTACTTGGCCCGGGAGCAGGAGTGGGATTATCTTCTCGAAAATCCCCTGGTGGGCTTTCAGGGTTTGCAGGATGCGCGGGGGCTGGAATAGGTTGGGTGTGGGAAGGGGTATCCCCGTTGGTGACACGTTGGATCCATTCTGTAAAGTGGCTGACTTTGGTGAAAACGTCCGCTGTGTTGAGAGTGCATCTGCGGACACAAAACAGTTAAGCAGCGTTCGAGAGTGGCGTACAAATAACGACAACATCCTGACTCGGTCCCTTGACGAGTGATCCACATGAACGACAGGTGAACTGAATCACTTAAAAAGATGACAGTAACCCAGCAGAACGTCAGGATGGTCAAGGTGCCCGACGGAGATTTTGGTCGTTGAACCGACCACAATGTCAGCGGACCCGAAAGAACATTTGTTGAAAGCTACCTCTCCCTTTTTTATAAAATTTGATTAGGCATTCGAAGAGACGTTGGAGGATGGCAAGCCGAAGAACAAGCCAATCAAATTAGCGGCCAAAACCAATGCCAAAGAGTAAATATGTGTACCGGGTCACTTGCTAACTAAACAGTGCTAACTACAAAATATTGCAAACGTCGTATAATGCTACTGTACCGGCAACATTCTAAATGCAAGTTATTTACAATGCATTCCTGCTACGCTTCGGTCATGCAGTGCCCGCCAAAAGCGAGTGCACTTTCCTAGTTTGTAATATTTAGTAGAATGACCAGAACCGGTTTTCCCTAATGCATCGAAGACTTTCTAACGGTATTGCTAAATGGTGTTGCTGAGCTTGCACTATATCTTTCTTTTCAGATATAATTATCCGTTCCGTTAACGTACCCTCTGAGGCCGTAGCTGGTCAAACCAACCAAATAATCCCCACCACTCCGCCGATTAACCAGCGGACCGCCGCTGTCGCCCTACCACAAACGCAATTATTACGTAAGTAACAGCATTATTTTCATGGTTATTGACGCTGTTTTAACATCCTTCAATATACCACGAAATCAAATTCCTTGATGATTATTTGCAGTAAAAAAATAGGCTGTGCCACGGTTACAAATGGCCAGAGGTACAACGTACATTGCACGTGCCGGACGCCTGATTCTCGGTACAGATTTGGCTGGGAGGAATATGACTCCGTCTTGTTGCACCCAGGGAACGTCGACACCGCTCGCGATCCACGACCTTCAGCGTGGTCTTTAGCAGCTGTTCTGACGCCGCACTCGCCTCTCCCTCTTGCGTCCGCCCCCAGCCTGCGGTGTGCAGTGTTGTACCCGGAGCCGGCTCGGCATTGGCGGGCGGAAGTTTCACGCTGGATACGCCCAGTATTCCGGCGGCCGTGGTCGCTAAGCGCAGGATGGTGATGTCGTTGAGGATCTTTTTATGATGGTAGTCGGGATGAACAACGGCTTCGCGCACCGTGATTACGTTGGACGGTGGGACGTTGACGAGGCGGCGGATGCCCACCGCGATGCTGAGCTCCCGTACTGGAATGCGCCTGCCCCTGTTAAGGAATCCGTCAGGTGCTGCTATTTTTTAGACATGATGTGGTGCTTACGATTTTTCATCATGCACACAATGAGCGGCGGTGATGACGGATTTCAGATCCGGCATGAGCGACCCACCACAGATATGGCTATCGTCTCGGCGGATGCTGACGATAAAGTGGAACTCGTTGTTCGGTGCAGATTCACCATCTAGAAACATTCAGCGTGAGCTGATAACCAAATGGGCGAAACGCACAATTAATTTATCAATACAGTAACAACTGGAGCCAACGCCGATTTAAGGCTAAGCGCTACATACTGATCAGGTTTCCCGCACGAGTAACATAGCAGTAAACCGATAGGTTTTCCGGTTCCTACTTCCCTGTAATCGGCTACTACGCTCTGCTAGTACACTACTTGGTCGTTGCTAAAGTGCTGATACCTAATCAAGCCTTAGTTAAGGCGAGATATAGGATCACCGCGAAACCGTACGTTACCGTAGGCTGTCGAAATGAGTGACACACACTTACTAATGATTAGTCCACCGATGGGAGGTTTTATTGTGCCAGTGGATAGGTCTCTTCATCGGGATAACTTGGCGGGATAACGGTGGCACTGTCTGATTCGTCAAAATCTGCATTTCCTGCAAAGACGTCCTCAGGTGAGCCATTCACGACCGCTCCCTCGACATCTGGATATTCGGCAGGAATTATGCTTTCCACTGGGCCACCTACAAATCCATCCAGCGGAACTCAGCACCATATGGATGTCGGTCTGTGTGATCGTGCAAGATGTTTACATACCCAATGCCGCTGTCCAGCAGCACGCTCCAATAACGACAATCCATGTATACATCATTGTCCAACTGCCCGAAGACAGAATAAGGCATAAGCGTTGCGAGTATTTTATTACCGCGCATTTTCAAGTCCGGGACATCATCCGTGATTTTGATTCCTGATTAGAGCAGTACTGACGCTCGGCTGGGTGCAACGAGGATGTTACAATAATTATACGAGTTAAGTAAGCGCTCGTGTGGACGCGGAACAAGCTGGAATCGTTAGATGCCGACGACTCAGCCACTGCATGACTTGTTTGGACTATGAACACTAAGCAGTGAGCACGCGACGTGCACATGTGATTGTAGAAAGTATGGTGTTGATGAATGTGCCGATGATTCAACGTTTGCCGCCGATTGCACAGGAAACCCGCAGTTCCTTTGTGACGAAAAATCGACCAACTGGATTTGTAAAAGACCAGCTGATATCGCATTCAAGGTCGCAAATTTTTATCATGCGCGGCAACCTTTGGCTTGTTTACGACAACAAGCCAGTGTGCATTCATGCGTCTGTTTGTGAACACGTTTGTGAATCATTGTACATACGATACTATACATGGCTCACAAGACACTTGTGATGCAGGCTCGCGCACCTTAATTATTCAATTTAAAAATAATAATTAATAAACTAAGTATCCGGTTATTACTGTGAACATGCAAACAGCTTTAACTGAAAAAATTTGCACGGTGTTAATCAAACGTCGAACCAGCCGCACTTTAATCAATCAGACCGGCAGTTTTTCAGCCACCTGTTACATATTTAGTGTAAATTTGATCTAAAAAAGGTATTGACATGATAGGAAAATACCTTTGCTTTTAATTTTGCAGCAACTACAGTTAACCGTTAACAGTAGTCTGTCAAGCATTCAGCAGCTTAAAATCGAGGATGCAGCAGTGTAGGCAAGAAATTTTGTTGATGTTTGTGTGAATACAGTATTCAGAGCTGACGAATAACATAAAACCACGAAAAAAATGATTAAAAATATATATTTAAAATTTGTAAGTACCATACACAGATTATCTCGAACTTTATATCTGCAACAGTTGTGGGACTGCGGTTGAAAACTGTTACACAAGAGAATGATACGATACGTTGATACCGCCACGTTTAATCGCACTGCTGATCAATAATCTCATGGACCCGTCGGAATGATTCCACGATTCCGCGGCTTCTTCCGCCCATTTTGAACGTGCTGCGGTTTCATTGGACCACGCCGGCAACTTGCCAGGTTTCCCTCCACAGAAATAGCCCTGATGTGTGTGCTGGCTCACTATTGTGATATTTCGTAGATCAAATAATTCCAGAACGAATCGCAGAACGAACGACTGACTTGAAATACTATCTTAACTTGACACTTGTGGTAGTTGACACAGTTATTCCCGAATTTTCGATTACAGTTTTGTAACGGTTTCGGATCTACACGGATTTCTATTGATAATTTTCACCAGTTTAGAATCCCTCCTTCTACAATGTGCAGGACGGCCGTCTTCTTTATATACATCGCCTTTCTACTTTCGGCTTTCGCTGCTGAGAAGAAAGCCGAAGAAGATGCCAAAAATGTCGGTACCGTGATTGGCATTGATCTCGGAACAACTTACTCATGCGTCGGAGTTTACAAGTGAGTAAGCGTTTTTCTGTGCTAGACATCGGAAACAGTGAAGCACCGTGATGGACAGCGTTATGTCCCAAAAACTTTGTTTTTGCTTGACTTTGGTTTTTGCATTAGTTAAGAGAACAAAGTAGCCGTCGACAACGTTAACCTTTTTCTTAAATATCCCTTCTACGTTTAATTGAACGGTCATATCTACAAAATAATTAATACATTTAATTATTTACCGTTTTAACTGCACAAGCCGCACCGGTATGTACAGCTTAGTAAAAAGAGAAATTTACGGACAGATTTCCTGAAGCCTGTCATTGTTGTGTTTTTGACGTGGCGCAAGCCGCGTAATATGGGTGACGCCGTGTAGCTAGGTAGAGTTGTTATCCGAATAGAACTAAATGTATTCCGTTCATTCGGCAAATGCGATGTGAAGTTTACTACGTAGTACTTTATAATCAGTAAATTGGTTAGAACAGAATACTGAGACGTACTCTGAGGCGTATTTATTTTGTCTGATTAGAAATGGCCACGTGCAGATCATCGCCAACGATCAAGGCAACCGCATTACGCCCTCGTATGTGGCCTTCACCTCCGACGGCCAGCGTCTCGTGGGTGACGCCGCGAAGAACCAGCTGACGTCCAACCCGGAGAACACCGTCTTCGACGTGAAGCGTCTAATTGGGCGTGAGTGGGCGGATCCCTCCGTGCAGGCCGACATCCCGCACTATCCCTTCAAAGTGGTCAACCGCCACGGGAAACCCCACGTGCAGGTGACCGTAGCAGGCAGAAAGAAGATCTTCACGCCCGAAGAGATCAGCGCCATGGTGCTGGGCAAGTTGAAGGAGGCCGCGGAGGCCTACCTCAGCCATCCCGTGACGCATGCTGTCGTCACCGTGCCGGCCTACTTCAACGACGCGCAACGGGCGGCCACTAAGGATGCTGGCACCATCAGTGGACTGAATGTGATGCGGATCATCAACGAGCCGACCGCCGCAGCCATTGCCTATGGTTTGGATAAGTTGGGGGAAAAGAATATTCTGGTGTTTGATCTGGGCGGTGGCACCTTCGACGTGTCGCTCTTGACCATTGATAACGGGGTCTTCGAGGTCTTGGCAACCAATGGGGACACTCACTTGGGTAAATACGTAACATAAAACTGTAATATATTTCCAGTACAGTATTTTCATGTAGGCCCTGCACGGTCGGAACTGGCTGTGCCGGAATAATATATGATGACAGTAATATGATGTACATAATTACGCTGCCATAATTTGTAATTTTTTTTGTAATTTTGATAGACATAGTCGGTCTACAGACTCTGTTGTAACCGACCAAAACGTCCGGACGACTAAGACGTCCGGCGGACGTTTTGGTCGTTAAACCGACCAAACCGTCCGGGGGCCAAAAAAACGTCCGCCGTAAATTTTGCCCACTCAAAAATTTTTGCATTCTTGATAGCTTCTGAGAGCGTCTGAGAGCGTCTCAGCCCGGACACTTTGGGCGGAGCACTATTTTAGCCCGGACACTTGGGTCGGAGCACTATTTTGGCCGGACACTTTGGTCGAAGCACTATTTCAGCCCGGACACTTTGGTCAGAGCACTATTTTAACCGGACACTTTGGTCGGAGCACTATTTCAGCCCGGAAACTTGGGTCGGAGCACTATTTTGACAGGACACTTTGGTCGAGCACTATTTCAGCCCGGACACTTTGGTCAGAGCACTATTTTGACCGGACACTTTGGTCGGAGCACTATTTTAGCCCGGACACTTGGGTCGGAGCACTATTTCAGCCCGGACACTATGGTCGGAGCACTATTTAGAGCCGGACACTTTGGTCGGAGCACTATTTCAGCCCGGACACTTTGGTCTGAGCACTGTTTTGACCGGACATTTTGGTCGGAGCACTATTTCAGCCCGGACACTTTGGTCGGAGCAACATTTCAGCCCGGGCACTATGGTCGGAGCACTATTTAGAGCCGGACACTTTGGTCGGAGCACTATTTCAGCCCGGACACTTTGGTCTGAGCACTGTTTTGACCGGACATTTTGGTCGGAGCACTATTTCAGCCCGGACACTTTGGTCGGAGCACTATTTTGACCGGACACTTTGGTCGGAGCACTATTTTAGCCCGGACAATTGGGTCGGAGCACTATTTTGACCGCACACTTTGGTCGGAGCACTATTTCAGCCCGGACACTTTAGTCAGAGCGCTATTTTGACCGTACACTTTGGTCGGAGCACTATTTCTGCCCGGACACTTTGGTCGGAGCACTATTTTGACCGGACACTTTGGTCGGAGCCCTATTTCAGCCCGGACACTTTGGTCAGAGCACTATTTTAGCCCGGACACTTTGGTCAGAGCACTATTTTGACCGGACACTTTGGTCGGAGCACTATTTCAGCCCTGACACTTTGGTCGGAGCACTATTTCAGCCCTGACACTTTGGTCGGAGCACTATTTTAGCCCGGACACTTTGGTCGGAGCACTATTTCAGCCCGGACACTTTGGTCGGAGCACTATTTCAGCCCGGGCACTATGGTCGGAGCACTATTTAGAGCCGGACACTTTAGTCGGAGCACTATTTTAGCCCGGACACTTTGGTCGGAGCACTATTTTAGCCCGGACACTTTGGTCGGAGCACTATTTTAGCCCGGACACTTTGGTCGGAGCACTATTTTGACCGGACACTTTGGTTGGAGCACTATTCGGACCCGGACACCTTGGTCGGAGCACTATTTGGAGCCGGACACTTCGGTCGGAGTACCATTTCCGGCCGTTTGAATCGTGGTTCGAACCCTTTGAATAGACTCAGGATGCTTTTTTCTGAGCCTGAAACTGTTGAGTATTTTTGATCGAAATATTAAATCTGCCCGTTAACCGGTTTCACACAGTTATTTAAGAATTCATTTCTCTTTTGGTGTAGCCAGTTGTTACGTGTAAATCAAAAAAGTTTGTAGTAATAACAGCCCAATTTACTGTTTTAAATAGAATCATAGTTTGAAAGTCTTCGGCTTCTTCGGTTTTCGCACTTAGTCTCTAAGCAGCCTTGTATTTGTGCCACCGTTATTCATAGCGTGCTTATGCCGTCGCTGTCAGGTTTTTGCCTAACTGTTTTCCGTGCTTTGCCATAAATTTAGTTAGTTTGTGAGTTTGGTTCACTGTGGAGATTTGTAGTCTCTCTCATGAACTACTTTACTGCAGCTTTGTGTTCGTTCTACTTTTGTTGTTGAAACAAATTTCCGATTGTGTGATTCCCGAAATGTAATCAATAATCCAGACTGACGTTTTGAAATGTGGTTGAGTATGGGCTGAACGTCCTGTTTCTTGGAGATCTGTGCTTCTTTCTTCGGTTTACTGTCACGGAAGCGTAAAAATGCACTGTGATTTGAAATCCATATACGTTTTTCTAAGTACAAAGCAGTATCCTAAAGGGTTAAGCGAAAGCCAGAAACGTTCCATCCGTCGGCGACGAGACAAATTTGCCGTCATTGGTGAAAAGCTGTATTTCATTGCATCGCAACGGAAAGGACTCAGTGGATGTGGTTATCCGATTGTTGTGTTTGAGGATGCGGAGAAAATCCAGATCACTGCTGATTATCACGGGTATTTGACTTGTAATTTATAGCAGTCCTGTCAGTTTAGATCATCGCTCACCTTCTTAAAGCGCTTTTTACAGCGGTTGGTACACAAGCTTTGAATGTGTATTCAGCGGCGTCATTTCGATAATTGGCGGAAAATATAAGAGTCGATGTTGCTAAATATACAATGTTTTCTGCCTACTTTACGTTTTTAAAGTATCGGCTTGTAACCTTTGCTTACTTTTGCTTTCAGTAAATTAGGGCATGCTCGGAGGGAGGGTTTAGAGCAGACACTTGCAAGAGACTACTTTTGGGATGGTATGCGATCCACAGTTCAGTCCGTGGTAAGAGACTTCGGAATCTGTTGCTACTGTTTTCCAAAAAGTTAGATGAAGTTATGATTAAGACGTTCACTGCCACCACTCATCATTGTAGATTGACAAATGTGACGTTTGCAAATCCCAAGGGAAAGGCTTGGATGTCGTTAAAGAGCCGCTTGCGTCAGTAAACGTGCCAGGCAGACCATGGGCACTAATCGGATACGATTTAATTATCCTCCCTGAAACCTCGAAGGGACACAAATATCTGTTGACCATTATCGATTACTTCTCCAAATTTCGCGTTGCTTATGCTTTAAAGAACAAAGAAGCAAAGACAGTGGTGAAGAAGTTACATCATACGTTTTCCATGTTTGGTATTCCGGAAGCAATCATTTCCGACAATGGTACTGGTCATGTTTGTTAATTAATTTCTTATGCAAAAGTGGTTGGGGCTTTGGGTACAATAGTGCTGCGTAATCGATGATTGAATAAAAGCATTCCTTAATGAATCAGGTACCGAATTCAGAAACGCTGATAATAAAGAGATGGAGCGTCTGCTGGGAGTGGAACATCGCTTTGCCCAACCTCGACACCCGCGCACTTGCGGCCAAGTTGAGAACCTGAACAGGCAGATCAAAGAGTAAGTTTTATTTGCGCTGTTTAAGATTGTTATAGATATGTAGGTACAAAGAAGTGACGATTATTCATAATGAACGAACACCTGCAAATTTGGGTCGGTTTATGTACAGGCGAAATAAAACTTAATTTTTAAATTTCTAACGCAACCACCGCTTAATATATTGGCGTTTCGTCTTAAGCTTTGCTTGAATCCGATAAACAGTGAAAATCTGATGAACACTGTAAAGCTATAAAGGACATGCTATAGAACGAAAGTCGCATGTCTACATACATAAGACTTGAAGGGCGTTACTCATAGCAAAACCTAAACGGTGACTGCCGGCTCTACTTTACAAATGGCATAACTCCCTTGTCAATTTCTGATGTCGCGGAAAAGGAGCTTAGCTACCTGTTTCCCGGACCGAACATGTTTCTTGTCTTCTCACGCATAGTTACGTAATTATTCATTAAATGTTGCACGAAGCACTTGTGTGATGACTAGTCTGAGATTGGGAAATCGATGTTTGCAGAGACTTGAATCGCAGATTTGTGGAAGGTGGTGGAGAATGGAGCGATTATGTTGATTCTGTTATTTGGGGGCAGAATAACAAAGTGCATAGTGTGACTAAAGAAATTCCTTTTGAGATTATGTTCCAAAGAAAAGCTACGATTTCCGAGTTCCCCACGCTGACAACTAAAATACCCGAGCTTGAACGAGATCCTGGGGAATCTGCGACACCAGAACCGATTGACGAACATTTACTGGAAAAGTCGTCTGCGCAAGTAGAGGAAAAATTAGCTGCTCCTTTACCCGACGGCATAGGTGCACTTGATACAGCCAAGGAAAATGGAGAAAATTTCTGGTTCAAAATGATTTCGAACAACATTGCAATCGGAAAACAGAAACAGGATAAAGCTTATCAAAAGCAACAAAAGAATAAGCGCAGCGTTTCGGTTGGCATGCTGGTGCACCATAAGAACCTTATGAAAGGGAAACGTGGTGGGAAACTAAAAGGCAAGAATATTGAAACCCCAAAGTTTTTGGGTCCATTCAAAGTCTTGAAACTGATGAACAGAGGTCACAAGGCGGTGATTGAGTCCACTGTGGACAAGTCGACAGAAATTGTGAACGTGAAAGATTTAAGAGCTGAAAAGGACAGTGGCCAAGGGAAGGCGGATTCCGTGAGAAACAACAGTGAGTAATAGCCACAGTGTTGTGTTACTTACTGCTAAGTCGATATGCGTCGGATTATTTAATCGTAAGTTAGTTCAGAATAAATTATTATTTTTACATATTACGTAGTTCTAGTAACAACTAATGAGCGAAATAGTGTTTTTCTGGAAGTCTCAGTCCAACAGTCACAAAGTGGTGAACAAAAACAAAAATCTATACCGATTTTAGAATAATGTGACTGCACATTTTACGATGCAAGTTTGGGCACTCTATTTTAAAATATAAGTAACCCTGAACTGGATGGCAGGTATCCAGCCCACGTTAGATGACGCCGCGCAAACTTTTTCCAAGCAAGCAGAACTGAAACAAACAGCAGCAAACGTGGAAAAAGCATTTCACACACTTGGACGTGTTTTCCTGCCCTCGGCGATGGAACCGTTAGTGGGCAAGGCAGGGCAAAAACTAACTGCGGAACACCTTCGTGGCTGCTTGCTGGAGCAGGATGTACTGCAGGAAATCAGCGGTCAGGTGACTTACAAAGATTTCGAAAAAAAAATTCCAGCTTCCATTCTGCGATGGATTCACTTTACTGCCTGGGAAAAATTCATGAATTCCTTAAGAAGCGCCAGCTCACAGAACAAGAGCGGAAAGCAGGTAACTAGAATAAGTGTGCTTCATAATTTACAGGTAATATTACGTACAATACAAGATATCATATTCTTAAAAAAAATTGCGCTCCTTAATTCAGCTCTGCGACATTTAGCCGAGGACAACTAGGTGCAGAGCATGTGGAACAGACATTTCGCCATAAGGTCATATGGCCGTTAGGCAATTTCTTGCGGCAATTTTAGCAGCATAACTTTACGCCGCAAGAAATTTTGCCGCGCGGTCCTTTAGACGCCGAGACATTTCGCCGCAAGGCTGTTTCGAGAAAACGCCATTCATTACGGGATGCAGATAGTTAACTGGCTTGTAAAAATTTTCAAGAAGCCGAGAATAAAACGTAAAAAAGCAAAAAGGAAATCCGATAAAACATCAGAAGACAAAAACACATGAGACAGCATAAGAAGCCTATTCTTATGATCGTTTGATTGGCTGTTGACGGCCGCTCGGTTGAACAATCATAAATAAAAAAATTCTCCAAACCGACTCCCATCCGCTTCTGTTATTTGCCAAGCAAAGCTGTAATCCCTACCTGTGTAAAGCTGTAACGTTTGTAATTACAAACGACCTTCCCTGCGAACAAATTAAAACGCAACTTTCAAGCGAACGCCTTTTACACCGGAACCTGTAGTGCGCGTTTAAGCCAAGCCAACCATGCCGGTAAGATTGTGGCATAACAGATTTAAACCTCGTAGACGCATACTAGCCTTGGTCATTATGCTCTACCTAGAAAAACACCAAGTTTTAAATCACAAAGAGCTTGTTAATTGACAGAGATGTCTTTATCTTGTTCTCAGCGTCAAATGTGCATGACCTCATATCCTGGATGGTGATTGGGAATTGGCCGTTAACTTTCACTGATTTCTTATGCGTGCGCGAAGAAGGACAATGGATTTACGGCGAAGTGTTGAGCGCAGCGCAGTATATTTTGAAAAGGCAGTTTCCGCATGTGGTGGGCCTGGAGCCTCCGCATAAATTCGGCATATCCAGCTCGGGAAAAGGCTTGTATGAACGGATACAGGTCCTCAGAGACGCAGGGGCGGACGTTTTTCCGCAGCAATTCAGTTCCACAAGAAAGCTGCAGATTCTGCATGTGAACGAGAATCACTGGATACTCGCCCGAAACGACCACCCTGGATCCGAAATAGTCGTCATACTGAACGACAGTTTACCATCAAGAGGATGTGGAATTGTAGTACAAACGCAAGTGGCAGCAGTTTTTCGATTCGATTCGGACAGTTTCGAGATCGAAATACCAAAAATGCCGTCGCAGCCTAACTTTACGGATTGCGGGCTTTATTTAATTGCCAATGTAGTCGAAAGATGTTTTGGAAACGATCCAGCCACAAAAAAATATATCAACAAGGTAATTAAAAAACCATTTTAAGCACAGCAGTAACCATCGAAGCAACATAAAAGAGCAACAAAGTTCTTACTACGTAAATTCATGAATTACGAGCAAAACAACGTTTACGATTAATACTTAGGTGTTCGTACGACATATTAGGCAATTAATACTGATAGTTATAGTCGTAGTTGTAGTTGTAGTGATAGTTTTAGGCAGTTAAGACTGATAGTTGTTCGTACTGATAGTTGTAGTCTTGTAGATACAGTTGTAGAACGGCATGAAATTTATTTACATGGTTTTTCCAGTGCTCCATTTTTAAACGTTTTCTTAGGAAATGCGTCCGCATTTTCTGGGTTGCCTGGAGAATCAGACATTTACGCCATTCCCGAGCACCACTTCCAGACTGAAAACGGATAAGATTGTCGTGAATGTCCCAATTATGTGTATTTGCAGAATGCCGAAAACACATTCTTTAGAACCGGTTGTGAAGTGTGCCCAGTGTTCGAAACCGTATCACGAGGCTTGCGTGTCGAAAT